AGAATGCTTCCCAAAAAGGGAACGGTTCTTTAAGGGGGAATGGTTTTACACGTATCGAACGGCGGCTAGAAAGTGGGTCCAAAAATTAAGGTCTGGGACCCACTATTTTCGGATTTGGACCAATCAGAGGCCTGGAAACAGGGAACCGTTCTTTAATAGAGAACCGTTCCCCATAAATAACCGTTCTCTGAAAACCCCCATTTCCGCTATGGTACCTATATATACAAGCCACCTCGGTTTTATCTCAACCCACATCTACTATATGATATATCCATCGATATACGGTCTGTATTTCAATCGTACAAGCCGGAAAGCTTTCAACCCCAAGCAACCCAAGTTAGCGCTTTACCCCCAATTTTTCAACCCAAGAGTTGAATTGCGCTGATTTAGCAGCCGCCAAGTCTAATGTGAAAATTCCGTGCTCGGAGTGGATGCCAATAGGGGATGACGGATCGGTGGGGTCAATCGGAGGCGTTGCGGACGCGGCGAACGCGAAGCTTGCAGCCGTCGCGCCGGGATCTAAAGTCTCTTTCGCACCTCCGTTATGAATCCACGTACTACATCCCTGGCAGAGAGTAGTCAGGGTCCAGTGGGTTGCATTCGCCGTTGACCCCTGAAGTGTAGTATGATTTGCCGACTCGTATATCTCTGGTTGGACATGGGCCCTAAGGCAAACATTAATTCTGTTTTTCAGTTATGAGGCTTCAACTCACGTCGCGAATCGAGCTGCTGGGACGGTGCTGTTTCCATTTGCCCAGCCTAGCGAGATGGGATTATACAGCATGCCGCCTCCCCAGGCGATACCAGCCCATCCGACTGACTTCGGCGCAACAATTTGGAGAAGGATATCGAAAGGACCCTCTGTCACTTCTGGGATAGCAATTCGCCAGACGATAGGGGCTACTCCGATCGAGATTTCAGAATAGCAGACACCGGTGGACTCATCGCAGTACTTGGCGCTGGCTGAGACCGGAGCTGTAAGACCATGGCCTACGAGGAGGGTCACGGCTGTAGCAATTCGAGAAATAAAGCCCATCGTGCGTTTCTTACTTGACAATTCAGACTTCCGGCTAACTTATGAGTGTACTCGGGCTACTGCAGGCTACTCAATAAGCGAGTAGGTGCCTTATATATCTTGACTTCGTCATAGCACTGACCCTTTCTGATACTCCATCCGCTCTCATTAACCCCCACAAGCCCTATTCCTCGCCTATCTACTATAAACATCGGCAGTTGTCGTTTTTACGAGGCAGCGGAACGTGAAGAGGAGCGAACCAAGTTTTTGGTAATAGAAAGGAGTAAATTACCCGATTGCTGATTGGTCCCCACACGTGTGTCTACGCAATGGCAAATGCACCCCGGCCTACCTGGATCCGTACGGCTACATCTATTTAGACTAAAGCGGCTGAAGTCAGTGACACGGCGGAGCTTACTACGTCGAGATTTTATCTGTCTTTGGTAAGATGATGAAACGCAACAGGGCTACGATATGGAAAATAGCCATGACATCTTCCCAACACGTTCAAATCTAGCAGATCCGTGACCGTTTATGGTTAAAACAACCAGCTAAAATGGACCACGAGTTCAGTACATGAAGCGGTTAATGGGCTCTTGGAGGTCCATGCTCCTCACAGGATTCCAGGGACTGCCTTCGTATTTGTTTATGCCAGCGAGGTTTACATATGGATGTAGAGGAAATATATTAAATTAGGTAGAAATCATTTCATACCTACCCTAAATTTTCCATTTTTCGTTAATGAGCATCTAATTCTAGGCTTTCGTCTTCCTATTCCGGATGTCCGACTTTCGTAGGCGAGCCAAGACACGGCGGGGTTACAGATGAACTCTGATCATCACTCATTCAGGGGAGTAATGGTAAGTTAAGCATGGCGTGCTCTAATTCGAGCAAGTTCAAAACAGAATGGGCGAATTGCCGGAGTCACAGAAAGTTAAAATGCTACTCAGCTTTCTTAAGGGCATATTAAAGGATGACCTCACTGGAATTCACCCTGACGATCTCCTCACATTCTCATGTAAGCCAACGTACGGGTCCATGCAGCAAAGCTGCGAGTGGCTACCTACTGTAGATGTAGTACGTGTCCAAGAGATCTTGACAGTTGCTTGCATAGCTTAGCAGTAGCATCAAGATCATTTATAAATATGTGACTTGGTGATGATCCGACGTACTACCAAATTAGGCACCTAACCTAATGAGAAATAAATCCAGCGCAAAAAGACAGACAATACTAGTTATTAGTACATCGATTCTCCCCACAAGAATACGGGATCCCATCCATTTCGTGTCCTTCCGATCATCTTAAGTTCCTCAACCGTACTTTCAGAGGGTTGCCACTGGTTTAGATAGAAATAGACTCTCCATGAGCTCATATCATGCGCGGGCATTGGTTTGCCCCTTGGGAACGGCGTACCCGGTGCCAGACACCCCACCTCATATTGCCAAATATCCGTACCCATACATACTATTTCTACAGAAGCCTCTTTTAGCTTCGGTAAGCGGCAGCACGCTCGTGCGAAAGCTGTGAAAAAAGCGTTCAGCTCGATGTCATTTGGTATAACCCTCTCAGGCTCGTCATGTAGATTTGGTTCGACCATGTGTCGGTAATAATATTTCTCGCGTTCGTCCAACTCCTCCTTCGTATCTCCATAGCCCGGTGGAAGTTGATCAAGTGTAATTAAGGAGTCCTGGTCCTCATCAACACCGTTTTCAAGTTCGAATAACCACTTTCCTTCTGGGTTACGCATGGAGACTGTGGCTTTTAAAGTCTCTACATTGTTCCAACACTGCTTAACCCCATTCGGCACACCTGTTGGAGGATCAAAAAATGTGGAATGTATGGGACCTATGATATGGACATAGGTACAGTGTCTTGTAAGGTGTCGAAAGGCGCAGCTGACTGGGTCATAATCACCTGGAGCGATGAATTCAGGGAGGAGCATTTGTCGATTATCAGCCCACGGTCCAGGTATATGGCAAGAAAACTTTGTGGTAGATGCTGGAAGATCTGCTGACATGATACTCTGAACAAGATCGTTTCGGAGTCTTCGATCTAGGCTGTAGTACCGACCCCAACTATCTTCGCGACGATCCAGGCACCAATTGATACTCTTAGCTTTTACCATCTTGGTAGAGAGAAGCATTGCAACACGAGGGCTCCAATTGCGACGCCCGTCAGAGATGGTGAACTGTCGAACACAAAGTAGGGGTGGGAAGTCGGACACATCAGATGTGAGATCAAGCAGCGAGAATTTATAACGCGCAGCGTTAAGATCTAATCTAATAGGATATTGATGATTAGGGGGGAGCCTTGGTAGAAGCGGTCTTGTTCCTTTGTCCGAAGGTGAATGTGGCCCAAATATATTTAAATTGAGCATTGGTGTTATACTGTCATCATGGTCGAAAGGGGTTGAAATTAGACAGAAGACTCGCTTTAATGCTGCGGTCATAGCCTCATTATTGGCTCTGCGATCCTGCTCCGTTTCGAACTCGGTAAAACATTCAGAAGGGTATGGTGGTAAGACCATCTTAATAGCAAGATTCCGTAGAAAGCTGCGGCGCCGCGGGGTTAAAATACGGGTCAACTCGTCCAGCTTTGAATCGGTAGCAGTGAACAGTATACTTCGGAAGGTATAGCGTTCGACGGAGTTTTGAAACTTGCGGGACACAGTTGCGAGTGCCAGTAAAGCTGGATGAGAAATAAATATACCTTTGTAATAGAAGGAAATGACGTGGTCATAGAGCTCTTGAGGCCATTTATCCATGTTGACGGAGATATATTATCAACTAGGTACAGTTTACACAGATGAAGGAAATGAGCGTTGGTGAAGTGTTTAATTTAGAGAAACAGATGGTTGAGGAGGTAATTTGAGGTTGAAGAAATATATACCCAACCCAACGATAATATAGCAACCTATTATAACAAGTGGGGTATATTTTAGCGGGGTCCTCATCTTAGAGTATGCCTCCAGTAAGATATAACTTAGGTGTTGTAGTTATGTAATATTAGTTTATTGCAACATTAGTTTTAGTTACTATGCCGGTATGATCAACATTGTTTGATTTTAAACGTACTTGCATTTTAGTAACTCTCACGAGCTAGGTATTATCTTACTATTATCTACTGCAGTATATTCACTGTTGGAACGCTAGTCCTACTACACTTTATAGAATTCCTTCAACATCGTTTAGTTATGCTGTTTATCTTTTACACTATGAGCGAACTTGATGGAAAGCCAATAAGAGACTTTAGTGCAAGGAGACTTCTAACATAACAATGTTACAATATTTATTATTGTAACACTGAAAATATATTTATTGCATGCCATTCTGATATTGTATTTACTAAATATAACTTCATATATACTACTATATCCTCACTTCTTAAGGCTCTTAGTACGGGATAGCTTTCGGAGTATCCCCATAACGAGCCAAATGCCTGCTGGTTTGAAGTCGTTAAGTTTAAATCGAACGGAGACAGCAGCCGCAACTTTCAAGAACATATAATTACTTACTTACCTCTTAGACTTCTCATACATTAAGAACTTCGGAAGCCTACCTCTCATTTATATGCCATCAATTTATCCCCGTGTACTTGATGTATGAGGTAGGTAGATATTCCAGGTTTCTTCCAACTTTTCGCTCCTTAAATTTGCCTGGCAAAATCATTTTCAGCTCGTCCTGCACGAAGTAACTGCTTTTGTTTAGTTTACACAGTGTGAATTGAAGAGAATAGATCAGTTCGCACTCTGAAATTCAATACGCGTATTGTTCTTCGCCTTTGCTCATCATGAATCGGCGATTGGCGCTGCAAATCAATCCGGAGACAGAGATAGGTGCAGCGGCGCCGGCCGGATGCGTAGTGCTCTAGACCACGGCAAAATCCTATCATTCGCTCGCAATCCTTAACGTGCTGATCGTTGGTTCTCGCATCTGATGGCCACAACACTCAAGAATTGGGTCCTATCAGCAAAACTATGCACCTACTGGTTATTCTAAGGATGAAGAACACGAGGTGTATATGAAACCTCGAATATAGGTACTAAAAGGAGGAGAGTCGCAATGCAAATTAGGCGCTGAGTGTTGACATACCATCCCAAGAAGAAGTATCACGGGAACAAAGAAATTTTACCACAAGCCGCGGTGCTCGGCGCTCAACACGAGAGACTACAGATCTCCAGCCCGATTCAATGATGTCTCTTGGGTCGTATGTTTAATCGCTGATCAATGTTTTGTCTTTGGTGCTTACCTACATTCGTGAATTATAGGAAGACGAGGGCTTGTCTCTGTCCCTTTCGAAAGCTAAAGTCATTCTAGAAGCAAAATGTCGCAGATCTCCTACGGCCGGTGTTCAGGATAAGAAGTTATTCATAAAGGCCAATCTAGATGGGCATAGTAACTAGTCTCCAATTCCAATCGGATCATCAAAGTCGACTGATACTCGCAGGAATGTAAGTATCTCGGCCTACGTGTTCCTTACAAACATTCAAGGATGGGAATCTAGATGGGATTCTTAGGAACTGGATGGGCAAGAACTATACTACTTTAGGACCTTAGAGGGGTAGAAGGCGAGCAATATGGTTGGATGATGCTACGTAGAGATGAAATAAAATAAGACAAAATGGAGAAAAGAAATAGAGGGGGACCCGGACAGTCGGCTTTGAGGTAGGGATTATAATCGATAAAAGAAAAAGTGCATTGCATAAACGAGAGAAGTCGTCTCCAAGACCACGGGCTCACGGGCTTCACGGATGGGATAGAGAGAAGAAAAATGTATGACGTATAAGGAATTTGGAGAATAGAAATCAGCCCACCGTCGACTCATTGTACCGAATCAACCACTAAGATGCCGCATTCCGCATGCAACTTTGTCTATCAGCCACTGTTCTCGCCGCCTAGAACAGCTAGGGAACATGCTCACTATACCACCTATCAGGCTATTACCACGCTATAATGTCATAATTGCACGTTACTCGCGCCTCGGTTACATACCCGGTGCCTTGGGTTCGCTTCCCACCGAGTCCAATGATAACATGCACATGCATCCAGTCTAAGCGGTATCACTCACATGAATCAACTGTTCCATGCGACTTTTTGCGGATGTTACAGGCGTTGCGGAACCTAGAGAACCCAACTACCACCTTAGAGTAGTAGTTCCCAGTAATTGTCAACATATCGAGAGTGTTCTCTTATAAGTATTCGCCATCATCAACACTATCCTCTCCACCCCACTAGTAAACCATCATCACAACACTCCTTCTTTATATATAAACCCAATAGTTTGAGCTACTCAGGGCACCTTACTACTGAGACTCAAGCTTCTTCCAAGTGTCTTTTGACTGAGAAGTCCCACCTTTACCAAATACGCTTACAAGTCGAAGACAACGAACCAAAATGACAGATACTCACCAAGCCGAGATCGATGAGATCCGGCCATTCGGCAAGGCTCGCTCCACGATCAAGGGCGAGCCTCTGTCTAAGGAAGAAATCGTAAAGTATACCGATTTTTTCAAGGCCAGCTTATATCTTAGTCTTGGCATGATCTACCTAAAGGAGAATCCTCTCCTCCGAGAACCTTTAAAAGTTGAGCATATCAAAGGCCGCCAGCTGGGCCACTTCGGATCCGCCCCTGGCCAAATTTTCACATATATGCACTTCAACCGATTGATCAAGAAGTACGATCTCGATGCCCTCTTCGTCTCCGGCCCGGGCCATGGCGCTCCCGCCGTCATCTCCCAGGCTTACCTTGAGGGTACTTATTCTGAAGTATACCCTCAGAAGTCTGAGGACCCTGCGGGCATGCAGGTCTTCTTCAAGCAGTTCAGCTTCCCGGGAGGTATAGGATCACATGCCACCCCAGAGACTCCCGGTAGCATCCACGAAGGTGGCGAGCTTGGTTATTCCATCTCTCATGCCTTTGGTACCGTTTTTGACAACCCCAATTTGATCACCTTGACAATGGTTGGTGATGGTGAAGCCGAGACCGGCCCATTGGCTACGGCCTGGCACAGCACCAAGTTTCTGAACCCCATCTGCGATGGTGCCGTTCTCCCAGTGCTGCACCTGAATGGCTACAAGATTAACAACCCTACTGTGCTTGCTCGTATCTCGCACAAAGAACTCGAGCAACTATTCTACGGCTACGGCTGGCATCCATACTTCGTTGAGGGTGACGATATTGAATCGATGCACCAGGCCATGGCCGCCACTTTCGAACACTGCGTTCAAGAAATCCGCAAATACCAGAAGGAAGCTCGTGACTCTGGAAAGCCCTTCCGCCCGCGGTGGCCTATGATTGTCCTGCGCACGCCAAAGGGTTGGACCGCGCCGCGCAAGGTTAATGGCCATTACCTCGGTGGTTTCTGGCGTTCTCATCAAGTGCCCATTACCGGTACTAAAACAAACCCAGCAGATCTCAAGATCCTCGAAGAATGGATGCGTGGCTACGAGCCTGAGCGCCTCTTCGGCGAAGAAGGCAGAATATCCCCCGAACTAAAAGCCTTGTGCCCTACCGGTAACAAGCGCATGAGCGCGAACCCAATTGCTAACGGTGGGTTACTAACGATACCACTCAAGATGCCCGACTTCAGAGATTACGCCATCAAAGTGGACAGGTCTGGCGGTACTGTAGAAGGCAGCATGGCTAACTTCGCCAAATTCCTACGTGATATCGTCAAGTACAACCCCCACAACTTCCGTCTAATGGGCCCTGACGAGACCGAATCCAACAAGCTGGCAGCCGTGTACGAGGCTGGTAAGAAGGTGTGGATGGGCGAGTATTTCGAGGAAGATGAAGACGGCGGAAATCTAGCTCATTTCGGAAGAGTTATGGAAATCTTGTCCGAGCATACTTGCGAAGGATGGCTCGAAGGCTATATCCTGAGTGGGCGGCACGGAATGCTTAATAGCTACGAGCCTTTCATCCATGTTATCGACTCCATGGTAAACCAGGTAAGTCTATTTATGTGATCCCTCGTTTAACTAATAGGTAATTACTGACACTCTGCGCAGCACTGCAAGTGGATTGAGAAATGCTTAGAAGTAGAGTGGCGTGTCAAGATTCCATCGCTGAACATTCTCTTGACTGCTGTCGTCTGGAGACAAGACCACAACGGCTTTACTCACCAAGATCCTGGCTTCCTTGACGTTGTCTGCAACAAGAGTCCGGAAGTGGTCCGCATCTACCTCCCGCCTGATGGAAACTGTCTCCTTTCGGTCATGGACCACTGCTTCCGGTCATCGAACTACGTGAACGTCGTCGTAGCAGACAAGCAACCTCATATCCAATACCTCACAATGAAAGACGCAATCGAGCACTGCACAAAGGGTATCGGTATCTGGCCCCAGTTCTCCACCGACGCAGGTGAAGAACCCGACCTCATCATGGCCAGCTGCGGCGACGTCTCCACCAACGAGTCGCTAGCCGCCATCGATCTCCTACTGCAACACTTCCCCGACCTCAAGATCCGCTGCGTCAACGTCGTCGATCTCTTCAAGCTAATCCACCACACCGACCACCCGCACGGCCTCACAAATAAGGAATGGGTCGCCCTGTTCACAGACAACAAGCCCATCATCTTCAACTTCCACTCGTACCCCTGGCTCGTCCACCGTCTGACATACAAGCGACCGGGCAACGACAACATCCACGTCCGAGGCTACAAGGAGAAGGGCAACATCGACACGCCGCTCGAGCTCGCCATCCGCAACCAGACGGACCGCTTCAGCTTGGCCATGGACGCCATCGACCGCATGCCCACCCTCGGCAACCGCGGCGCAACCGCTCGCGATGCCCTTAAGAGCCAGCAGGTCGCTGCTGCCAACTACTCATTCGAGTACGGCGTCGACCCCCAGTTCCTGAGCGATTGGAAATGGCCTCAGGAGGGCGTGAAGGAGAAGCTGCAGAAGCTCAAAATTGTTGCCTGAGGGAGTGGGTGCATTTATAACAACGAGGCGAATGGATAGGTAAGGTTGGGGTTTAATGAAAAGGGGGCTAGGTTTTGGATTGCATGAGTGGGTGGTGTTTTTCCTGGGTCTGATTTTGATTTTTTGGTTGGCACGGGTTTATTTATGTGAGATAACTCGACCGGGGTCTTTGCGATTTTGCCTATTATGATGGATACGCTTGTGAGATGTGCGATATGGAAAACAGTTGTATGAATTTACTTTAATGAATTATCACTTGATGCTTTTCAAATGCTGGTGTGCTTTCACTTTGATCACCGCATTGTAGCCACACTCCTCAATAGATACCTTAGGTAGGCAAGGATCCAAAACAGGGGGTTTAGAGACGCGTGGCTTTGACTTATTTTTGCGCGATCTATTTCTTCAGCTAATACATATTAGTAGCATAGATATTCTTGAGTGACTACCTCCTAGGTTCACCAGACATCCCTAACTCAGTTATGAATCAGAGCATGTAGCCCAGGCAAGATTTCCAAGTCCTTCTTCGCGTACTCATATTTGCCATCGGTAGAAATCTTGGCGCTGACGCGGGGTCGCTGTTGTTGAGTCTGCCGCACCTTAACCCACTGCTCCGTGGTTAAATGCTGTCCCAGCTCTGTGAAGGCATTACTAGTTAACCCGAGTCGGTTCAGTAGAGGGCTATTCGCGATCGGGTCCAACACGACGTGGTTATTTGGGCGTGCAAAGTACAACACGCCTAGGCGGTCGATATGCGCTTGGTCCGCAGGCGGCGTGTGCACTCGGTGCACGCTGGACTTGATCAAGCCGCCCGTCAGTGCGGTTAGCGCGTCGCATGTGTTGATCGTGATAGTGCCGTCTTGTGGCTTCACCCACTTCCACTCTCCTGCCGAGTTTAGAATCTGCAGCGCAGCTACTGGTTGTCTGAAAAGGAGAGTCACTGTGCCAAGATCCGTGTGGCCTGGTCCGTATAGGTTGGCCACCTTGGCGTTCTCTTCCTGGCTTCGTGCTGCGTAGTGCATGTACCGCAGATGATCTTCTCCTCTAACGTCGTAGAGATGGTCCCGGACTAGCTGGTCCTCATCAGGGAGCTCGAGTAATATCGCGAAGAGGCGCAGGAGCTTAACGACGACTTCCTCGTGGCATTTCTGTTATGTTTTGGTGAGCACATCTATATGGACGGGGCTTCTCGTTTACTTACCCTCGAGAATGCTTCGATCTCCTTGATGTTACTCTGGAGGACGGGTGGTTGTTCGCGCTGGTGGAAGCCATCGAATTTGGGTATGTTGTATACTTGGACGTTATCCTTCACTCCATTTCCAAGGCTATAAAGATGATATATCAGTTATAATCCTAGGCACCTAAACTTATTTCCCCTAGGGTCAAGGTATCAAACTAGTCAGGTGACGGACACTCGGTGGCCCGCTGGCCTATACCCATTATATTCGCCGCTTTCGAGATCTTGCTTGTTATGATACTTCAATTTCTCTTCCAGAGGGAGCGAGTAAAACTCTCGTCCGAGAGCGAACTGGCGGTCGACGTCTTCCTGGGGTATGTTGAAGTTCTTCACGTAGAAGAATCCTATGATGAACACGTGAGAACCAGTACTCCTGGAGGTGCCGGCTAGGAACTTCCAACATACCAACATTTCGAACCGCGTGGTCGAGCTGCTTTACCAGCTCTTCTTTGCCTCTTGGCTGCTCATACAGACTTAGGTCCAATGTAATCAGATCGGCCCAGTCAACTATAGTAGCAAAGTTATTAACTGGAAATAGTGAAGATATATCAATATGGCTTCTGGCTTACGGTCTTCGTGCGTTACAGGTACGTGCTCATAGCGATCGATTATACGTCCCGGCATCTTGAAGGTTGATTACAAATGTAAATACTAATATTCTCCAGGGCGGCGAGCTCGGATGAGCGTCAATACGCGGGGTATATCTACATTTTAAATAGTCACTAATTGCGGGACTCAACATGTGTCAATCGAAACTCTTATTCATATCCTTTACAATTCGTTTCGTAGTCTTAACTGATTAAATAGAAGCTTCGTACCCCAAAGCGTTGGTGGGGGTTACAGTCTATCGATAGATTATACATCTACCAATCGACGCGGTCTACGAGTATGGCGCAACTTGGAGAAGTAATTAGGTATGTATGCGGGGACAAGGAATTATACGGGTTACTCGTAGTGTTATCAGGTTCTAGTATACCAGCAGCCTCCGCATGTTTCAAGCATATGGCAAGCACGCCATCGCACATCATCAGATCCTATCGCAAGCAATGTAACACTGTTAAGACACAACGGAGATAATCTGATAAAATAAGTAGAGTATCGTTGTTAAGACTAGACTACACCTATCTCCTTGGCAATATCAGGACAGGGACATTTCTTAAGACCCTGTTCTAGGTTTACTTATCGTGCAAGTTGGGATTGCGAAATCTCGCCTTAAAATAAGAACAAGTGCCCATTAGATCTATGAATTATGGTTGTATAGTAATAAGTAACCCATCTGTTCCCGCGTAACTCAGGAGTGACAATCTCCTCAGTAAGCTTTGAGCAGTCTTGTTCGGCTTAACGCTACGATGACGGTAACAAAGCAAAGCCAGGGGTACTCCCTACATCGCCTTATCAAAGAGATCTTCAATTGGTACCCTTCTAGTTACCCTGCGGCAGAGAGAAAGTAAGTCTATCTACTTGGATATGGCCTATAGCAATTCTCATCGAAACTTCTACACTGACAATATATAGACTTCTATTCAAACTTGACTTGTCTATCCTAATATTCGCCTGTCTATGCTGTAAGTACGCTTTTCTAATCTTCGTGATAGCTTAAATCTAACAATTTCCAGTCTTCGTAAAATTTCTAGGTTAGCCCCTATTCCATCCAACCACTCCCTTTGCAATGAGCTTACAAGGACTACATCTCGAAGACCAAACAAACATCAGCAATGCCTACGTCAGTGGTCTCAAGGAGGAATTTGGATTATACGGCAATGAACTCAACTATTTCAATGTTTGCTACTACGTGGCTTATGTGATTTTTCAAATCCCCGGCATGCTACTTATGTCGCGACCTCTACTGTGTGTAATGACTCAAGAAATCTTTTTTTTTCCTAATCAAAAACTTGGTAATTGTGCTAATAAATACCTATAGAGCGCGCTGGTTGCTACCGGCTCTCGAAGTTCTCTGGGGTATCTGCACTTTCGCACAGAGTCGAGTTACGAATGTTCATCAACTCTATGCGTGCCGATTTCTAGTAGGCATGTTGGAGGCTCCAGTATTCGCCGGGACGCACTTCATCTTAGGTATCTCTCTATCTCCCGATTCTACGAATCTTTACCTAACGAGACACTAGGATCATGGTATAGTGGCCCGGAGTTATTTAAGCGAGCCGGAACTTGGTTCATATGTAACCCCCTGGGCACCATGGTAAGCGGGTATTTGCAAGCAGCGGCGTATACCAATCTGTCTGGTGTAGGTGGGATGCCCGGATGGAGGTAAGAAACTCTTGAACCCCCCCCTTGCGTTTTAAATCCCAAACCAGAATAGAATGCTAAGTATCGATGTCTCATCAAGGTGGCTATTCATCATTGATGGCATATTTACACTTCCAATTGCGGTAGCTGGATTCCTGGTCTTCCCGGGAATTCCGGATTCGCCAAAGCCATTTTATTTCACCAACGAGGAAATCGCTCTCGCAAAGGCGAGGTTAGAACGGGCTAAGATCCGCAAGCCGGGCAAGCTAGGGCTTGACGTGTTCAAACGTACACTTGGGCGCTGGCATATTTGGGTTTTTGTGTTTTGTTACATGTAAGTTACTAACATCGCAATGACCCAAGTAAAGGGTTCAAACCATACCTATGATTGTGCTATAAGTCTAATCATCTATCAGCTGCATGATCATATCCGGCTATCCAGACTCATATATGAATCTCTGGTTGAAAGAACAAGGCTTCTCCGTTATTCAGATTAATCAGCTACCTACTGTCACGTACGCCATCAACATCGTGGCTTCTTGGTTGGGTACTACCTTGGCTGCTATCTATCCTTCATGGACCGTTTACACCAGTGCGACAATATGCATCGTGTTCTCGGCAATCTGTATGATTATTTGGGACATTCCGAAACCTCTGAAGTGTGTAACCCCTTTGCGTCGACCCCTCTCCGTATCCTTATTGTGTTTGTTCCATCCACTAACAAGAACCTGTAGGTTTGTCGCGTGGTACTTCTTCGGTGTATCAGGGTGCCTAAGTCCGGTCCTATACTCGACGGTCAATACAGTTGTGAAGGGTGACTCGGAAGAGAGAGCTCTTATTATGGTGAGTGAATCCATCTACCCCTTACGAAAGGGGATTGCAAACCACGGTAAATGATAAAGAGTGAATAGGAAGGCTCACCAAAATTATTTCAGGGTGCAATGATGACTTTCGGTTATTCATTCAACATTTGGGTACCCCTTTTGCTCTTCCCAACTGCTGGTCCCAACGGTGCTCCAAGATGGCGTATCGGATGGCCTGTCGCCTTAACTTTCCACGTGCTGCTATGGGCTGGGTTTATAGTCGCGATCTTATTATATCGCAGAGAGTGAGTTTCGTCCTATCTTCAATTTGATTAGCTGCTAATATCAATCTTTAGCTCTAAAAGATCAAGAGATGCGCAAGAGGAGGATTCCTCGTCTGGGGAGGAACCAGTTCTTGTCCCAACCGAAGCGCACCTAAAAGATTGACATCAAGAATTTGGTCACCTTGACGCTAGGTCGGGGATCCGAGGGTATTGATGTAATATATAGATCAATTGTGATATAATACATACATTGCCCTATAGCGTCGATATTATAACACATGTGAAGCTTCCGATCGGATGAGGGCCGCAATCGGGAATTAGCTTGACGGTATAAACTAACCCTTGGGTATGAAAGGGCGTTTCATAAATTAGCATGGCGAATGCAATTATCGTATGGTTCAGGGAAAGCGTCATTTCTAGAGATTGGCTTCCTTAGGGACGTATCCGCTCAGCGACACTCTACATGGAAACTCTCCACGTGGGTGTGCAGAACCGTGCTCTATCAGGTATGCTTTCTCATTATCCACAGTCGTCAGATCCAGTCTCTCTCCGGCATAGACCTCGTCATAGCATTCCTGGAAGTCAAATTCTCTGCATATAATAGAGAGAAAGGCCTTTACTTCCTTTAAGACGAAAGCCTGGCCGGTACAATTTCGAATGCCATACTCGAAGGTACGCCAAGCACCTTTCTCTGGGTAGAGTTCGTGGTCTGGTCCTACGAGAAATCGCTCGGGTAAAAATTCGAGTGGTCGCGGCCAACATTCGGGGTTCCGATGGACGCTAAAGTGACTCGTCTGCACGGCACAGCCCTCAGTAGGATACTCGGTGCCATCGCGACCTTTCAAGACTAGATCCTTACATCCCATTCGAAGGCCGTTTGCCGGAGGGAAGAGTCGTAGCGCCTCTTTTATCACAGCGAGGGTATACGGAAGAGAGTTGAGAATAAATGGGTTCTCGGTGATCATGTCCGGACACGCTGCAATATTTCGCCCAAAAACTTCATCATGTTCAGCGCGGAGCTTAACCAGGACCTCTGGATGCTTCCAGATCAGATAACAGCTGGTAACCATTGTGCTTGCGGTAGAATCGTATCCAGCAAAGAAAAACATGCGTAGCTGTGCGCATAACGAATCCATGAATTGCTTATCAATTGGGTCAGATAGCTCCCGGCCTGGCTGGGAGTAATATGTCTCGAGAGCTTGATCTAGGATTGAATTGAAAGCCGACTGTTCGTGACGTGTCTTGGCATTACGAAATGCGTTAACCCGCTTTGAAATTTGAGTGCGAATGTGCTGGTTCAAGATACGACTATTATTCCAGATGCTGAAGATCCTGAATGGATTAAGCTGACCAACGTTATCCATAACATTGTTCGCACCGAATTTCAGTCCGAGTTGGCGGAGCATAGTCTTCGAAAGAGGGTGAGAACCGGATGTCTGATTGCCTAGCTCAGCGTTAAACACTACAAGCCCAATAATATCATTCATAAGCGATAACGCCAACGGTTCAAGACGAAACAAATCTCCTTTCCGTGCTTCCTCCCGGAGAAGTTCACGGAAAACGAGCATCTGCTCAATAACCACAGGCACAGTAGCATCAAGGTTACTATTGTTAAAGAAGGGTAGGAAGAGATCGTGATCATGTTTCCATTCTTGGCCATTCTGAGTAAAGAGGTTGATGCCTCCTTTTCCTGAAATAGGTGCAAACCATTCTGTAAGGGTAAGAGGCTTCTCGGCCGATACCCAGGGATGATTGGTCACCTGGTTGGCGATATAAGGGTCTCTTACCATAAGCATAGGAACGCTCACAGGGTAACTGTCAAAATAATACGCTGGGGGCCCGTTTCCACCATCTAGCTTCCTAGCTATGCGGTCGAGAATATAAGTGCTATGCGCACCCGGCGGAAGCTCGTCAGTGGCAGTCTTGGCCGCCACGAGATGACCCAAGAGAGTGCTGTGCTCGGGCATCGGCTATCAATATATTAGTTAACGCGTAAGTTCAATTGAATAGATAAGGGGTAAGTAACTTACCATTCCCATTTCTTTCAGCTTCTTCATCAGGCTTCTGCAACGCCAAAATTCAGATACAAATGTGATGGTTCGCACAACCACGACAGCCAACAAAAAACCGCCACAGGCGTTCAACAGCTGCCGAAGAAAATCCATGCTGTTACGAAGAAGCTGAGCTAATATCCAAGATGCTGTGAGTGTTTGATTAAAAGAAGAGGGACACTGAGCTTCCATAAGAAGTACCTTAGGTATCTAGGTACGGCTGTAGGGGGTTAATTCGTCATTCATGTCCCTTGCTTAAATCATTTCTGTTCCACTAGGAAAACTGAAGAGAACGCCACCTTTAGGGCTGAAGTTTGCCTAGAAGTATTAAGTGCTTAAGAAACATGTAATTATGTCTTCATAAAAGGTACCTAGGTTAAGAAAGAATAAGAGACTAAGATGTGATTTCTACCAATAACAAAGTGGGAATAACAAAATAGGGATAACTAGATGCAATTGGTTGATGTATTTTAGGTAAGTATTAACTATACGAATACGATAGCAGAGGTACTGCGTATAATGAACTTCCCGCGCGATATCTTATACCAATCATATTAGCGCCTAAAGCAACCTTGTCAAAATCAGTGTTAGATCTTGGGTATTGTATGGGTACCTGCGACAATAAGAGGCGTTTGCGCTTCTTTATAAGAAATATAGGAGGTAGGTAAGCTTAAAGATATCTCCATACAGAGCTGCAGGTCAAAATCAGTTGTCTTAGCGCCAAGAGGCTAATGCACGCTAGAGTAAAGAAGCTAAGATAAGGCGGTTATCAGTTAGCAACCTCCAAAAAAAATATTTTGGCGACTTTTGCGCTTGAAGTCATATTATCACTTATAACTGTCAATCCAGTCTAGGATTCGTAACGTCGAAATATCCACGATGCCGAAGCCACGAACGAAACGACAGGCAATTCGCGACGAAAGAAAGTCGAAGCGACGCGAAAAGGCGCTAGCTGCTCAAGAAGTCAGCAAAAGTACGAAAAGACGACGGTTAAACGATGAAGATGGCGATGCTGGTGCTGTCCACCAAGAAGCTACATTTCAAGATGGGTTTGACCAGGCCGAACATCGAATTGGTGGACCTCCACAGGCCGATCGAGAGTTCTTTGGAATGCTGTCGGATCAAGAACAGGAATATTTTCGCTCCGTTGACGAGCAGCTCGACATAGATGACTTCCCCTCCCAAGAAGAACGACAACTATACCTCGCCAGTGTCTTCGCCGAGGCACAGGGAAAGGAGCTTAAGTTAGCATGCAGTCAGTCGTGCTCACGGTTAATGGAGCGGTTAATCCTGATGTCCAACACGAGACAGAAGAAGAAGCTATTCGGCCAATTTAGTAGTCACTTTTTAAACCTCATCCAACACCGCTTTGCAAGCCATTGCTGCGAAACCCTATTCTTACAATCCGCACCTATCGTCACTAGGGAACTTGGAGGTGAGCGCGATGATGCTCCTACGGATCAAGACGATCCGAGCGAAGAACCTTTACCATATATGGAAGAACTATTTCTTCTCGCCCTTGACGAACTCGAGGGCCATCTCGGCTATCTACTCGCCGACAAATTTGCTTCTCACACTCTCCGTGTGCTACTAATCATTCTGTCCGGGCGCCCGTTAGAACAGTCACAGACCAAGTCCCTCATCCACAGCAAGAAGAAGGAAAAGATATCAGTCCCTTGGACATCTGATGGGCCGACTGACTCAAATTCTCAATTACGGGCCGTACCTATGTCGTTCAATCTGGCTGCAAAAAAGATTATCGCCGACTCGGTTTCGGGCATGAATACCACAGAGCTCCGGGTATTAGCGACGCATCCTACCGGAAATCCGGTTCTACAACTACTCTTAGAACTAGACATTAGTCTAAACTCGAAGGCAGCCGAGGACGACTCCGAAGACATGACGCTGCTATGGAAACTTCTACCTGATGCCCCTTCTTCGTTAAAAGACGCCACCACACCGGCATCGGATTTTGTCAATTCAATGTTATACGATCATATTGGTTCACGCCTCCTCGAGACTCTCATTACTCATTGCCCTGGAAAAGTGTTCAAGGCTCTATACAGACATATCTTCGGGAGCCGGATCCACAGTCTTCTACGCAACGATATCGCGTCCTATCCTGCCATTCGTATCCTCAATCGACTTAGTAAAGAGGATCTAGTAGTCGCCATCCAAAAGACTTTGCCGGAATTCAGCAAACTTGTCGCGCTGTCGAGATTCAACGTGATCAAAACCCTGTTCGAACGGTGCCAAGCGCGCCAAGCCATCAGTGAAATAGATAGCCTAACGAAGGCTTTAGTCGAAGCGCTCGGGTCAGACCCCAAGTTTCTAGTTCCTAAGCTTTGCCTTCTACAGTCATCGGAAACCGACGATAAGAAGGATCAAGAACTCCCCCAAAAGAATCGTTCAGCCTTAGTCTCACACGGCTCTCATTTGACAACAACAATGCTTTCTATACCCGGGTATCCTTCCAGCACAGTTCAAAAATCCATAGCCGCTCTTCCGGAAGAGCTCATCCTTCAACTCGCAACATCATCGGCGCCGACATCCTATGTGTTGGTCAATGCCTTGTCAACCCCATCCCGAAATAAAGCCTTCCACAAGACCTTAGTCGCAGCGCTACGATCACACTCATTCCAATTAGCTATGTCTGAGTATGGAAACAAAATCCTGAATTCAATTGTTTCTATTCCCTCGAAAGGTGACGGGATATGCATACCTTTCCACTTCAAGGAATTTATCATGGAACAGTTAGGCCAGCATGAACAAGAATTACGGGAGTCGTTTGAAGGTCGACGCACCTGGAGAACTTGGAAGGGTGATCTTTGGAGGAACAGAAGGAGAGATTGGATCTCTTGGGCTAAGGAACTCGATTCTTCAACGGAGCAAGCGGCGACCGGGCCTTCGAGATGGGACGGTGCTAACGGTTACAGTGCTAGAGATGTTATGAAGGGTGATGATTATATAAAGAAACGAAAGAGAAGCCTAGACAATGCGTTATAGTGCGTTGTAACCCGGTTAACTCGCACGGTTTCGTAACTAGCAATAGTCAGAGTGAGTCCCTTGAAGGAAAATAAAATACCCAACACTGTTCCCTGGACGATGTTAGTTCCTTTTCAACATCACACAGTTGACAGTTGTGACTGTATTCCCAGTCATTACCTAGTGTTTGCTCTTTTCTGGTTTAATTATTTTGGTACCTATTACCTACCTCCTAACCTACCTTAAATCTGTCATCTACATAATGCCTTTCTTTTAACCATACTTCTTTAACAATCATGTCTACTTAAAGGTATCCTACCTACCTAGTTTACTCTAGTCCATGAATGATTTCCATTCCTCGTAAAGTTTATCTTCCATTCTACCATACTCAGTTAGAGTCCTAAATCCTTGGGCCTCTTTATTCTTTCTTGCGGCTAGTAAGCCTGCAAATACGCAACTTTATTCTTTATCATGGTTAATAACTTCCCCAGCATAAAATGCCTAGTCGCCGAGGCTACGACCTATCTAATCTCTGCAGAAAAAGTCGACAATATGGACGAGGACCTACAAAACAAAGTGACTCTCCCCTCGACACTACCCTAGTCATCAACAATGCTCAGGGTAATGACGAGAACAACTATGTAACGAATACCCAGTCACAGATACCTCATAGCCAACATGAGCAGCAGCCACAGCAGTCACAGGAGTCACGCTTAAGCCCCGGATATACAAGAAGCTCCGGTCAGTATACACTCTACAACGAACAGACTGGCCGCGGATGGAAGCGCGTCATCCAAGCAACGAACTCTACTCATACACTTGCTATTGCGACTCCAACTATATCTAATACAGCCATAAATACCAACGATAACAGTGTCAGCTCTAACCCTACTGACCTTTCACCATCCGAAGGGGGTCGCATCCGCAATAGAGGTATTAAAAAGTTAAAGAAACGCGTAACATCCATAGCACAGCGCGCGATTCAAGCTTCGCAGAACGCAAGGCGACTCCTAACACCGCCATTTTCGCGCCGCGCTATCAACCCGCTGCCCAGTACGTTGATGGTTGGCCCTGCTGAGACCGAAACCCCTAAACATGCGACTTGTGGACAACAACTGGATCAGACTTCTATTAACACCCAGTCACCTCTACTGCTTCCGCAGATTATCGTCACCTCACCGTCGGGTGAAGAAAAGGGTGTGCAACAGACCTGAAGTGGGTTTAATACAGTAAAAGCGACAGGTGCGTTGAACACGGTAAGTACTTCAATAAATAAGAGAATGTTGAGGATTCCAATCATAGCTAATATTAAGACATATAGCTTAGCATATCATATCCTTGAATTCGTTAAAGACATGGGATGATGAACGGACATCCCGGCGGTTTACTATGCCATCTGATGAATAGTCAAACTTGTTGACATATACTATCGGCCGCACGATAACAAGGGTAGAAGAACTCGCCACATATTAACCATACGCTGTCGAAGGAACATGGGCGAATAACAGTAGCGTCTAAGGAAACGCATATCCGTGGTATTCATACGTCTGAAATAGCCACGTTTCGTTTGAATAATTTTGGCGATATACTCTTCGGCCTTGAAGTGACTGGCCAATGACCTGCTGTATATTTGAGATTCGAGGTTAGCCATTCTCATCACCCAGTCCCCACCACCCGCTTCTTTTACATGTGGTATTTTTCTCTCTACCCAGACTACCCCCATATATTAACTAATGTCTCTCTGGCAGATCCTTGGAATACAAGAAAATACACAGAACCGCAGCGCATTTAACACGTTTCTTGATGATGGAAGGTAGTTACCCTGACGGCCGGCCACGACGAGTGTTTGCGATTAGTTCTACTGGGGCTCTAAGACTCCGAATATTATACGATACAAGATCCCCTTTACCTTGTTAGCCGATGCGGTAGAGAGAAATATAAAGGAATTAGAGGGAAGGGAATCATATTTACAGTGAGCGAGAAAACTATAATCAGGAAGGCTTCTAGTGCCGTGGCCTTGTTACTAGTAAATACAACATAATCCTAAATTCTAAATCGAACATGGAGAATGGGTCTTTATCATCACGTAACGATGCATGTTTAGTATGCCAATCCTTTCCGAAGACTCGCAGAGATATACTTACCTAGGTAGGTAGGTCGGTCGGTGCTCAACAGCACAGCTTACTATGTGCGTTGTTGTCAACTCTGATTCAGGACGAATATCTCGGCTTCGAGTAAGACCTAAAAGGCCACGCGTTTCCCGAAATCTTAAACTTAAACCCGCACGCACGAACTAAGACGCGCGGAAAGCCTAAGTGTGTAGAGAAAGGTAAAAACAAGCGATTTAGACGTGGAGCTCGGTATATGGGACGAATGGTTTACGTTGTTACCAACATCAACCTTGGTAGAGAAAATTGAGGCATGGGGATTCTAACTTCACTTTCGAGTCACAATCTTATTTGAACCATTAACCTTATGGATGCAGTCATAGTAATAATTAATTCAATGTTACGTATCTGAGTACGTAGGATCGCATGACAGTTACACTACACGACTGGCCCCCCCTTTTTGCTATTTTCTCCTATTTTTGTGTCCGGAAGTTGTGTGGAGGCTAAGGCAAAAAGTAGACAGATATTGGTTTTCATCTCCCTCCTTCAATCCAAAGTTGTGCCACCCAATCCGTAGAGAAGTTCTTGTATTTATTTTTCATCACCGCCTCATTCTAAACGAATAGCCAGCAAACAGCCGATTCTAGAATAACAATTGGCCTCACTAGCCAACTTAGTCTTCATAGCGCTCGCTATATTCAACAGGTTTTCTTCCAGTCCCACGATGCCATTAAGTCGAATAGTGCACTCGCCTCCAGTAATGAGGCTCGCCAGTATTCTTGAAGCGTGACCAAATATCGGAATGCCGTTAAGCATCCATATCAAGTCCCAGGCAGTAGACCCGCCTCCATTGAAGCATATTCCTCTCTCCTCGACATTGTCCGATTATTAAACAGTGTAATGCGTTATGGGATAATTCTACGCGTAGTAGTAAGCGACAAATACCTCCTCCCCCTCGGACATGATCGTTTGCGCGAGAGAGCCAAAATTCAGAACGCCGGCCCGAGATACAAACAGCGCTTTCATGCAAATCAAACCAGTGCTAAAACCCTAACAGGCGCGAATCGTGCATGAGGCGTAGTGTCTCCGGCGATATTGGTGCCAGAGGAGTCCGGCAAAACTTTTTATATGCGCAAAGTATAGTTGAGACATATACAAGGCCGCATCGTTAGATGTTTATACTGCAGCAATGTCATAGGAGAGGATATCGACGCATTATTGCTCGGATCCGAAGTCAACGAAACTCTCCCAGGTGTCACCCCCTGTCCCGCCAGCTGGTGTGCCTAGGCGGCTGTAGCCATCAATAAAAATATCTGAAAGTCCCATGGTACCCTCTATTGAGGTGGGGAAGCAGTCGTCTTGAAGAGGATTGCTATGGCTATGTGGCGAGAATGTTTCGGCCACCTGGTCCGCTGTACTGGTCTTAGCGCTGTCCTCTTGTGTTGTAATTTCGCTTGGGTAGGGTCCAAACATCTGGTATGTCGAAGGATTGCCATCCATAAAGTGCATCGCCATTGGATCGCTCATGTCAATATTGGCCATCATCTTCGCCTCGTTTGAAAGTTCGGATGTGAATATGGAAGAGGATGTAGACTGCTGCGCCAGTTGTGGATCTAGATTAAGAGTTGGGAAGGCAGACGGAGTCTGATAAGGTGTGCTCTTCGAGTCGGACATATCTGCATCTGTTGACGACGCAGGCGTTAATGCTGGCGGGGACGATATTGTTGTAGGTGGAGTAGGTACTGGGCTCCCGGTCGTGATAGAATCCCTCCTGTCAAACTGCGACTGAGAAGAGACCGACTGGGTTCTGGTCGCTGGAGATCCTTGGCCAGACCCCGATGTAGATAGCCGATGGGAAAAGTTGGCATCGTTGTTCATGAGCGGCGCCATATACATGGAATTGCCCAGATTCTGTTGGTACGCCATAGCAGTTGGAAATGATTCGCTGAAAAGTCGATTGACTTCGTTGTACCTGGCCATGGTGGCCATCGCTGCTTGGGTAGTGATGTACGCGTTCACACGATGGTTCATGTCCGGCGAATTCGTTTGTAAATGGGCAGTAAGGTATTTGTAATGGCGAGGAATTTCGTCTTCTTCTTCCTCGTACATTTCTTCCTTCAATACGATCTCCTCGCTCACTTTGAGACCTCGGCCCGTCCGTCGTCGGTGGATTTCGGATGCCTGGCGAGCGGACTGCACTCTAGCCTCTAAGCTTCGGTCAGCTCGTCTTGACGCGGCAATGTAGGCCCTTTCCTGGTTTTCTTCGTGGGATCGTTCAGTCTGTAACGAAATGTTAGGGTTTTCCTGGTAGACATCGTTATTCTGGGGAGGAAAAAGAGCTTACCTTCTGTACCTTAACAGGCGGGACTCGTTCGTTGCCAGGCATGGCGTTTGATATGTCTAAGGATCGCTTCGGCATGGGTTGAAATGTGGATTGAACCTTAGTACTGAAGGTAGGACTGACGATAGAATCACCTCTGTACTGGTGATACGCCAAATTATCCAATAAAATAATATAATCCAGATAAGAGTTCTTTGCGAAAATATATCAGAACTCGGTTGTACTATATAGTCTCAAAAGGAAAGATTCATAAGCTGAATGTGGGGTGTTTCGGGCCTCGTTGGCATCTGCAACCACGAAGGCAAACAAAGTTACGTGCTGGTTAACTTAAGTTGACAGTAACCCGTAGCACAGTATTCCTGGAGATGACTGCAAGTCACAGCGGGTCGTGAGACGCAGGTTATAGTTTGGGTGGAAGCTTCTGTATAACTCGGCTCTTCTGTTTCAAGAATCTGAGTCCCTTCACGTGCTGTCTATCCTTGTGTTTGTGTGAATGCTATGCTCTTATTGCGCGCTGCCGACTTATATGAAGTATTTATGGTATGATTAGACGTATTTATGGTATGCAAGTCTCGTTCCTAAGTCGTGGATCTGACACTTCCGGACTCCTATCTGGGAGTAGATGGATGAGACAAAGAGACGGGATAATGCTTGAGAGATGTCGATTAGTCTGCTGACAAAGGACGTTGTTATAGGGGGAAGCAGAAGCTTAAGCTCAAGCTTAAGGTAAGGTAAGGTAAGGTAAGGTAAGGTGGTGGTAACAAGAGGAGTAGGTATAGTAACAGAAAACAGGAATGTGAGCCCGAAGAGAGACAAACACAATACATATACATATACATATACATATACAATAATGTGATTTCCTTCAGTTCGGAATCGCGAAATGATGGGAAGTACATGATATGCAAAGCCCCATTTGCGTAACATGGCCGCAACGGAGCATACCATGTCAAAGGTACCTGGCCTGGAAGCCAATGGCTTCGATCGAAGACTAGAACATGGATTCACAATATTCCCTGATGCGGGAGAATGCCCAAGTGGCGATCGATCGCGATGAAAAAAAGTATGGGACCAATGAAATAGCTGGAAAGTCCTGAGACCGAGCAGGGATTATACCGTTATGGCCTGGTGATAGTGCTTCAAGTAGTCCCTTAATAGGACTAGCACAGGTAGCTCTTTGGGTCTTGGGTTCATAGCTCTCCGCTTTTTGTTATGCGTACCATCCGAGCTGATCTAGCATCTTTCATAATACGACAGCTTTAGGTAGCAGCTTAGGTACGGGGCTAGGAACGTACCTAAGTAGCTCAAGCTATTAAAGTTGCTTATTAGCTTTGCTATGAAATACTAATATATACCAGCGAACTAGATTCATGTACATAAAGGTTGGCGCAAGTTTACCGAGAAGCGATGAGTTTGTATATTGTACCCAAGTACGTAAATCCTGCTGAATAGATACCGGTAGATCTACCTCAACTTCACCAAATGATGTAAGCTCGCCGCGATCGACAACACATAATGCTCGCAGCACGTTTCTGATATCATACTTGAAAGCTTCAACATAACTAAACGTCGGCTCTCGAGACCCGATTGGGTATATACATACTGCGAGAGTTTTTAATATACATAATTGATAAAATCAGATAATATTTGGAAAATCTAGGCTATTTGGCGTGAGGGGAAATTATAAAAATATGATGAAAATATAAACGAATAGGTTCGTAACGATGTATAAGTTTGATACGACGCAATTGTTACCCATATTTAACGTCAATTCCTCCCACATTGTACATAGGTCTATGTATAATGCTTTAAATATGCGCCATCTCAGAGATGCACTTAAAGTTTAACTCACCCCGCCCATCCGCCCTCTATCCGCCCTCTATCCGCCCTCTATCCGCCTCGTTCCGTTACATTAGTAGATTAGGTAGGTTACCTCTTAGCTAGTCGGGTTTGCGGCGTAGAAAATTTCTCTTTGTTAGCTATAAATTCTATATTTGCTTTTTGTTTCTTGTTTTTTGTCTTTTGCTTTTTTGTACCTCGTAGCAAAGAACATACGTTATTGTTAAGAGGTACCTAATTGCTCCTCGGAGAATAGAAAATCAACATTATTTGTATAAGAGAAAAAAAAACTCTTCGCCGCGTCCGGACCTCACTTCCCCCTCGTTGCTCGTCTTACATCCCAAAGGAATCGAAATGGGTTGTGTGTCACCTTGATATCGAATCATATTCACTATCTATCACTGTTACAGCCGGAGCTTTTGCTACGTGCTTTTCATATTCCCATACGAGATACCGCTAAGAACGGTTAGAATTTGCAAGACAATAACCTGCAAGCGGCTAGGTAATTCTTTTTGATTCCCGCTCGGACCTTTGTTTACTTATTAGAACTCGGTAGAACCTCACAGTTGACATTCAGTCTTGCGCCGAACCAATTATATATCACTGTTGGAAAAGACATCGCAGCGATAACTCCACTAGGAGCAACAAACACCCGGCATAGCTGCGTTTATCTAGCTAGTTCATCCAATCACCGCCAAGATAGTTTCATCATGCATCTGCGGACGGTAGTGTGTGTGTATCCCGCATGAGATGCTGGGTAAGGACTAGTTCCATTGTCAGGTGAGAGATTCGATCGAGGATATATTTTAACGATTGCCATCATATTTCTCGATGAGTGACAATCGGCCGTTGAATCTGTGGGCGGATCCAGTCGACTAGAAACAGACGAACCATAAGAGAGATGAGACTATCCTATATTTGCTTTTTTCCTGTTTTGGGGAGGCCTGGGGAGGCCTGTGGCTCTGAATATTAGGTTGTCTTCATATTCCGGAGCAAAATCTCCGTTCCCTGAGCCTTTAGTGGTGGCTCACCTTGGGTACTTAGAGCCTTAACAATTTCTCAAAACCTCGGCTTCCAATCATATAGAAATATAGATCCTTGCTTGAGCACTTGCATGAGCCATACGTGGCGCTGTGGCTAATACTAGTCAACCCCTTGTCTTTCTTTGCTCATTTCTCTTCTTTTCCTAGCACCATTGACGTACATAGCTCCTCAGTGTGAACAAATTCTTTTGACCCGAAAACAAGCTTAAGTGGTCAGCCGTTCGACCAAAGGCCTAAAACGAACTGGCATATCTTTCCCCGCAGTCGATCTTGTCCTAGAATCCGAACACGACGACGTAACTATCGCGTAACTATGGGATTCTGATTTCAGTCTCTTAAAATGCCATCCTGGCGTACATGGGATTTGCTTTCGCCCCATCCGATACCAAGCATTTTTGATTAATTGTTGTCTTACCACACCCAACTACCACACCCAACGTCCCCTTTGCCACTACAGTTGGCATGGTAAATGCTATCATGCAATGGAGCTCGTTCCGACCTTACCGACTCGAAATAGAATTACCTCAAGTCTATTTACCCAATACGTTTCCTAGTCGGTTGATCTAATGTTTTTTTCAATGTAGTAGTTCTTGTGAATTAGTACCTAAAAGTCGCCCCTCTAATGTAAGCAGTCCCTTGCGTGACGCGGCAATTCCAAAGTCGACGGAGGGACCTCGGTCAATGGGATCTTGTATTTGCAAATTACTTCTGTCCCTTTCAACCTGCCCAAGTAGTCGAGGTATTGTGAGATGTACCTTAGTACATCTCAACACGTGACTGCTCGTCACGTGTCATTCAGACATTCAGATTCATCTTGAGTGTTTGTAAAAAAAAATAATAATGTTTCATTTTATTAGTTAGTTCAATAGATCAATTTATCTAACAGGTATTATTCACTCTCGCAAGCGGTTCCTAAGCTATCGCCTTCTCACTCATCAGTTGCGGACCACTACTTCAGCTGTCTCGCGCCATAAGCTGTTGGGAATCCCACTAACCTAGACCGATCCATCTAGGTACGGATCCACATACAACTTTGATGGAGTTCAGCGTGTCTAGACCCAAGCACTACTACCATCTAACTTCATACATGAAGCTATCTAGGGATCTATCTACTAGGATACCAACGTCCCAAGGTATCCAGTAGATCTTATGGGGCAGATCTCATTATACCTAGGTAATTCTCTAGCACAGAGCGGCCATTCATACCTACCAAGTTCTACAAACCCCTTTTCACGGGCTGGACCTCAAGCTACGCTCTGTTTCCGTTCTAAGGCCACAATACCCCAAACCTAGAAAGACCGATAGCCCTATAAGGTAAAGAGTTGTGTTGTATTAGGTTATGGTGATGGTTATCGGTGTATGCGTGAAGAATAAGCCTGTTGTGTCTAGGTCATTCAGAACCTTATTCAACCCCCTCTGCTTTATAATATTAGAAGGAGTATCGTTAATATTGCTGACAGTGAATAGGACTCGTTGTAGAGGTTTATTTCACGCCTATCCATATCCCTCACGGCTTTGACGATAAATGTAAATAATTATGAGGCCAGTATGACTTGCGGAGACAGTTACCTTGGGATAAAAGAAGGAAAGGCTAGGCGAGAAATAGCTTAACCTAGCAGCATCTTGATGCTTGTGATCCAAAGTTCCCTCACAAGCATTTGGTATCTTTAATTTAGTGTCTCCGGAGCCATCACTCCATACTTTACTTCTGTTGACATTCTGACAATAGGACGGCCGCACTCTTGTCTGAACCCAAGAACAAGAAAGATAGCATTCCGATGCTGTGTGCCAGCAGTAGCTTGAACTCTCTTGACTCAGACCCGAGAACACTATGGCGCACCAGTCTCCCACGATCAATCGCTCCTTCTACAAGCCCGTTTCTGTAGGGAGCGATGTCCATCGGATGAGGTAACGTATACTATTTTCCAAAGTGTGAATGACAGCTTTTCGTCTTCCAATGGGCTGGTCGATCTTCAATCTTAACATTGACGCTAAAAGTTCCTTCAGATCGCCCTGACTATATTCGTATGGAATAGTGTCCGGCAGATCGGTTTAGGGCCTTGGTGGACCCCAACAACTCGGCCTTCAACATTTCTCACTAATATCGGTCTAGTAATCAGAGTTTAGGTATGATCCTAATCGACGTTCTTCGTATCTCCCTGCTCGTTCAATCTATATCCGCGAAGCTTAACATCAGAGCCGCTAACCTGCTGTCCCGGTTCTATACATAGTATTGGTTTGCGCTGGCAACGCAATGGCAACGTACGTTCTTGTGGGTCTATGTTATCCGTACGATCTCCCGGCATCGCGATCCGTAATCACGGCTAGGACCCGTGAGACGCTATCCAGGTGGCATAACCATGCCCTTACCATTTGAGGTCTAGCTACCAACGCTTAAGCCTCCTATAACGGGGTCTCGGGAAGCTAGGACCCCGAAAATGCTCAACTGAAGGCGACAGCTTAGCGTTAGATATTACGTTACTTTGATATCCCAATGCTATCGTCAAAGGCTAAGAGGAATCTTTGCACCCAAATCAACCGTCTCCATGAGATCCTATTTGAGTTTGAAGATATAATCCCCCAAGCTTATTGCAACTAAATCTAGCTCCTATCAGCCTAATAATCATGACGCGTTATGAGGTTCGCGTGAAGTTGTCCAGAGGGATATGTGAGCTCGGTCACTTGAATCTTTCGAAAATGTATACTCGCATTTTCCTACGCTATCAACGTCTTATTCCTTTGCGTCTGACTACCGAGATAGTTTAAGATATGAGAGCCACGGTAGTCTCCCGAAAGTCCACAGAACATGCATCGGCTAGGAAGCGTTACATCCCATCCATACCGAGTTTTACACGTTTTCCTTCTTTTTTTTTTTTGCTCCAGTCCCCCTATTCCAAAGCAGCCACCCAGGTTCTTGCACGTTGCCTTTGGGGTTTCCTTAGCAGGAATTCCATTCTACATGGAACAATGGCCTACTATGTAGATGGCTACATTATATCAACTATGCCTTATTTTTCTGTTTTTACCCCTCCAAAGTCAAGGATTTAATGGCACCACAGCAACCCCGCGGGACACCAAGGACCCCTCACCGCCCTACTTTCCAAGGGGTGACCATGGGAATATGAGGCGACCTATTCTAATTTCAAACCATAGCTGCAAGAGTCGTATATATATTCCAAATCGGGTCGTTTTGACCGCTTGAGCGCATTGAGCTTGCTCCAACCTATTTCCCGACCCCGACGCGTGCCGTCGTCGTACGTTCTCACGTAGGCATGCAAATCCGCACGTGTTCCGGGATCAGAGAGCATCTCGCTTGAAGATCCCGGTCGTCAATCATCCCGACACCCCAACGATTCAAGCTCCAGTTTCTATCTTGTTACTTCTGGGGCCTTTATACTAAATGGTGATGGTACGCTTCACACCGCTCCTGTTGTGGGTTGTGGGTGAGTCTAGTTGATCGAGGCTGCAATGGATTACTTGTTGCTCTTAGGAATATACATGGGTTGGTTTTCAGCGGTGCCGAGCTGTAGGGATATCTGACGAATCAGATACGCGCCTGTTCTGTGATATATCTCGCTACCAACGCAACTAAATCAGATATGTGTCTTCAAAAGAGCTTTTCATGCAACCAGACCGTTCGTCTAACGGGGTTGATACAACATACTGCCGCACGTTGGCTAGTTCGTGCATGAAGTTTCATTGTAACAGGAGCCAGCATACTTTCGTGCCCTGTCTGTGCCGTACCCATGCAGATTCGCAAGCGCACATGGTATAACCCTAGCTTCTATAGATATAGAAATCCCAGGAGGTTGGAATATTTATATGCAGGATACTAGCCATGAATTCATGTCCAAGTCCAGCTCTCTAGTCATTAAATTTAAAAGCTGTGTATAAGGATCCAACTCGGATTACAGCAGAACGAATTTCAAACAATCAATAACCACTCGTATCATTCAGAAAGAGACACGATGGCAGCATCACAGAAGCCGGGACATTCCCTCAAGTACGACCCTGAGTTCGGGGCGTTTTGGGCAAAACTTGGTGGTGTAGCCCAACCGGCGGCTGAGCAGCCGATAACTGAGCTGCGTGAAGTCAACGACGGCTTTATGCGTGCCATGTTCGCTCAGTTCCCAGCGCAGCCTCACGTCGTCAGAACTAAGCACTCAACTAAGTCATACGATGGCACCGAGATCGATGTCTACCGGTATGCCACCGAGGAACAAAGATCCAGCAAGACGCCACTACCGGCAGTCTTACACATACACGGCGGAGGTATGATGGCCGGAACTGTCGACATCTTCGCACCTTATATCGCTGGCCTAGTCAACGACACGGGCGTCCAATTCTTCGCTGTCGAGTACCGCCTTGCGCCCGAGAACCCCGACCCTACTCCGGTCGAAGACAGCTATGCGTCCCTAAAGTGGATCGTAGAGCACGCCGCTGAATTCAATGTCGATGCCACACGGCTCGGTGTTATGGGCGACAGCGCTGGTGCCGGTCTTGCTGCAGGGACGGCGCTCCTAGCTCGCGACCGTGGCTTAAAACCTTCGCTGAAGAAGCAGATCCTTATCTACCCCATGCTTGACGACAGGACCATCACAGCCTACCACGCTCCCGACTACCAGAATCCACTGAAGGATTTCGTGGTCCTCCCCACAGACACCCTCGTCCGCTGCTGGGAGCTCTACCTTGGCAAGGACAAAGCGGGCAAGCCCGAAGCCGATGTGAGCCCTTATGCAGCGCCGTCGCGAGCAAAGGACTTAAGCGGACTACCCCCTGCATATATCGAAGTCGGTAACCTCGACTGGTTCAGAGACGAGTCGATCGACTATGCCACACGATTGACCAACGCGCACACCGAAGTTGAATTCCACATCTTCCCCGGTGTACCTCACGGGTTCGAGGTGGCCGGTCCCATCAGCACGACCAAGAAGGCTGTAGAGCTACGAACCAAGGCCATACAAGACCTGTAAATAATGAGAATAATGAGATAGATGAAAAATCACTCGAGTAAAACTACGTCGAGAAAATAAGAGTCAATGTTAATTCTCACCAACTTTAGTGCTGGATACTAATGGGTATCTCTCTTATGTGCTTAATGCTAATGAAATGATGAAGTTGCAAGTTGTAAGTAAAATCTTAACCACGAAATTCGTAGAAACACAGTGCAAGTTAAGCCAGTCAAAATGTGCTGATTCAACTCCACCCGTGATGCTTCGACAACCAGGTCGCAACGTGGACGCCCTGTTTCGTAAGCAGTATTTCTTACACATACATAACTTGCTAATATGTAAACCCTATGCCAAACCTAGTTAGGTGTGCCCTAGTGCCTAATGTATAAGTGGAGTGAGGGGATGACTGTCAAGTTAAGAGAGAAAAAAACCTAGCAGCATGACATTTATGCACGTAAAAATCTGTTTGGCGTTTGACGATCCAGGAGTTGTGGGACCAACGGTGGCAGATATTTACTATTTACCCCGCCAGAGCCGGGGACAGGCGAAAAGACATGGAAAATTGAAATAAAAGAACAAAGAAGGGGGTTAGGAACATAGAAAACCGTTCAAAGAAGGGCGAAGGGAAAATAATAAAGAAAGGAGATTAAAATTTTTTTAAAAATAAATAAATAAATAAAAATAAAAGATAAAAAAATTGAGGCTGCTGATCCCAGTAAACCGGGAAGCATCAGGAATTGAGCCCGATGCGGGGGTCGAACCTTTAAGGTGATGTTAGCATTGATGGTAAATAATCTCAGATGTTGAGGATTGACTTACCCGCAACCTTGAGATTAAGAGTCTCACGCTCTACCGATTGAGCTAACCGGGCGGTGCAAGGTGACTCGAATTTGAGGTATATATTACCTATGTTGCAGGTTTTGTGTGCGAGCCATCAGAAAACTAGCCAAGTTAGCCAATCATGATTCCAGCTTGGAGTGGGCCACTGTATGTAGTCCAAGATTTGGAGAAATCCCTCGACCACACATAGGTACTCGCACAAAATCGCGTACATAATTCGATCACATATAACGGAGCCTAAGGACAGTAAGGGGGAATGAATAGTAGATCGAAGAATCAGATGTAAGGTAGTATTGAAAAGATGAAAGCTAGTGAGGTTTACCTCGGAAAGTAGAATGTAGAGCAGAGTAGAACCTGGTGGTATTGATCAATATAGTTATATCATTCTAAGTATCGTAGTTATAAGACTGTCAAAGTAAGGGCTAATATATATGTGTCATTCGATCTTAAACATCCTACTTACCTATAACCCCTTACATATGTACAAGTATATGCTACTGCTATTTCAGAATTTATTTCATATACCCCTCATATCCAGACCCTCCTTAGAAGTCATAAGCACCAAGACGTCTATAGTGATGATCTACAAACTTCAATATAATAGCTTTATATCTCTTAATACTAATATAGGTATGGTTATCTGTTTGACGTTAAGTTATCCAATGCAGGTACGACTTAGAAACCCAATGGGCTTGGAATACCGAACTACCTGCATAGATAAATCTAGTAATCTCATGAGGTTCTCCATATGCACGGCAACATGATAGGTAGCGTCAAAATATTGCTTCAAACTGTGGGCTTATCGCAGATATTCTTATATTGATATAGAAGTTATATTTTTCAGTCACCACATATATGGATGACTTGTATACCTTAGATAGGTACGTTAGTTGAACTCAAGAGTAAAGCCATATTTCAACTAAATATATCGAATAAGTCGATCGTTTAATAGGCTTTCTTAGAGTGATGCCCAAAAGGCCTTATTTGAGCATCGCGATTGCGGATATGTAAAGTTATACCGTGAAATATAATTTCTTTGACTTTGTTTAGTGATACGATACTAAGATTACCCTCTACGCTCTCTCTAAGCTTTCCAGGCACGAGATAGCTTTGGTTTGAATATCCCAATAGCTATACCGTTAGCTATATTTATTACTTGCTTGATGTTTATACTAGAGATAATAGGTAGTATCTTTTACCAAGTACTAATACTTGTAGCAATGTGTGTCTCCAAAGCCTCAAGCTTAGAGTTGCGGCCACGAAGGGAAACGTGCTATTTTAAGACGGAACGACCTCCTTCCCTACCTCTCGCAACGCTTTCACAAGTCCCTCCACTGTGCTCCTCAGGGTCTGAGTGTTCACTACCACGCGGAAGAGGCTACCCTTTGGGCCGGGCGCGTAGTCCACCATGAACCCCCTCGGCACAAGCTTCGCGACCATCTGGCTGGTTCGCCGCGTGGTCTCCTCTTGGTCGTCGGGTAATGCACCGCCCGGTGCATAGTAGAAACAGACCTGTAGACATGGTGGTGGGTTGCTGGATAGGAGGTAAAAGTCGCCTGACTCCTGCACGAGCGTTGCAAGGTACGCTGCGGTGTTGAACGCGTGGTCAATACGCTTCTCGAACCCCTTATCACCATAGTAGATCCACGAGAGTGCCAAGTTCAACGCGTCGCCACGGCGCCCGCATTGGAGCGTCAGATCTGCCAGATCCCAGATTTCGTCTTCGGTGCCTGCATCATGGAATAGGTATCCCGCACGCAGAGTGTTAGCGCGCTGGAAGACCGTGACATCGTTAGTGAGCAGAAAAGAGCAGGGCACAGGCACATTGAGCATCTTGTGCGGGTTGATGGTTAGGGAGTTGGCATGCTGTGACCCGGCTAGCTTGTGTCGCTGCGCTGCCGAGAAGATTGCCGGTCCGCCCCACGAGGCGTCGATGTGTAGCCAGACGCCGAATTCCTTGCAAATGGGCGCGATCTCGGCGAATGGATCATATGATCCCCATACAGTTGTTCCGGCAGTTGCGTTGACGTACAGGGGCGTCTTGCCCTCGTCCTTAGCGCGAAGGATAGCTGTACGAAGCGCCGATGGAACTATCTGACCGGCTGGGTCGACTGAAACCTTGATGACGCTGTTAGAACCGAGACCACATGTGACAGCTGCCTTCTCAACCGAATAATGCCCGTGTTCGCTGGTGAAGAGTGCGAATTGGCGGCCTTGGTTACCAGACGTCTTCACATCGGGGAACAGGGCGTTTCGGGCGATGACAAGGGAAGTCAGGTTCGAAGCACTGCCTCCTTGACAGGTAACGCCACCTGCTCTGGGGCCAGTAAACCCAAATAGATTTGCTAGTTTACGTGCGGCCGTCTTCTCGATGATCGTTAGTGCTGGGGAGGTTTTCCAGACATGCACCTGTATTGTATTAGAGACTTGAGAGAAATAAGGGGTAAGAGGACCTACGTTGGTGTTTAGTACTGTAAGGACGAGCTCTGATATTACGCCAACCTATTTAGCTGTATAAGTTTATATTTCTAAGAGGTTTATCGCTTCCTCATGAGGAATAAGGGGCTAGCTTACTGGATTGATGCTCGAGTATAACTTGTCCATAAATCCCTGATCCCACGTATTTACGCTGTATCGTAGGATAGTTTGGATGATATCTAGTAGACCTTCTTTTCCTACTCCTTCCTCTGGAATTGATATGCGCAATTTCTTTACCAACTCCTCTGGTTTATGCGAATCCACTAGGACATTTCTACCCGGTGTCCCTTGAGCATCTGCAGCTATAAAACCGCTGGCTCGACTCGAGGCGGCTTTGTCCGCATCCCTAATGAATGGTATGAGAAGAGATTTCACCGCGTCGATCAACTGGGCATGATTTAGCTACGTAAAATAATACCACTATATGTTGTCTGCTAGAATTAGCTTACATCTTCGACCTCATCGGCTCTGTTTAACTTGGGCTCGTCGGCGCCGTTGCGCTCATTGACTCGGGTATTTGTAGACATATTTGACGATCGCGCAATGATTAAATTGACGCCGTAGATTCGGAGGTTTCTAGAGGTTTTGAGTAGATCTCGTTTATAAACTCATTTGTTTTGGTTATCTGATATCTTGGAAGTATCCAGGTGCTTGGAATTTTTCGGCTACCCTTTCCACCAAGATGTTATCTGCAATGGTAATTGCCGAGACCCACTGCGTAGGGTAGTTCTCGGGGCTACCATTCGGCGCAAGCGATCGCGTGCTTCTCGGAGTTTTAGTGCAATGATCAGAAAAGGAAGCATTGCGATAGTGTTAGTCAGTTCATGAGAGGAAACCACATCCTATTTTTCTACTGCGTAGAGGTAGTTAACTTAACCCTGTCTAAAGAACCGAGAAAATCAAATTATCAGATTACGTGTAATGGCGTTATCGCCTCTCTTACAATACCATCTTACAATACCGGGACATCACAAAATGTCTTGTCACAATATTCCGCCGTATGAAATGGGTATACTTGGACAAATCCCTTTTGATAGCCTGTGATGTCACGCCAATTTCATCCTACCTCTTACAAACGCCATAATCCCCGGAGCCTTGCCAAACAACTGAATTCAGCTTATGCCGTGTAAGTGAACATGTTTTATGTTTACCCCTGAGGAAAAGGTATCATTCAATCCGTCCATCCGTTGCATCGTGTTCTCGTAACGCCCTCAGTCGACTCGTTTCTTGGTGTCGATCGTTTCTCCTCCGTTTTGCTCGGTCGTTTTGCCATTGCTAACGCCTATATCGCCCTCATCTTCACCCTCATCCCACGCGTCCACGGCGTTCTCGTCCCAGTTGTCGACTTCCTCTTCGAGTGTATTGGCCCTTTCGTTTTCGGCTGCTGCCATGACACCCTCCTCTTGAGCCTCGACATCCTCATCGAGCTCGAGATCTGTGGGGTCCTCACCCGGAACGGCGTTGTATTGTCTACGCGAACGCTTCCTCTCTAGCATCCTCAAGTGGTACCAGGAACACAACCCGAGCCCCGCCAAGCTGCCCACAATATTGGCGACAATGTCGAAGGGGTCAAACTCTCGTCCGTTAGGGAGAAACCCTTGGAGGAATTCGGAGCCGACACCAAGGCCTATGGTACATACAACCACGGTGAAGTTAAGGGTACGGCGGCGGTTCGTGTCGATGATCCAGTAGAAAGCGACGGTCAAGAGGAAGAAAGTTAAGAGGTGTAGGACTTTGTCATTGATAACGGTTTCGAGCTGTAGGGACGAGAGTCCTGCGTAGCCTGCAAGGAGACATAGCAGGAAGAAAACTCCTGTAAGTGTTTCGTTAACTTGTGATCTTCACAGGGGCTGTGATGTAAAGCTTAAGCGATTCTCGGGGATCGTCATAGCAAGTCCGGGAGCTTCTGAACTATGGAACAGAGCACGTTAGGCAACAAAGAAAGAAACCAGGGAACAAACCTGCAAAAGGTAGGCGGATTCGCATGTTGGAGTTTATAAGAGTTTAAACCGGAATAGTATGTATGGGCATGATTTCACATGGGGCTATTGTCAATTATTGTAGATGGTAAAAATCTTGTGATGCTGGACAAAAAAAAAGATGTCGCTGAAGTGAAGAAAGTTGGCCCGGGTGAGCTTCACTTCGGGTTTCCAGCGATGGAAAGCAGACGGGTTCCACTTCTTTCGTCACATAGCCCACCTGGTCCTGGTTGCTGAAAAGATTTGGGGCTTTGACTGATAGGCAGATACATAGGTACATAGGTCGTACAATTGATGGCTGAGCTGAGTTACATAAGCGACCTAGGTAGGCTTAAGTAGGTACATGTATCTGGCCTGCTGGTCCGTACATACCTATGTACATGTACATAACATGTATACCTTATGTAACGAACCTGCACTACCTGCACTTTATTATCTGCAGCTGGCCGCCTGCCCGCCGCCTGGGGTCAGCTAGGGGACTTAGATGTTCCCCACTAGCCACTTATCAGATCACATACTCTCCACACTTCTAATGTTGGGGTTTCGGAATATGCAGGTCGGGCTGAGCTGAATTAGCATTTATAGTCATTTTTAGAGATCTATAGATTTGAGACAGCCTAAGTCCCGGATGCTGTGCTACTATATGATGTACTTCGTGGCATCACTAAAGCTTGAATAGGATATTCCTAACATTATAAAAATGTGGCTGTGAGACAAAAATTTTGTGGCCGCTGACTTTGAGCCATATGTAATGCCTAACACGTGACGAGTATGATTATTCAAACGGGATCATTCGATTGGAAATCCGGCTGTTTGCGGGGGCTTTGAATCATATATGAGGTACATATGTACTTCCCAGCACGTCTTCGATATACCTACGCTGAATGTGTATGTGCCTCTTTGAGGAACAAGATATTGTAATACTAGAATTGAGGATGTAATAAGAAAATTAAAACATAATAAAAATTCTCATATTCAACATGAATTTGATGTTGCAATTATAAATTTCATCAATTGAACAGTTGATTTTACATAAGGTATGTTAGGTTAGGTACCTTCTACTGTTGTTCAACAAGTGCCCGTCTCCGTGAATGCGGCGGTTGTCATTGCAAATGCGCAATAGCAGACCTAAGGTGCTCAGGTGCTGATTTAACAAGTTATAGCAGGTTCTCAGGGGCACATACGTGGATTGGTCAGGTGCGGTTAGGTACTTAAAGTTGGTACTTAAAGTTGTTACTGTAGAAGTAGAGGGTAGCAGGTACCGCAAGTAGTACCTAAGTGTATTATTCATTGTACACCTGATGTAATAGGTAGTTCAATGTACCGCGGTACCCCCATCAAGCCATAGTACCAGGGATCCGCTCAAAACCTCCTTCGCCATAACCTCATCTTTTGAATGTACGCGAAATCGCCTTGAACAAGACGCATCAAAGTATCACCATTCTTATCAAGTTTTCTCCTAAAACAACTTCTGTCATCTAATTCGATGTCGCTCAATTTTCTAGTGTCAATTTAGGGCCCTTAAACACCCTATTCCCGAATCGACGCGACTGTAATTTCTTCCCGCATGGCTCCCGCCACCATTTCATCACTCTAACACGCCCATAAGGCCATCATGTCTATCATGAACGGCCAGCATGCCTGGCCGCCACCGCAACACCATCAAGTCATTGGCAAACGTCCCTTTCATAGTCCTACTGATGCTTTAACGCAATCCAACGATATTATGGATAATTCCGCCGCGTCGGTGCCTGAGGCATCAGATATCGATGAGGACCGCGTGAGGGCCCACTTTCGCGAATTGTATCATCAAAATGAAGCTCGCATTGCGCAGATGTTCGCCCCGGATGGTTCTATTAATCGTGCCGCCATAGAATCATGGAGGCGACCAGTCACACCCTCTACGGCCCCTCCCCCAACCACCGACCATACCACCGTACAAGAACGTCCTGCCAAGAGAGTCAAAAGAACGATCGATGAAGACGACTATGGGGACGACGATGAGGATGACGACGAAGACGATGAAGACATTAATAATAACACTAATATATCTTCGCTTAAATCTAAAGTTGCCTCCGCCACCGCCGCCGCAAAAGGCCTCCCATCTCCTTCTAAGTCGGGAAGCTCCCCTATCACGTCCGTGCCGTCGCCTTATAAACTTGACGATAGAACGAAAGATGATAGTCAGCCGGGGTCGCATGGATCGCAGGCGCAAGCTAGCAATTCCGAAGACGCGCGCAAGCAGTTGGAAGAAGCGCGGAAAGATACCGAGGAGGCTGCCAAGCGTAGTTTCTACACTACCTTCTATACACTTGAGAATGATCGGGCTGCTATGTTGGAACAACAACAGCTTGAAGAATCTGAAAAGCAGCTGCAGGCTGAGATGGATAAGAATACCAGCGGCAATACGAGCGCAGGCACGTCTGGGGAAAATCATGGATCGCTCAGTAGCGCAAACCTGGGCGCATCCAGTTTAACACTCAAGCATCTTATTGCGCGCATAGATATGAAGCGCGATATGGTGCGCGCATCAGATGCCGAGTTGCGCCTCCTTATGAACGAAGTTCGTAAAAATAGAAGTAAGTGGGCTAGCGAAGAGAACGTTAACCAGGAAGAGCTATACGAGGCCTTAGAAAAGGTCTTGACCGAACTCAAGGCACATACCGAATATTCGACCCCGTTCCTCCAGAGGGTTAACAAAAAAGACGCTCCCGATTACTATAATTGTAAGTTTCGCGCGACCACCGAAGCTCGATTACGCTAACTGACACATGCCGTAAAGTCATCAAGCAGCCCATGGATCTCGGCACGATGACCAAAAAATTAAAGTCGCTGACTTACAAGTCCAAGTCCGATTTCGTCACAGACCTCAATTTAATTTGGGACAACTGTCTGCGCTATAACCAGGACATGGGCCACCCATTGAGGCGAATGGCTAACGGGATGCGCAAGGAGGCCGAGAAGCTCATTCCATTAATCCCGGACCTTGTCATCCGCCCTCGTGCTGAAGTTGAGGCTGAAGAGAGACGGAAGCAGAATGGTGGCGATGATGACGGTGGTGATGATTCGGATGACGAGCCGATAATGTCGTCTCGCGGCCGGATCACCGGCGGAGCGAAGGGATCGAAAGCTAGGAAGACTCATTCTAGCCAGAAGGAAATGACTCCCGGCGTCGAACAGAAGCCAGTGCTGCAGCTGAATGGATTATTGGCAAAAGCTCATAGAGAAGGCTCTGAACTCGATGGGAGTAACGGATTTGGAACGCCTCCTATTGCGGGCTCTATGACACCCAGTGGGATTAATGGCCATTCAGGCATGGGTAGCAACGTGGATGCCATGGACATTGATGGCCCGGAGTTGAACGGCATGGCATTAGGACAGGCGCTGAATGAAGCCGCCCAACAAGCTTATGAAGACGAGGAACACAAAATCTGGAAGCAAGTGACCAAGAAGGACCGCGCGCTAATTACCAAGAGTCGGTTTCAACTTTTTAACAATAACAAGTTGAATGTCGACGAGCCTGCGTTGCTTCGAACTAAGGCTGGCATGCGTCGATTCCTACGTGGTCGGCAGCAGGCGGAAGCTATGGGCTTGGTTGGTTATACTCTGGATCCGTCAGCTAGTCTAAGCAAGGAAGCAAAGGCAACCGAAACTCTCGCAGAGGGTATGGAAGAGGATGAAGAAAAGGCTATCCCCGATTATTATGACATCCAAAGCATCATACCTGACGTCCCGCCAACCCTCCAGTGGGTCGAGGACGCCGAAGGCCATGTCATCAACCAGCATGAGGAATTTCTCCAAGCCTTGCCACAGGGTTACTTCACGGCACCTAAGAGTAGCCTAACGCAGAAATTCGATGCCAATATTCGACAGATGCAGGAGACGAGAAAGATCTGCTCAAAAATTGGCGTTATAAAGCAGATGCAGCTCCAGACTCAGGTATAAACTACGTTTCCAATGCATCTTACTTGCATCACTAACTGACTAATGTCTCTTAGGTATATGCAAACCAGTTTCCGAAATATAACCCCGAGCCGTTTCAAGAAGCCGATGTTGAACCGCATGTTACGTGTGGTGATAACATCGTAATGGCGCCCGAGGTTTGCAGAGCGGGGATGCAACGGTCTGTTGCGAAGATCTTCTACCATGCGGGTTTTGAAGAGCTCCAACCGTCTGCCATGGACGCTATTACTGACATCGCTGCTGACTACTTCGGGAAGGTGATACAGACCGTCAAAAGCTACACCGAGATTGAAAAGAAAGACCCTTCCGCCGAAGACCTCCAACGTGGTTTAACAGCTCGGTCCCGTTATACCCCTGAAGAGGCTCTGCTCCATACGCTTAATGAGAGTGGCTATTCGATTGAATCGCTTGAGAGTTATGCCAAGGACGAGGTCGAGAGGCTTGGGCATAAACTAGTCGGCATTCACGAGCGTATGAAGTCTCACTTAGGTGATCTTTTGCGTCCCGCGGTGACCGAGTCGGGACAGGACGGGGCCGCCGCCTTCAACGATGGAAGCGAGCAGTTCATTGGGGGTGATTTCGCTGAGGAACTTGGCGAAGATTTCTTTGGGTTCAAAGAGCTCGGCCTCGCCGGGGAGATGGGCGGTGTACTCTCAGTGCCTCTCCATCTCCTTCAATCGAGGGTTCGCAACCAATACCAGGTCCAGAACCCAACGCAAGGTACTTCCGATGAGGTCCTCTTTGAGGATCTCTCGCCTCCTGAACCCATTACCAAGGAGAATATCCAGGAGCAGATCGGCCTTGTCAAGAACTTCTTCCTCGCTAAGCTGCACGCTAATGGCGACTCACCTTTGGTGGAAGATGAAGACTTGCCTGTCAAGCAGCGACGACCCCGGCCACGTCTTGGTGCTACTGGCAAGATTGTTTCACCTCAGAAGCGACCCCCCAAAGAGCAGAATGCCATTAACAAGAAGAAAAAGAAACTAGAGGCCCAAGCAGCCGAAGCTAGCAAGGCAACAAATAATAGTCCTGAAAAAGGTGGCTCGAAGAAGAAGAGTCTGTCTATGCCCAACGGTAGCAGCCTTACAAATGGTTCATCTCTGCCTCCTATTGCCCCTCCTATGGAGCGTGTCGGGAGCACGCAAAGCCAAGGCAATAACAGCCAGACGGATAAAGAGGACAATGGCATGATGAGCCCAGAGAGCATGGAGCGTTAGAGAACCGTACACCGAGAGCTTGTCAGCCCTTATACTGACTAGCCATGGTGCTACTCCTCTCACCATCTACCATTTCGGAAAAGCAGTAAAGCAGTGTTTGATTAATCCATCCCATCCCTATTCTATATCCTATTTAGCGGGATATCCTTTTTTTTCTTTCAGGGTTTCCTTAGACTTGGCCTGGAACCCAAGGGAGGGTGCGCGGCGTATGGTTGTGCATGGAGGCGTTTTGTTCGGAGGGATGCCGATGAATATTCACCCTTTCGCAAGTGGACATGGTTCCATATTTGGCTCGTTTTCTTGTTAATGATTTTTTTTTGGTACGACTTGCATATATCTGGATGGATGGACGACGACTGAGGAGACAGACAGGACGGCATATGGATGAGTCACGCAGGATCGATCGACAGGACACCCGAGATGCACACACCATGTACATAGTTCTCCCCCGCCACACCCACACGTTACCTTCTTATTCCACCATCACACATCTAGCTATATGAGCTACCCTGTATCATACTGAATCTGACAGACATCCCTGAGCCTCAATTTCAGCATTCGCGACTAGTAACGTCAAGCAATGGTTCTTATTGAACGCTTTAGTCTATTGTGGATATGTAAATCAGCTAACTTTGATTCTTGTAGTATTGGTTGTCCGTAGGGAATTTTTTTTAAATAAGTTTTACTATGAAGCCTTTTCCCTTTATAACCCCTTAAATATCTAGAGCCTAAGGTTCTCTATCTAAATGACCTTGTATCTATGAGCCCTAGTTCTTGAGTACCTGCTTGCGTCAAGTGCCAATCTAGACAGCGAAGGCGAAATATGTTATATTCAAAGCGTCTGTCTAACTCTTACCTATATTAAGTATCCATCTCGACCGGAGCCGGCACTCTCTCGCGAACATGCACCCTCTTCCGAAGACCCTTCGCGAAACCCCTCAGCGCACTGACCCGGGTACCCTGTCGCGCGAACGCCTGGTCGATCTCGCTAAGACTTAGACCGCGAGTCTCAGGCATGAAGACGAAGCACACGGCGGCAGTGAGCAGGGCACAGGCGCCAAACAGGAAGTACGCCCCATAGATGGTGCGGGCGAGCAGTGTGGGTGTCACAAGCGCCACCAGGAAGTTACTCAGCCAGTTACTGCCGTGGGCGATACTGGTCGCGGACGCTCGGGTCCGTTGCGGCTGGATCTCCGCTGCGTAGATCTTGATCCCGACTGCCCATGATAGCGCGTAGATCACCGCGAATAAGTAGATACATACTATTACTACCCACCGCCCGGCGCCGGTGCTAGCATGTACTGCGTCTCCTGCGTATAATGAGCCCACTAGAGATATAGAAGTCAGTGATTAGGTACTTATTCGAATAGACTAGGGATGCTCAAGTGTGTCTTGGGGGGCAAACACAGTATTCGATCCATTACGGAGAGCTCGAATCTACATACTAAGGAACATAGTTATGGCCATACCCAGGCCACCGAGGATGGTGTTGGCGCGCCGGCCCCACTTGTCTGCCAAGATGGCTGCTGGGATGGTGACGGCAAAGATAACGATGGCCGAGACGCCAGAGGCGAGGAACGTAGATTCGTTTGAGGATAGACCGGCTTGTTGGAAAAGGAGGGGTGCGTACTGGAGCAGGGTTAGCTTTTACATTTTTGACAAAGATACATGCCACAGCCTGGAGGATAACTTACATAAAGAACGCCGTCGATGCCGCTCAGCTGTTGCATTCCCATAAGGAAGACCGCCAAGAAGAGACGCGGGCGAGCGTCCGAGGAGAACACATCGAGCAATTCCGTCTTCTTCGACTTCGAAGCAGCAGCAGTGGTAGAAGTAACCTGCACAGCACCTGTGTCACCACTTGCACTAGGGATGGCGGTTTCCACTACCGAAGCATCGTATTGGTCGAGAATCTTCTCTCGATCGGCGGTAGGGACGTCAAGTTTCTCCCAAGCCGCAGATGCTTCTTTCGTTTTCCCGTGAAGTGTGAGCCATCGCGGAGACGCGGGAAGCCACATAAGAACAGCGATGGAGAATGCAATGGAATAAGCGGCGAGTAAGATAAATGGTAGACGCCATGAAAATGATGACTGTATATTAGCAGTACCGTAGCAGGTGAAGAACCCCGTAACCAATCCAAGAGTGATGAGCACCTGGGGCCCGGTAGTCAGAGCGCCGCGATTCCTCGGCGGAGAGATCTCGCATATATAACTAGATCCCAAATAGAATAAGACTCTGTTTATTCCCATCGATTGCCATAGTCTAACTTACACTACTAACACACTAAGATAGAGGCCTTCGCCGATTCCTTCAATGACACGGCCGACTATGAACATAGCAATGTGAATCGAGGCACCTTCGAGAGCGGCGCCGGCGCCGAAAATAAGAGAGCCAATAGCAATCGCATAGGGGCGACCGAGCACGTCTGCTACTCTCCCAGCGAAGAAGGACGAGATCGCTGCGGGAATAAGGATGGAAGAGACTATCAGACCGTGTATTGTTGGGGAAGGATTGCCGACATATGCTGTGAAGTCCTCCATTACGGTAACAGGGCCGATGATGCCGGTGTCGATGCCGAATAGGAAGCCACCCAAAGAGCAGATAATGCTGGCGAGGACATAGCCCGGGGGCTTTTGGAACGAGCTAAATAGCTGCATATTTTCCGCATACAATGGCTAACTTCCCTCTAAGAATTTGCTAGGTATTACGGATCTAAATTTGAAAAATATGCAACCGAAGCTGAAGTACGATACACATTATTTTATATTACTATAGGTAGGTACCTACCTTAGGTAGTTATACCAAGACCAAAGAAAGAAGACAATACACTAGCCGTAAGGTCTCTCAGTCAAGGGAAATGCTGCCAGCAGAGGCGGGGGCATGATGCAGGTGATGGTTTAAGGTATGGGGGTCATAGTCGTAACGGTATTGCATTTAAACCTTTTAGGTAAATCTTCGCTGTGGTCGTGTCGTTTTTTGGCTAGTCGATTTGCTGTTTGTGGTATCGTGGGTCCTATGCACCGGCGTTAATCGGAGGGTGTTCGGGGTGGAGTACGGAGACTAAAGGGCGTGGAAGGCAGCCGGAACTAACATAGCACCTGCAGACTTATTGGGCGAACCGGGATACGGAGGTAAGGAACGACTACCCGCTCTTGCTTACTAAAATGCCCTGTATTATCCGCTTTCCTTAATACATACCTAGGAGGTAGGTAGTGATCTATACGGTGTATTTTAGGGACTAGGAATGAGTATCTAATATATCTTTTAGACCTCAGGTTATCAATTTGTTCAAGAGGCCGCCGAAACACTTATAAAATATCCATATGATGTCAAGTGCGCATTATACGAAGTAAAATATGAGATGAAGAATGCAACCTGCATATGCTGAGATATTAATAAATATCATATAGAGCCAATAAATCTAGCTTCTATGGGTATTTTCAATAACATGTAGGTCTAGGAAAGGTCCCTTAATTATACAACATACGAGTAAGCTGGAAATATCGTATGGCCAAAATCATAAGTTCGATATCACCTCGTAGTTTTCCTGTTCCTTGTTGTGGTTAGGATGCCATGGGAAAATATTTTTTTCCTAGCTCCACTGTCCTCCAGGGCCGTACCAGTTTGTCCTGAGGAAATGTTGGGACTGAGAGAGTGTGTGGATCTAGATCGAGACCTGTCGTACTCTGGTTTCTGTCAATCAAATGTTGAAGAATCTTATAATCTTGTGGGAACCATAACTCTACGAAATCTCGAAGAGTAACCTCCCAATTCCGCTGTTCTGCAAAAGTTGCAAGGGCGCATGATCTTGACACAATCCCCCAGGATGCAGGGTCATGTATAACACTAGTATATTCTGCTCTGACTTTTAGAGCGACTTCGTTATTGTGCTTGTTACGGCAGACAGGGCCAAAACATAATCTAAATTGTACCCTAGCACCATAACGAAGACACAGTTCAAGTAAACGTAATGGGAGTATGAAGGTTTCCGGAGACAGAACTTGGTGGTCATACTGAATAACGTACCCATAACGAAATATATATGTCCGGAGTATTAATTCGAATAAGGATAGCCCCTGAAATCCAAGTGCAGGTGATCCCTCGAGCTTTGGGCTGACGTAGTTGGGAGAAATTCCTCGCGAGAAGCACAATTCAAGCATTCTAAACTGTCGAGTATAGCAGAGCCTCATTGGGGAAATGTGGTAACCAATGTCACCCATCAGAAGTGACATGAACTCCGTGGTGATGTCATCCTCTTTCATTGGGGCGACTTTGCTGACAGTTGACATCAAATAACTTGGGTCAGCCGTTCGAACGAACTCATGTAATTGCCAGCATATTGCAAAGGTATGAATATGGGTATCTGGTTCAGTACGACCATAATAAATGCCAGTTCTATTGTCACCCGCGGTTACGCTAATGGACGAGTAGTTCCATATTGGCTTTGACTGTGATCTTATCGCAGCTACTAGGTATTTCGAGCTCGGTTAAGACTTCAAGGAAACGATCATGATGCTGGTGTGTTCCACCATCAGAAAGGAAGACAGGCGTCTTAAAAGCGGCAAAGCACAAAATAGAGCCTAGCTCCCGATCAAAAAAGGGGCCGAAATACTTCTTTTCGCCATGGAAGTACCAAAATTGCTCGGCGAACTTAGTAGATGCGAAGAAGGTCTGACAGGTGCGATCGAAAAAGTCGATATGTCCCACGGTACGATCGATGGTTTCCTTTATGAGATCATCCTCTAGAAACTCATATGCAGTACTACCTACCTATGCATGAATGTGACTTCGCCATCATCGGGTAGAGGCGGATGCGGGATATTACCTATGTAGGATTTTTATTGGGCAAACATCCAGGAGACCTTTGCAGCGTCCATATATTTGCCTCCGAGTGATCTGTAGTATCCGCGTGATATCTTCGTCCGGCATATTCCCGATCTCCATTTCCATCGCATAGTTTTGATCGTCTATAACCTTGTCGAGGAAGAAGAACCGGAGTAATTTGGGTCTATGTCTCATATCTTGTGCGATCTGTATAGTGAATTGAATCGAACAAGTGCTGGTAAAGAGCCTTGAGCTCACTTGGGAATGTGTCGATTTTTGATTTGAGATCTGAGGGGCCATCACCATTGAGTATACCATCCTCGACGGCGGTGAGTACAAGTCGTACCCAGAGAAAGACTCCTTCCGCTTTATTCACAATTTTCTCGACAATAGATCTCATGTCTTCGCGATCGACCAATGTCGGAAAATGTGAAATATCCTCGAGACGATCACTTACAAGCGTGGTGATATCCTGATGTGTACAATCATGTATGCGCAATTGAGGGCATTCGGAAAATCCAACCATGAACTCGTTCCATTCTCTGCTAGAAACACATATCTTGAGATTCTCGGCATTTAGAGATGTCCAGCTAATAAGCTTGCTGACGAGCTCGACGTGGCGACCTTGATACTCATCTAGGCCGTCAACGAAGAACACCAACTTGTGTTTTTTGAACGTTGCTTCGCTCGTTAAGAGATTTTCAAATGCATGCTCAATTTCGCTCAACTCTAGTTGGACCCCACCAGTTCCATACGAATTGGTTTGTGCCCAGAGAGAGGTAAATGCGATAGGGATCGGCTCTGGGGCAGTGGAAAGAACTTGATAAAAAAGAGAGCGAATGAGCCCAATAAGACTTTTTTGCATGTCACCACCAAGCCTCCAGAAAAAGGTTTTGGCGAATACGAGAACTTTCCCGTTTGACCAGTACTCGAGGTGGCGTCTTGTTAACGGATTCATAGGTACATAGAAATTTCATCAACGTCGACTTGCCTGCCCCCGGTTTACCGGATATGTGAAATATATCATTTCCATATTGGAGCCAGTTGGTGAAATGCTCTCGAACCGTCTTTTTGAAATTAGTTACCTGATGATTCGAACGGCCCATCTTTCTTTCATTAAGATCCCCCGCGGATGCATTATCGTGACCAGGGTCGTCCTTAAGAATCCATTCAAGGGTCGTCGCGTGGGCGAGCTCCACATAATAGAATCGATCCTCCATCCCCTCATACTTTAAAGCATCCAAGAGTAGCTTTCGCTTAGATGCTAATAGAGTTTCATCTGATAGGCGCAGGGTATCCTGCAGTCTCCCTAGGAACTGAGAATCGATATTAGCTACCTGCCCTGGTAACAACTGCCGGAATGACTATAGCATGCTTTGTCTCTGTCAAATTCTGGTTAGTTGAATTTGCTGATGTGATCAATTCTTGAAGCCCTCTAATGATATCTGACCTATCATAACTAGTCAACTAATGCTGGAGAACCTCGATATAGAATATTCCCGCTTTTATAGGTAGGTACCTACCTAGACATGCTGACTACCTAGGTATCTATAGGTCGAGTTGTTTCCGACAACTATTAAGGCCTCTTTCAAGTCGATCGCTCTCGTGCCTCATCCTGTGATTCCGTAAAGCTGCTCTGAATGCTTCGAACCTGCTATTGGGATTTTCATTCTTCAGACGGTCGAGCAGCGTAAGCATATCGTTAGACCACCTTCTGCACTCCCCGGTTAGTCTCCGTAGAGCCTCTTCTTCATCTGTCATCCATAGCGTCGGGAATTCTTCCTCCAAGCTTAGACTGAGGCGTTTCATCTCCCTAGTGATAAACTCGACGTCCTTGTTTGACTGGCTCGGACTCCATACATATCCTTTGCTGCGGATAATACCCTATATCCTATGCTGACGAATTGGAGGACGTTGCTGACTAGCCCGACTGCAGCTAGGGCTTCCATTTCGGCCGTGTGCAGGCTCAGTCCCGTCAATGGCGCTAGCCTACTTTCATGAGTCGTCCCGCTGTCAATAGTTGAGAAGCTAAATCTCGATCCGCGCAATTTGACGGAATAGGAGTAGGAGTAAGAAGGAGGGGAGGCCAGGCTATCTACAGAAAATGTTAACGCCTTGAGAGGCGGGACTTGATGGGGGTAACTAATGGGGGAACAGATCGGCAGTGCCGCCCAAACTGTTAACATGATTGGCTACAAGTTAAGGCCTGTCCCAGCTCCGTCTTATCTTGCAGACCCTCTTACCACGACTGAGGTTTGGGTTAACCCGACTGTTACGGGGTGGTTCATGGTTCTGGAAATGGTATGGTGGTTCGGCTTTTTTTGCTAGTGGGCCGTGGCAAGAGGAAAAGACCCAAAACCTCGCGCGCGGGTTAGTGACAGTCCCAGTCATAGTCCCCATTATACTGTTGTATAACAGTTGTAGTCCCCGTTGAGTGGATTGGATGTGTGGCTACTTCAGTCATGTGATGCCAATAAACGTCGAGGAGGATGCAAGGAACGGCCGACGATGCCCGCCCTCCACGTCCGCTCCTGGGTATACAAGGAGCGGCCGACGATGCCCGCGCTTCCTATGTCCCTCAGGTACAAACCCTACCTAACCAAGTTGGCTATGGTATAAGCGCTTAGAATGATGTGAATAATGTGAATAATATTAATTCTTATTGGTCAATGTCTATAGATTCTCTATCTGAGCCGTGGTGGTACTATTCAAGCCCTATACGATTTGTGGAATTCATCATATTGGTCAAAGTGAAGATTCATAGATTATGAGGCGTAGCAGTGTAAAAAAATGACAAAACAACTCACACAGATACGACGTTATGACGGCAATGGCAACCAAGAAATCTGTACCTCCGGGCCTAAAGCCTTTGACGCCTAGAATTATTTGCTATATACGCTAGTTGGACAATTAATTGCTGATCTGCAGATGCAGAATTTATCGCCTATAATACTACCTACACAACCAGAGTTGATACCATATTGGGATGATCTATGCAAGCGGGAATGCATGCTGACCAGTACCGATTGTGGGATAGACCTTGTGTCGTGAGACGTCCTGCAGCACGCTGCAGCATACTGCGTGATTTCGTAAGTGGTCCTCGGGTTCATACCCGCACTCTCTTCCGCTCCTCTCCCGAGTCCGTTGATTATCTGTAGATGATCCATTGGCTTATAAAAGGATGAAGCTTCCACTGACGAGTTGTTGCTATTGTGCGTAGAACAACGTAGAACAAACTCAACGATTTCCGAGAACTTCACACTCGATTCAAGTTTGCGCGGTTCAAAGTAACACGCGTCGAAAGATCTTTTATCGAAACAACGCCATCCAGAAACCAGCTGCTTCATTTCAGCAATGGCGGTGTCAGCAAGTGAGCCGCAGGGCGGCGTAATTACCCAGATCGCCCGATCGGTGGGCTTCTCGAAGACCTACAACTTCTGGCTATGGGCTGTCTTCGGTGGTGTTCTGCTCGGATTTTCCGTGTCTCGGTTACCATACCTCGACTTCTACGGCGTCTTTTGTAGCGGTCCGGGAATGGCTAGGGGTAACATGGGAGCCGCCACACCTGGCGAGTGCTTCTACTACCTGAACCTCACCCTCGGTGGCCTCGCCATCAGAACACACCTGTGGTGTGTACTGCCCGCGGCTTTGCTCGCCTTCGGACAGTTCGTCCCCATATTCCGACGCAAGGCTCTGTGGCTCCACCGAATCAACGGTTGGATCTCGACCGTTCTATCTCTTGGTGGCGCCCTTTCCGCCCTGCCGATGTTGAAGCACACGATGGGTGGCAGTACCGAAACCCAGTCGATGAACCTCTTACTGTTTATCATCTTCGTCACTGCGGTCTACAAGGGAATTGTCGCCGCTAAGAACCACAAGATCCAAGAGCACCGCAACTACATGTTACGCGCTTGGGTTTACGTACGTTCCATAATGACTCCTCTTTCCCTGCTGCTGCTCATACTTGTCGGATGAGTATAACCAACTTCGTACTAAGTGCTAATTCGGTTACTCTTTTAGGGTGGATCTGTAATTACTCTCCGACTTATCATGTTGGCCACTTCCATCATGATGTCGTACAGTGGTAACTGGTATGTCGCCATACCATGCGACAAGATCGAGTACTTGATGGACGCTCAGAACGCCACCATGGCTGAGTACCAAGCCAAGTACCCTGATTGCGCACCTCAGTGGTCTGGAGAGGACCCGCACCGCCACATTGCTGTTCGTGTATACGTCCTCGACGACGACCCAGTGGGTGTTGCTGCCGCCCACTCCCACTGCTTCGGCATGTCGGGTTATGTAGCCATCATTCTGCACTTCGTGGCAGCTGAAGCCTACGTAAGTCCAGTCTTGAATCATGCATATAAATGCTATCTCGTTTCAACTATTACTGACACGTTCTTGGTTAGATCTACTGGACTTCGCCCGAGCGTAAGGTCTCCAAGGCCATTCGATCTAGCGAGACTAGCCACGCTGCTAAGAAGGTGGAATAAAGCTTACGCAAAGAGCTCCTGGAAATATAATTTCCGCCTCCGTGAAGTAAAGGTTTGGTATCAGAATAGTTGTCATGAATTTAGCGGAGGCGGAGTTAGAGACCAGGGTTAACACAATGTACCTTATATCATGTTACCCGTTTCCACCCGTACGGGTAGAATCTAGGATAAGGGGTCGGGGTCGGGGTCGGGGTTATGCATATCATGAGATGGCTTAGTACGCATGTATATAAGGCCGAGGAAGGAAAATATAAGATAGTGAGAAAGATGCTCCTTATATACCTACCTACATATTTAGATCGTTAGGTGATGCCCGCAAGCCCCTAGCGCACGGGCTTAGTCTATGATAATTCTCATATTAGCACATTATTTTGATTAATTGTTCATATGAGTTTAAGCTATAATGCTGGGATAGCATTGGCTACGATACAGAGGCATGTGAGGGGGGAGCAGTCGAAGTGGTTGATGCTGTGGCTTGGCCCTTATTGTCCGCCTTCGTGATGCTCCCGTTTTCCTCATCTCGTGCTGCCAGGACGGCTTGTTCCCCATCGATCCGGGCTTCATCAACAAGAACAACTTTATCACCGAAGGCTTGTGCGATTTCCTCGAGAGTCTTTCGCCGTGTCTCTGGGAAATAGAGATACGCGATGACTAAAAAGAGCAATGTGCACCCAACAAAGACGTAGTAGTAATTTTCGCGGATATTGGCGAAGGCGCTCGGACCGGCTTCGGTGACAGCAACATTGACGATAAAATGACCTGCCGCTGCAAGACCCATCACCTTGCTGCGCAGCGCAATAGGCAGTACTTCTGCGCCATATAACCAAGTTGTAGAGTTGATCATTGCTTTGGCGTTAAAGTCAGAATATTATCTTTTTGGAGGGGGACAAAGAATTCAGGGGCTGGACTCAAGCTCGCGTCTAAAATATCAAAACGCTCGTTGATACATCCGACAAGTGCTAGAAAAGGGGTTCGGAATGCCACTCACCGTAGTACCATGCCACGTATAAATATATACCTAACACTGCGAAACCTTTGCCGATCCTGTTTTCGCTATCCTGGAAAATGCGCTGCATCACGGCGGAATATATCATGGTTAATATGAGACCAGATAAACCTGCCAATATCATCTTTCGGCGACCCCATTGATCTGTTAGGTATCGCGTAGTAATGGAGTTTGATAGGAAGGCAACTGTTCCGTATACACCTGCCAACGCAAGTATAGTCTGCTGTTGGATTCCTAGGGATTTATACTATAGTAAAAGGTTAGCAAGAGCTAATTAGACTTGGGACTGGGATTATACGGAAAAGAAATATTGATAAAATAAAGAGGAGAAAAAAAAGGCCGAGCTAATAGAGAAGGGTACACTTGCAAGTGTCGTCTGATAATATTGTATAACATTTATACCAGTAAGACTTGTCATAGTTTGAACAACTATGGATACCATGGCTCGACGGCCGAAAAGTGTGAAAACCTCGTGGTATGACTGGATCTCGCGCGTCATTTCGAACTCGATTTGTGCCTGCATCAAGGCGAACTCCTCGTGTACTTCATGCGGCTGAAGCTCCCGTCGGACCCTAGCAAACTCGCGTCGGGCCGCCTCGATTTTACCGTTGCGGATGAGCTGTCGCGGAGAGTCGGGCATGAACGTCGATAAACCGATGAACATAATGACGCCCCAGGGTATTTGGATACCCAGGGGTAAGCGCCATTGTGTAGCACCATAGGGTGCATACGAGCACGCGAATCCCACCCAGTTAGACATCATAGTACCGAAGGAGATACCACACCCTGATATACCTCCAATCAGGCCCCGTTGATCTGGTGCCGAGATCTCACTCAGGTAGATAGGCACAGTAGCAACCATAGCACCCACAGCCATACCCGCAATGGCACGACCCGCTAAGAACATTCCGATGTTAACTGATGCCGTCTGGATCGTCGTACCGATCGTTACAATGATGCACAGTAGCTGCATAAATCGAATACGACCCAGTCTGTCTCCTATAAAAGTTTGCCCCAGAGCACCGACAGCTTCACCCGCAATATATACGGCTACTACTGCTCCTGTGATTCCATTGGAAGGGTGGTGCATGTAATCGATCCAACTTTGATGCGCGATGGCTAATTGGTACTTGGTTAGCAGATCATTCCCAGCGATATCTCCCTATTTTTCTGCTCAAGACTCACTAGTTGTGGCAATGCCAGTGTCGAATCCCTATTGTGGAAATCATAGGTCAACATAGTTGTTCATTTACAAATATAATAATGAGATATAATGAAAGAAACATACGAAGAGAAATGTGCCCATCGCGGCGAAGAAGGCGATTCCGAGAGAATACCAACTCGCCATAGTGTGTGCTTTTTTCCTTTCGGTCCCCGTTTAGTCTATAGCTTCGCAAGTAAGAGTGGATGTTGAACAAAAAGTTCCAACAAGTATGCTAGACTATTTTCAACGGGGAGTATAAGGCCTTTATTTCTACCTTCTCCTCACTCGGCTACTATATTTTTAAGACACTAGAAAGCTGCACAAGCTACCGGCCGTCATGGCAAGCCATGGTTGGAATGACGCGCATAGCCTGAATCTCCGCGTTGGGCCTGGAGACCGTGCGTTTAGAAGATCATAACACATTGGGGAAGCCCCACGAACATTTCTTTACCCCTTGTCGCTATGTGCAGGTGTACCCGCAACTCCCGCTGTCCAGTCGAACAATGGTCCAAAAAAAAGAGAGCCAATATTAAATTGTTCAAGTCTCATCCACTCGATCTGTAGTTTACTCCCGGTCTCGGAAAGTTCCCGACCGGTCTGTGGCTACGACCTCGGCTTATGCGCATGTTGCCAACGTGCGTCAACGGCGATGAATAATATGGCGATGGTGGAAATATAACTAACCTGGCCGTTTCTCACCGCCTGTAAAGGTTAACTACTGCGACAGAGCTTCTCTTCTCTTTCTGTTGTACATTGGGGAAGGTAGAGCTGATCATATCAGAGGCTCCAACTGTTGGTGGATAATATAACGAGCCATGCGAGGCGTTTTCCCTAGACCATCTCTCCCCCGTCGATAGACTAGGGACGTCACGAGGGTACTAATGGCTTACCCCAACGCCAATACTACTAGACCGCTGACGTGCCAAGTTTAGGGCGTTATGCTGGGGGCTCATCTTAACCCCAGATTATGCTGAAGCTGGGGAAGTGGAGGTAGCTCAGGTTGCCGAGCCTAAGCTAAATATTTTCTATTTGATAAAATATTCAATTAGTTACATTATCATCTCTTTATCAGAGCACGGGAAGGATATCGGTATGAGTTCTCAGCTAATTTCGGTTCCGCTTTCGGCCGAATTAACCCGTCATTTGTCGCTTCAGGGATCTCCGTCGTCTCTTTAGCTACCTATACATCTTTAGACCCTAACATATCCATTCTGCTTATTGAATTGAATTGAATTGGTAACACCAGATTAGCTTCCACAGTAAATTTGAGCTATGTACCTAGATATAGCCATAAAAATAGATAAATGCCTACCTAGGTCAGGTAGATAATAGTGATACTTTAATCAGTACTCAGTAATATTTCACAATTATGAAATACGTAAGACTAACGGAGTAGTAGTAAAGATGTATAGGAGTTAACTATTACAACTTAGGTATTTAACTCGATTACTTATATTAATGAGCATTCTTAATTGCAATCTGCGCGGCTTCCACGATCATGTTCACAAGTTCATTCATCTTGTTAAGCATTGGAGAGTAATTCTAAGCAAAACGGGACCTGCGTTTTTACACCACATCTCCTGGTACTGCGGCGGCGGACCTTGGTTGTTCTCGCACACCACGTAAGTTGATGATATATAGCGGTATGCCACACGGGTAAGCTTAGTGGTTTGGACGGCATAGGACTGATCGATTACCTTGGATGTCCAGTACTCGGCTTCTTCTGCAGGTAAGTCACTGTACAAGACCTATGCGGGGTTCTTGACGCGGAGACGACCGCCGGGACGGACCTCATTGTTAGGAGACTCTCCGAATGCACTTAATACCGATTGGCCTATATCAATACCGTCAACGCTTAGCTTTATCATAGAAAAGAGGAATAGGAGGCTCACCTTCCGCAAGAATACAGGCGGCGAAGAACAGATGGATAACTCCACCGGTTAGACCCCGGTCTTTACGCTTGTTCCAGCCTAACTCCTCCAAGACTGCCTCGCGTCACGAGGTGGAACGAAACAACATGGAAACAACATCGTTGTTCCGCAAGGAACTCTAAACTAACTATGAGGGTCTTACGTCTATACATACTAGACATGTCTTTTGTTCTAGATGTCTCATTCAGAATCCTAACAGGTGGATAACAGGATAGCCTTTTGCTTCAAGGGCTTTTGTTAACTTCTCGTGCACTTCCGGGAGCTGAAAAGAGCCCTGGCTTAGTACGATAGCCAGCTGATGAGGTTGTTGGAGCTATGATAATATTATGAGGTTATTATCTTAAAAGGGTATGGTCCTTTACTAGGTTGCGAGAGGCGAGAGGGGCGCAGTTAGCCCCCAACTACAGATATTCATCTCTACTTTGTGCCTACCTAAACTATTTACTTGTGCTGTCTACGTATATTACTCGACGACCGCACCCCTTAGGGTGCTGCGCTTTAATTAGGGATTGGCCCTGTAATTGGGGATTGATATGAAAATATTTTTTCCTTTTCAGGATTTAATGAAGGTGGGAATAGCCTCTTATTCGCCCTAATCCTTGCACGCTATCCCCAATTACAGGGCCAATCCCTAATTAAAGCGCAGCACCCTAAGGGGTGCGACCGGCGAGTGTACGTAGCCAGCACAAGTATAAGTCTAACGTGACTAGTAAGGACCAAAGGTTTCATAAAACGTTTCAAGAACTTGGCCAATTTCTGGTAACTATGAGTTCCAGGCTGCGGTTATGATACATGTATACTTCTGCATCTTGACAATATCAAAGAATTCTTGTGATACCGCACTATATTTTTTTAATACGGACATATGCAGGGGCACATACTATCATATCATGCGACCAAAATGGTGGAAATATTAAGCTATACTATTTGGTCTCACTACAATACAATTAATAAAGTAAAGACTGTCTAGAATCAGATCTTGAAATGGTAAAGGGAATAGAGAAATATATACCTTATCTAAATCGAAGTGGGAATATTATAGCGACACAACTGAAATTTTCGTGCGATAGTAGTTGATAAAGATGCGTGTTTTGATATGTGTAGCGAGATAATATGCGGCGCGTATATATTATACAGATTGGGGGCGAACATTCTGCTTCAGGATAGGGGTAGGTGAGCACCTGGAGAGGTTGTACAACATATGCATGTTATAGTTAATACGGCTCGGTATATCTGAACCATATTCCGTGAGTTCTGTCCTCAAGCCTTGTTGTCTTTTTCTCTACAAACTGAATTTACCTACTATACAAATGTCGAATCTCGGGCCTCTCACTACAGCCTATCAGGCTCAGGGCACTGGTTGCCACTCGATACATATGGGCTCTAGCCTCGGTGGGATATGGTTACAGCATGGGACCATCAGCGGCTGCTTTCCGTCAAATTATCGGTCCTATGATGGCTACTACTATTCACCTGGCGTTTGTCCAGAAGGATATACCTATGCTTGCACAGGGGCCGCTATGAGTGGCACGTCGAGTGCTTCTGTTGCTACATGTTGTCCTAGGTGGGTGCGATCGCATGGACTATATAGAAGATACTTGGGGTGATATAGACTAGATAGTGTACTGACAAGCTGACCGATAAAATAGTGGTTATGTCTGTAGCCGCGAAGACCATAGCGATCCTAATGCCTGTCAATCTACTATGGTGTCACCAAATTCCTATATGGTGGATTTACTATCGTATTCGGGGGGTTCTCCAACAAAGATTGGCACAACTACTGCCTCTTTTGGTAGTGGCGCCATAGTCTTTGCTAAGGGGCTCGCTGTATGGAGAGCCAGCAATGACGCCGAGTGGTTTGCGTCAGCTACTCTAAGCTCAACTACGGATGAAAACACAATTCGAACACCACTAAGCGTACCAACCACGACAGTTAATGTACAAAATGCGACACCTACACCGGCCGCCGAAACTAACAATCTTAGTGTCGGTGCAAAGGTAGGTATCGGCCTCGGCGTATCGCTCGGTGTACTTTTCTTTATCAGTACTACTTTAGCAGCATACATAATTGGCAGACGGAAGGGCCGTCGTATAAATAAATTTGCAGGATCAAACACCAGTGGCAGCGAAGGAAAATACGGCTCTGGGGTCCCAGAGGAGCAGTTTAATGAACAGAGGAGCATGGTAGAGATGAGTGCTGATAGAGAACCAGCGGAACTAATGAGTTTACAGCGCTAGCCAGCCTTTGTTCAAAGCTTTCAATGTTACTATCAGATGTCTAGTTGAATTATTACCTTAGGTAGTTAATTTCACATTACCTCCAAAAGAAATGGTCTACTAATTACCTATTGAGATGAAAGTAATATATGCACTAGTTTTATACTACTACCTGCAATTGTTTTCTCGATTTCCAGCGCAGTATTTAAACCAGGCTTGAAGCTCTTCGGTTCATGTCACCCGGTAATACCGTTATATAGCTTTTTAATAGTGTGCCATTGAAGTTGTTGGACCCTATGGTATCCTTATACAAGTTTAAATCTAGGATATGATACGTGCTTATGCACTACCCTTTCCAGCCTATATCCTAGGTACTTCAAGAAGTTGGGAATTTCTCTCCTTGGTCCCACTATTCAGAATATAAGGTCAATATTTTATTATTTAGGTACTTTGACTTGATTGAACTTTAAAAGGGCTGATAAAGGGGGGACCGTTAACGTACGTGCTCAATAATGCAACCATCCTCCCAGCGGTATCGATCCACAATCTCGCCCATGGAGTTCCTGTAGTTAAGCCAGGACATCTCGCCCTCAAATTTAGTACGAAGCACTGTTATCGACTGACTTCCCCAGATCGGACCGAGAATGTCCAAAGCATTCTGAGCTCCGTTCTGAGCCATGGGGTTGTGGTTCTATGAATCATTAGGTTAACCGGGTTTGAAGTTGTATTACATAGCATGTATTCCACAAACGTACGATATATTCAGGAAGGATATATTCAAAGGCCTTATAAACATCCTTCTCAACAAGGAAAAGGTCAGCGAACTCGTTAAACCTCTTCTCTGTCTCCTCTGCAGAAGGCGCTGGTGTGATCCGCGTGCAGAACTTGGAGGTTCCTTGTCGTTCAATAAGAATCGGGGCGGCCAGGGCCATGAGAGGTGCCGACACAACGGCAAACAGAGTAGAGGTACGCATGTCGACTAGAAGAATTCCGTAAAAACGATCAATAGTGTTTTGGAAGTCCTGGGTTGAACTACGATGGAAATTAGAGATCTTTTTATAAGCTAATACCATAAGTTTTAAGGTGCCATTATGACATATATCTCAGCAACACCTGATCATTAAGTTATATTACTGCGGAGAGGCCAAGCCTAGCTTCAGCGAGAATATTTCTAAGGTCTCTTCCTTGGGTGGCAGTGAACTCATATGATTGGTACCTTCTGGGTATCAATTGAAAAGATGCCACGAAAATACAACACATTAACCGTTATCGGCTATATTATCACTACCTAATTACTGACGTAAAATTTCAAGCATCCTGGTGACGTCTATCTTTGCCAAGCCGTGGCTATTTATATGCTACTTGGCGTCGGTTCCAAACGGCAATCCCAGAGCGGCATCTGAGAGGTTACAGAGGTCGTATGAAAATTAGGTAACACAGCACCTCATAGTCGCGAAACATCAACAAAGATTGAAAGGGGAAAAGTATAGTAATCAAATAGAGAGTCACATGTTCTAGAATTACCAACTTGACCTTGGAGTGGATTTAGACTACCTCTGGTGAGAATAGTTTAGGGTCATTTGCTCGTGTAGTAAGAAGGAAAAGCCAGAAAGTCCTACCGTTAGCAGCCTATCCATCATACACCTCTATATAGAATGAGAGTAGACGTATTTCATTGGCACTATAGTCTTCTTATTATTGTGATATAACTAACCTCTATCAGTCTAAAGCTTGCTGGAATGTGGCGGCAGAACCATTGAACTCAATAGATACTGGGAGGTCGAGACACTCGCGAGAACCAGAATGTCACTTGTACTTCAAACCAACCTCTGGTGCCTTTATTTTATCGTCTGGGGCCGTTGTAAATGTGCACTTCCCAACCCCATCCTTTATTTCTACTACTCCCCACCGGACTGGTAACAGATAGGCCTCTTCACGATCTTCCTCGAGGGCATGACACGCGGCGCTGATTGCCATACTATTAGTAGATACCATACTCATGGTCCCGTCGTACGTGCGAAACCCCATAGCTGCAATAGCTAACACGATCAAACCTCCAGCAATCAATGCTGTTAGTTGTTAGACAAAACTATGAGACTGTTGCACGAATATAGGTACATACTGATGAAAAGGGCAAAAGGGCTATGCCCACATGTAGAGAATGAGTTGACACTGTCGACTTGGCCACCGGGACAACTCTTTGGAGAACCATCCCCACATATAGCTGTTATCCTAGCTAGAAAAAAGCTTTGTGATACCAGCCAGTGCATCATGCTGGATGTCGTATATAGGGGTATGCCATAGCGGAGTGGAACGGAAATAAAGTAACTAGACCGCTGGATCCCCACGGGTTCCGAAACTCGAAGCGGTTTCCGTCGCTTTGAATGCATGCGGCTAAATTCGTGTTGAACAAGAAAGGTGCTCAGCATGGCATTGTAGAAAATATAAAGAAACGATAGGGCTATCTGCGGAAGATTAGCTAGAATCACATGCGAGATTAAGCCTGCGGGATCCTCCCGTGGTAATCCGGCAACAAGGTAGGTGTATGGAGTAAGAGTGCCGAAACCCAACTGCCGAAGCCCGGAAATTGTCGTAGGAATTTTTCGATGATTAAGGCTTTGGAAAGAGAATCCGAGTAGAATTCCCGCTATCAAGATGACAAGGCAGCATCTCGAAGTAAGTCAGCTTCTTCATATACTGGTATTAAAGGGATTAAATATTGCTAGTCTTCCCATATTTTAGGTACTCACGAAAATAGTAGCACAAACCACCGCCGTTTTCTAGCAGCCATAAACCAAAACTTTCGCCGTCCTTCCCATTCCCTGGGCTCCCGGTTCAGAGTGAAGGGCTGTTCCACGAGATTGGACTTCCACGACCGGCGTCGTATAAAGTCATCCTTGGTAGCAAGACACATATCAACGGTTGTCGGGTCCGGATTCCGCATAAACGAAGCGATTGCGTCGCCAAGGGTATATAGAACCGTCCCGTCCGCATCGTCACGCATCGGCTGTTGCCATTTCCTCAGAGCCCAGATGCAGAGCATCACGAGTATCTTGGTAAAGTTCAACGCACATACGGTGAACATAATAGGTGGAGAGTACTGGAAACGGCATTTGTTGGTGATCGTACTGGGAGATTGAACTCGGCAATACGATACTTCGTATCTCTTGGGCCCCAGAAACCATTTGGTTAATGGAAGTTCTGGCTGCTTAGCTACGAAATCCCGTGTACCATTACTAATAGCCCACATATTCTTTGCCCAGTTGTCCCAGCGCGGTATGATGGAGACGTACATCAACAGGCTGTCGTCGTCTGAACCAGTGTCATTCTTGACGAATATAACGCCATTGCCCTGGGGAGCGAAGTAATCGTTGTACAATGCGAAACAAGCAGAGATATTCATTTTCTCCCATCTGGTACTCAACATATCTCGTTGCATTGTTTGAATAATCTCCGTGTAGTTATAGGTATTTGGGTTTACTCTGGTGTCTTCCCACCCGAAATCTCCCGCTCGGTTAATTTCCGCTGTGGTGAGATCCCAAGTACTGCCATTTGCAAAGGAGTTCTTTACGACAGCAATGGTATAATCGTTTGATGCAAGTGATTGGAAAACAGCCGAGTTGTACCTACGGGCTTCAGATTTAGCTTATGCATTCATGGAGATGCACATTCTAACTTACATCAGATGGATAGGAAGGGATGTTAGAGCTAAGAGATACCAGGCCAATCGTCTCCATTTATTGATATACTGGAGGTTTCGTAAACTTGGCACACCAATATCGAGCCATTGTCCCTCTTGGTGTGTTCGATCTTTCTTATGCGACCCAGCTTGATGAGCGCGATCGATATCTGCTCGAGTAGGAGCCGCTTGGAGTTGCATACAATAATTTGATGCTGAAAGCATACCAGTCCCAAGACAGTTGATTAGGAGATGGCACCACTGGTCTAGAGCTTTAACCTCGCCACAGTCGCCCTCATAGATAGTCCCCACGCCGTTTTGGCTATCATATCGAGTAATTGTGAATAGTGTCAAGGAAAGATTAGTAATAAATATAATACTAATCAGAAGTATTTGCATTAAGATTGCTCGCCCTCTTCTTGAGAAGTATATGCGCTTACTGTTACCCTCGTTATCTTGGACTTGAGGGAACCATTGAGAAATGGTACTCTTCTTCGCAAAACAACTAGCACGGAAGTTCTGCTGCTGTACTGGCTGGTCGATATTCTCTCTGAGGGTGCTCTCTAATTGGCTAATAGGCTCTCCTTCAGGAACACTGCTAGGTATTAGACTTTCAATCAATAGTGAATGGAAGTTACTTACAGTGGCTCCACGGGGAGAGCGTCTGCCATATTTCGCAGCCTAATAGTCTGCGGAGGCGTAATTACCTATAGCTTGATCCTCGAGTTAAAAGCGGGAAAACGTTCTTTGGTGAAGTCGCTTGTTTATCTTCCAATAAATAGGTAGTCATGGTAATTGATGTTGGTAATTGATGTCCACAAGACTCCGTCAGAGAGCTGAAAAGCCTTGCCGCGCAAGCAATCGGATAAGGGTTACGCAGAATCATGGCCACTACAACAGTCCTATTCTTAGTTTCAAATGTGGTCTTACATACTATTTCACCTTCCATTATGTTGTAATACTAGGGCTAGGATATTGGGGGGGGGGGGGGGGGGGGGGGGGGGCAAAGGGCTTAGCCTCTAGCATAGATTGATATACCGAAAGAACATATCCATAATTTCGTAGATGAGTAGCAATTAATAACATTTGTGATATGTAATATCAAGTTTAGAAAGGGCCTGTCATACTATTTCAATACCCAGTTAGTAATAGGGTCACTACCTCATGATAGAAGCGATCATCAACTTATATAAGGTTCTCAGTATAAGCTATCTCGGGACATATGTGTAGAAAATCAACTACCCGAGGAGAAATCTAGGAATCACATGTCTTAATTTTTAAGATAGTTACTTTCAGTAAGTAACAGAGCACTATATTAAGAAAACCCTCCTGAAACGGTGAGCTTAGCTGTTGTACATTCAAGATTGGGGGCAGGATAAAAGCGGTAATCCGTCCAAGCAGTCGGTCGCGTTTATGGACTGTACATACTGCTGGATCAGCCCCTTAATTACCTAATTGTCAACTGGTTCTTTTTCTTGTACATAACTGGTATGACTTGAGGTTGACCGAAAGAATTCAAATTAAGTGATGCAGATGAACCAATCATACTTGAGACCACGGTAAATTACTCGGAGTTTCCAACGCCAATTATTCCAAGAAGCCACAGAGTATGCCTTATCGGAAGTCCGCGGCCATTCATATGGTTACCTAATAACCCCCGAGTGTAATGATATCTAAGACATCCGGAAAGATCCCTATGTTCACGCCCAAAACTTTAGTCATTGAACCATCACAAGCTCGTCATTCGTTCTCCAAAAAGATTAATTATGCCATGTGCCTGTACAAAGAGACTCGTATGAGACATATCGTTATCCACACTGTTCTGGTGGACAAGGTAGTCCATAACTATAAGCATTATAGATACCAATTGGGCAGTCGTTCGTATTCGGAAGAAACTTGAAGGTAGTATCATTGGATGAAGTCACTGTACCCGCGTTAACAGCCTGAACTTATCGCTCATAGGAGAGTTCTGACTTACTCCCAGCCACACACGTCCCAGCAGAAAACATGCAAGGGCCAACGTCGATGGTATCTAATGTATGAAAACGTTGTGTATTAGATTTGCAATTCTCTAGTTCTTTAATACTAACGGTTCCTTTTTGAATGGCTCGAAATTATAGGGGTCATCGAACTTACTACTGAGCGTTAGCCACTGTATACCTTACCTAAAGAATGCAGTTCGGGACTATTTTGGAATGGGGCTTAAACATACCAAGCGTAGCCTGGTTCCATATGGATGGGCGGGAATGCAGGAAAAGTACCAGGGGTTGGCTGGTTATTGAACGTAGTCTCGGGGCCAGGGCAGCTGCCGGCCAGATATCCCGTGAATAAAAAGGAGCCATCGCCCTCATAGATAAAAGAGGAACTGCTAAGCTGGTTCCTGCGCGGGAAGAGAAACTCAAGTGTGCAGTTGGCATCGGCACGCGACTCCGGGATATCAAAATTGAAGATGGATGAGATGTCATTGGGCGTGATAAGGCCAATTCTCTGTGGGCCAAAAGCTCTGTCAGGCTCCCACTGTGAAACCTGTGTTATGTAGCTTGGGGATTCGAATTCGCCATCTTCAAGATAGGCTGGGCAGCCATTGTTCTTATTGGGTATCCATTGGTGGTCACCGAGCAAGCGCTTCGAAATGAGCCTGAACGGTGTAGCTCCAACCACGCTCAGATATGCCACAATAAGGGGCAAAGCGTACATGATGACTTGCGGAAGGGAGTTGGCCTAGTGAATGTGAGCCGTCTTATTGAGGCATAGTATCTAGAAGAGAGAGGGCAATATAAGACAAACAGAACGTTCCATCTAGTCATAGATATCCGTGAGGAACTAATGGTCTTATACTATTTCTTCAACTGATTCAAGGGATACATTAGGTAGAATACTCGCGTACTCGCAACTTGCATTATGAATGAAAATTTGTTGATTGGATTTGCAGAACGCCTCTAAGTATAAGTGGCTGGAGTCTAAATTCATCCCCTCCATAAAGCATCGTGCATCAATAGTCTATTAGAAGGAATATGATGCAGATGCCCGAGTTTACGAGGGGTTATTGTGTCGAATTTTTTCCATGGCCCAAATAGGAAAGTAACTCAATGGGCAGTATATGGCACGTGCGCAATTATGTAAACTCGGGCATATTGTGCAGCCCGCAGGGCTGCCTCCAGTAAAATTGTGGTCGCCGAAAATATTTCCCGATGCATTAATGCAGGTGAGTCCAGAGCTCGACTAATAAGCGTTTGTATAGTTAACCTGCGATAGACTCCGGCATAAGGAACTGCGCCCAGCCTACTAGTCATTACATATGTCGCACAAGAAACAGGGAATACCCTCGCGATCTGTGTCTCTGAAGCAAGTTTCCGCGAGGAAATTCAAGGCCATCAAATTACCGTTTCCGCCGGAAGACACGTTCTCGTTGTTTCACGACAACAGTCTCTGCTGTGCTAATCTGCAATGCAAATGTCCTTCTGACTTACGTCTATCATCTATCTATCTGGCGGGATCCTGCCGTAGTAAATCTTATTTAGGCACGTCTGGGTGGCTTTTTCCCTAAAAGCCCGTCGGAAATCAGGAGTTCAACAGCAGCAAGGATATTCATCCTGTTTCTTCGTTAAAAAGCTCGAATAAGATGAAGTCACAATTGTACCATGTCCATTGCAAGGAGTAGCTAGGGTAAAGGGTTCTTATAAATCCATCGTAGATAACTCGGAAGCTGTGGTCTCATCACTAAATTAATCGATGAAGTTTCACCCTGACCAGAGTCCAAGTGAAAAATATATAAAATAATCACGGGACGCCCCTCCCAGCTCTTGTAGCTTTAGCCAACTCCGACTGCGCCAGGTCATCTGCGTAGCGCTTGTATATTGGCACATAGTGTTCATGATCACTCGTCGTCTTTTTAACACTGTCTCTGCTCGAAACTGCGTCTAGCCACTTGCGCCACCGGCCCCAGGCTTGTTCATCTAGTCCACCCTGCCCAGGCTCCGGGATACGCAAGCCGCCCTTGAATTCCTCGAACACCCAAAGGCGAACCTACATGTGCCACGACGATTAGAAAAGCGCCATTCAAGGGGCGAATAATCATAAACAGTGAAGGGAGATTATACTTACCGCCCAAGGAACTATAACAATATCCACCAGGCTCAAATCTGGGCCGAAAAAGAACGGCCCCTGAGGATCTATCTCCCTTGCGAACTCAAGAAGGTGGGATTTGAACTCCTGCCGCAGCTCATTGAGCCTCTTCTCCCCATCCTCATGCTCAGACGGCTGAAACTGCAGAAATCGGTGAAACGCAGGTATCACTCGGCTCGTCACGTAGTCGGTCCAGATTCGGGCCTTAGCGCGAGTATAATCATCTTTGCCCACCTCCGGCAAGACTATCCGCACATACACGACAACCCATCAGATATGATCATTGAATCTATGGCTAACCGAATATGAAGGACTTACTATGCGGCTTGTGGTCGGGATAGTGGTCCTCGAGATACTCGCATAACACAGTACTCTCGTACAAGGACTTGCCTGGTGCAACTTCAAGGGTTGGAACGAGGCCGCGTGGATTAGCTCGCAAGACTTCAAGAATAGTTTAGCGAGGTCTTACTTTCACATGCTAGAAACTAGAGGGGTTTGAAGAACACCTCGCCGACGATAGCTCCTTAGGGATTCCAGTCACATCTAAATCACGGAAGAGGGGGAAATGGAAGAACCTTCAAGACTACATACGTTCGGGTCCTTGTTGTAGGGGTTAATCTCGATATACTGGTACGGGATGCATTTCTCCTCAAGTGTGATCCATGCTCGTTGCACGAAAGGGCAGAACCAGCCCGCAAACAGCTTCAACGGTTGTTCGGCCGAGTGCTTCTGCGCGTAGCCACGTTAGCACAGGATATATCCACATATTTTCTCTTCCTATCCGCTTCTAGCCGTAAAATATCTATAGGTTCACTCGATACATACGTCGACTGTTTTCTTAGCGAGACCTGTCGCGACGGGATGTAAGTTGGCATCTGGATGAGACATCTCGATTAGTTATTTATTCGAAGACTTATGCTATGTTCTGGAATATCTGTAAGAGCGCCGAATATGAGGAAGTAAACTAGTAACGTTTGTTAAAAAACGTAGATCAATTCATTGCGTACTTTGCGTAGGTATTGGTGTACTGTGATGCTAAATATATTCGTGTATTTGTAATAAGGGTTATGAGGACCAGTGATTGCCGGATGACGTGATAGTTGACGAACTTGAGCATGACCCATTACAACTGGTTCTGCTCATGAAGTTCGTACAGGAGTTGATACTTGATGAATGCTACGGCCGCACGGCTACACCAGCATGTAAAGATTCATGTATTGCATTGATATTCGCCCTGATGCGAAGATCCTAGCAACTTTATTATCTACACATAAAACACCGAATGGATATAAGTTCCCTATAATCTACTGCGTTGAAGCAGTGCTACCGCTGACCCAGACCCCAGAGCTATACCAAACTCCGGAGCTCTTATGATATTTGCAACGCCTGATGAATGCATGCAACTGTCCTGTTTTGTCATCCTGTTTTCCGTAATAAAGCCTAACCTGTTTCCACAAACTAGAGAAAAGTTGAGTTGCCCCTCTTTCGCCCTCAAATCTATATGTTGAACAATAACTCCCCGGTTCATCGTAATTCATCTACATGCGTGATATACTAGATGCCTGCATCGTGTCTCCATCCCTCGACGGGAAGAGGGAAAGTCTGGGACCAGGAAGCGATTTCCTTCCTGAGATCGTCAATCCTAGCATTGCCGCCTTCAAAGAGCTTGGCTCGGAAATCCTTGAGCTTGTTAGCTTCCTTGGGCAAACTAGTCTGGATCTCCTTGGCTATTTTGATGCTCTCGTCAATATAGCCAGCAACACGCTCGAAGTCTTGCTCTCCAAAGCCACGCGAGGTCATGGCTGGTGTTCCAATACGAATACCGAAAGGCGTCAAGGCAGACTTGTCGCCTGGGGTGGCGTTCTTGTTGCAAGCGATGTTGATCTGCTCTAAGACAGCTTCAATGCGAGCGCCATCCACGGCCTGGGGTCTCAAGTCTAGGAGAACCATGTGCGAATCGGTACCGTCGGATACTAACTTGTAGCCGAGAGCCTTGAACTTGTTCTCCAGCGTCTTGGCGTTGGACACAACCTTCTCCTGGTATGCCTTGAATTCGGGAGTCTGGGCCTGCTTCAAGGCAACGGTAAGAGCAGTGATAGTGTGGTTGTGGGGACCGCCCTGGTGGCCGGGGAAGACCGAGAAGTTGATGGCCGGCTCCAAGTCATAGAGGGTCTGTTTGCCGGTCTTGGGGTCGGTGCTACGAACACCTTTTCGGAAGAAGATCATGGCGCCACGGGGTCCACGGAGGGATTTGTGTGTTGTAGTAGTAACTATATCGGCGTGGGGGAAGGGAGACTTGATAACCTCAGCTGCGATCAGGCCAGAGATATGGGCCATATCGACGACAAGGTAAGCTCCGACTGAATCGGCAATCTTCCTCATGCGCGCATAGTCAATCTCACGGCAGTACGCCGAGGTACCGGCGACGAGGACCTTGGGGCGGAACAGTTGAGCGTTCTCCTCGAGTCTGTCGTAGTCAATGATGCCAGTGTCGAGGTTTACTCGGTATGGCATTGTCTCGAAGTAAGTTGAGACTGCCGAGATCCTACAAGTAGCGAGGTTAGCCATTGGAGGTCAGTCCAAACTAACCAAGGTAGAAACTTACTTTCGGGAGGGAGTCTGGTATCCGTGACTCAGATGACCGCCGTGGGGGAGATCCAAACCCATCAACCGGCCTCCGGGCTGCATGATAGCCTGGTAGACCTGCAAGTTTGCGGGACTACCACTAAGAGACTGAACATTGACACCCCATTGTTCCGGGTCGAGGTGGAAGGTCTGGAGAGCACGCCTCTGGCAGAGAAGCTCAATCTGGTCTATGTGCTGGTTTCCACCGTAGTATCGAGCACCAGGGTAACCTTCGGAGTACTTGTTGGACATAGGAGAGCCAAGGGCGTCGAAGACAGCGCGTGAAGTAACATTTTCAGAGGCAATCAAGATGATAGACTCCCGCTGTCGTTGAATTTCCTTTTTCTGTAGTAACAATTGAGTCAGTTACAGGATCAATCAGCTTAGGGCAGGAAACTTACCATAATCTCCGCAACCTCCGGATCAGAGTCGAGAAGAGATCTCTCGAGCAACTAACGGCGAGTCAGCATGATTATTCTCGTGAAGACGAAGCAGATACTGAAGTGGTATTACTGACGTGCTTGTGCTCTTGGGAGAGAGCATAGGTAGAACCGTTAGCAGCCATTGTATGAGAATGGAATGTCAATTGGACTACAAGTTGAGAAAAATAATGCAAAGTAAAAGATTCTCTCGCTCCGGTAAGGGTTGGTAGAAAGTTTTTCAGTAGACCGAGGAGAGGTTTAATAAATAATAAAAGGAAGAAGGATGACGGAAGACGGGAAGACGAAGAGAGGGAATAATAATTTTTTTCTCTCTCTCCTCCAATTGGGGTTTGGTGGGGTTCCTCTTAAGTAAATGTAAAAGTCTAGACGGTTAACTAAGAGCGGGGTGATAGTGGGCGAATTCCTATCTGCTTACGCTCCTGATTGCTTACTCTAGCTGTCCAGGTACCTAAGGATCCGGAGTTATTGGCGGAGTAGGTACCTAGCTTAGCGTCTACCACTCTAGTAGGGCTAATCCATTAGTGTTTACACTGGAGGATCCGTACCGAAGTCGGCGAATCAGCGCAACTATCAAGGTCCTAATATTTACTGTTACGGTGGGTAACTTTTCAGCTTCAATATTCACTAATATTCATCATGCTTTTGCCATTTGCTGTTGTAGATGGTATCATAATAAAAGCCTAGATTTTCAAGCTCACAATTACACATCATAGATGGGTAGCTACCTAACCTAGGTAATCTTATCTGTAAGATGGCCATGCATTTCTCTTTTTTCTTTTTGTCATTTACCGACTTCTAGTTGGATTCGTTGATAGGATGAAGCTGTGGGATTTTAATAACTCACGTAAGCGCATATAGCATGTCTGCATGCTTGGCCAGGACAAATTCGAAGGAGCTAGTACATCATTAGTGATATGGTAAGTAACACTCGAGGAATCCGTAAGGGTCTACGAGTTTGACTGCAATTATAGAGCTCCCTCCATCTATCCATCATTATACTTGAGCATCTTATTGAAACTCAGAAGGGGAAAGAAAGCCGACTATATAAGATATTAAACTTATCTTGTGGGCACATGTTGGTTGGTTTAGGTAGTATCACGTAACCCGTGTCCTATCCATATTAACATCATTTAATACTATTATTCATAAATCTAATAGTTAATATTCATATAAATGAATTTGCCGAGATGTGATCTTAGACTAGTCTCCGATAATAAATATTTTTATTCGAAAAAAATAAAATAAAACAAGCAACTTGTCGTTATAACATAGGGTTGTCAAATGGAAAGACCAGACTTAATTATGCGAATATAGCAAAATTATGTTCTTGGTAAGACACGAAATTACCAATGCTCTAATAGCACCATACATAAGACTTTAGTTGGGTGATATTAAAACGAGTTTATCTTAGCCTTGACCGCGGTACTATGACTTCTAATAAACCTTTTATAGTGATTGCCCTGATACTGAGTCTTTGATTGGAAATTGAAGTTGGGGATATACGCTTTGGCATGGTTACATCCGAGTGCAAGTGTATTCCCTGACATATTAAAGATGTTACTATGATCCAGTGACTTATACTCATAAAACGTGCGAAGCCCGAGCACAATGGACAATGCTGAAGAAATAGATGAGAATTAACACCACATTGTATGAGTGTTCATATCTTCCATATTCTTTCTTACATAAGAATAACAATGTGGTAACCTAACGTTAGTGAGGTTCTCACATACCAACATGCGAACGCAGATATTAGGTCACATGTCAGCATGTTAACAGCTTACTCCAGTTATCTTCGAAATATTGATTGATTTGTACAGTACGGAATCTCCTCTATGTTTTGAGTACCCCTTTAAGTGTTCCGGAACGGATTAATGTGGATATGCCACATTCTATTGGACATAAGGCAGCCCGCCCGGGTGGCGTTGAGTCTTGTACCTGCTTGTGTCATCAGCAGTTGCTGCCTCAAGCATTTGGTTGCCCGGAACAGTTGGATCCACATTCGCGAATCCACCTGCGTCATTGGGTGGACTCGGACAATTTTAGGCAAGGCGTGCTTGTTACAAGTCGTCATGGGAAAGGACGCAGAGGGCATGTACTGTACAGTCTGGGCTGTATTCATCTTGCACGAGACTAGGTCTCCACTCCACCCCCAGAAAGTTACCTAGGTAGGCTAAGTGTGCCTGCCCCCCAAACACAGACGTGCGCTGATTGATTAGAGGAGCTCAACCCGTTATCTTCTAGTCTCTCGTAACATCATCGGTCATTCCTCCTTCTCCTACCTATTTACAACACCCAACTCATCAATCATCAACTTTCATCTGCATTTCCCTCCATCTCAACTTGTTCGGGTATCTCTCGTCCACCCTTTCGTTTTGTTAAGAATCTTATTATTTTAATTAGTCGATACCGATCGGAGTTGCCCATGATGAAGGGAGCTCTGCTTACCGCAGCTGTGCTGCTAGGCTCCGCCCAGGCCGGCGGCATCCACAAGATGAAGCTCAAGAAGATTCCCCTGGCTGAGCAACTGGTTCGTATCTCTCTTAGCTAGCTGACGCGACATGGTATTGATGGTTTATAATAGGAGAGCATCCCGATTGAGCAGCAAATGCGCGGTCTTGGACAGAAGTACATGGGCGCTCGACCTGAGACTCAGAGCCAGGCCGTATTCCAAGATACATCCATCCATACGGATAAGGATCATCCTGTTCCCATCTCCAACTTCATGAATGCTCAATGTATGTGTATCTATCTTCGCGCGGGGAGCTTATTGAGCTTAGTCGCTAATTAGTACTGGCTAGACTTTTCTGAAATCAGCATCGGCACTCCCGCCCAAGACTTCAAAGTCATTCTTGACACCGGCAGCTCCAACCTCTGGGTCCCCTCTTCATCCTGCGGTAGTATCGCTTGCTACCTCCACTCTAAGTACGACTCGTCCGCTTCTTCGACGTACAAGCAGAACGGCACTGAGTTCGAAATTCGCTACGGATCTGGTAGCTTGAGCGGTTTCGTATCTCAAGATACCTTGACTATTGGTGATCTTACAGTCAAGAACCAAGATTTTGCTGAGGCTACGAGTGAACCTGGTTTGGCTTTTGCCTTTGGTCGATTTGATGGCATTCTCGGATTAGGTTTTGACCGCCTCTCCGTGAACGGCATCGTTCCTCCATTCTACCAGTTGGTTAACCAGAAGTTGATTGATGATGCCGTCTTTGCCTTCTACCTCAGCGGCGAGAATGGAGACGACGCCTCGGAGGTTGTTTTCGGTGGCGTCGACAATGACCACTACACCGGCAAGATCACCGAGATCCCGTTACGCCGCAAGGCTTACTGGGAGGTCGACTTCGACTCCATTTCTTTCGGTGACGCGACTGCTGAGCTTGACAACACCGGTGTTATACTTGACACCGGCACTTCCCTTATTGCCCTTCCTTCCGACCTTGCTGAGCTACTCAACAAGGAGATTGGTGCTAAGAAGAGCTTCAACGGCCAGTACACCGTCGACTGCTCTGTCCGTGACTCGCTTCCTGATATCAGCTTCAAGCTGAGCGGCTACGACTTCGCTATCGGACCCTATGACTACATTCTCGAGGTTCAGGGCAGCTGTATCTCTACTTTCATGGGCATGGATTTCCCTGCTCCTGTTGGCCCTCTTGCCATTCTCGGTGATGCATTCCTCCGAAGATGGTACTCTATCTATGACCTTGGAAAGGGCACCGTTGGACTAGCTAAGGCCAAATAGATACAGTCTAACAGGGATTGAAAGGGGATGTATGAATGACCTCGCGGGGCTAATGAGACGTAACATGGAAATTCGACTGGCTAAACCATAATTGGAGGGCGAGAACGGTTTTGAGTGCATTTCGAACTGGTTCCTGACCTGGGACCTTTTTTTCTTTGGGTATTGCCGTTGAAACTTGGTCATTGAGCATGATGAGACGTCGTCTCCGTTGTAAATTACATACCTACAGCACGTATTCGTTTAGCATGCCACTATTTTCATACTGTTTTTACCAACTCTAGCAGTGTCTTATTTGTCTAATGATTTGTTCGTCCAGTAAGCTTTTTGCCGATTTAATTAGCCTTTAGTATACGGGCAAGTAGTATTTGGGAACACGTTCATTTTCATACACAACGTACCCGTATAGGGTACCTACATTCGGCGGTGTACGTTATGTACGCACGTGCTTCCAGCCAGATCTATCTTCAAATAGCAGCAGTGCTACTATCAGACACGAAAATATTCATATCTCTATGTTGTAAATAGATGATGAAAGAAACCGTCCTCCTTAACGTGTAACATCTCGTTGTCAAAAAGCAGAAGCATGTTTACCAAGAAGGATTCTGTAGAAACTGCTTACCCGAGGGATTCGTAGTTGGAGTTAATGATACGCATGTAGTAAGGTCGTATGCATCTTTTCCGGTCCGCGCAAGACTTACTTACATTTACATGTTAGAAACGCCCGATCCAGTTTCGGTAGCAATCCTATACCCAGTATCGTCTGGGATAGATACGAGATGTAATATATATTTGCAGAACCGTGTGAGTGTAGTTATAGAGTTTATCATGATAATCCAATGATGATGTTAATTGTGTTTGTTCTCGTCAACATACAACAAGAAAAATACGCTGGTACCTAGGTACCTACACTCAGGTACCTACTTTATCAATCACGTGCGGATGATAATTGGTGGCTCGTGCTAATGGAACTAATCCATGATAGGCCTAGCGTAGTCCCGTAGCGTGGGCCATCATTTGCAGGCAAGTCAGGACGGACAGATTCATTTCATTGTCGCAGCCTCTTCCCTCCCTCTCAAAGTGATAAATGCAGTTTCGAGGAAGAAAATTGCTAAACTAAAATTGCGTGCATTCAATAGCATATCCATTTTAAACCGATTCCTTAATATCGCCGAATGGTTTTTTCGTGGTGGACTTGGTTTTAAAATAAAAAAACCCTTTTGTTCCTTTTTCTGTTCTTATTACATACTTCCATCTATTAGTTCGCCGGATGGTGCGTCCTATCCATTCCTACTGCCCTTGCAAGAATTTTGTGGTCCTATTCTAGGTACCTCCTTACCTACGGAATACCTGCTGTAGTCAAGTGCAGTAGCAGTTTCCAGTACCTGATACCTGACGACCTGGTCTTGCCTGGGTCTTGGTCTTTTTGGGGGTCCAAAAGTCTGGGAGGTCGCGGTCGCACCAGCAAGCAACCACAAAATTCCAAGTCCCTTTTCAATCGCGACCGACAGGCCGTGCAGCGCGACGGAGCCGCCAATTTCTTAGCAGCCCATCGATATCAACCGCCGCATCTTGCATACCACGGACGGCAACAATAAAAAAATAAAATTTACATTACAACTAGGCAAAAATGGCCTCGCCAGCCATAGCACTCCCTAACGGCGTCACTGCGCCTATGCAGTTCAGCAACCACAGCAGCAATAGTAATAACAATAACACCGCCGACGTCGACGTCAACGTCAACGTCAATTCCAATGCTAATAGTCCCGATACTGGGGCTGATTCCGATGTCAATACCGCGCAATCCATCGCTAGTAGCTCCATCAAGCGCAAACGCGAATCCTCAGACGTTAGCGAGAAACCACCAAATGGTCTTGCCATTGATCGCATTACTCCCACAGCAACCGATGGCACTTCTCTTCCAAGCGCGACAAAGGTCGACCAGCCTACAATACGTAATTACTATGAAGTTCTTCAAAGGTACATAATATTTCTCTGCCCTCTGCCCTCTGCAGTTGTAAATATTCTTTCCGAATCATATGCGCATTTCCCCTCCACGATTTCTTCCTCCACGCGTAATACATAAATGTGTTCTAGTGCTCACTACTCGCGATTTATAGGCTTGACCCAACGCCCTCTGTCCTCAAACGCCCCCTTCCCGACCCTGAAGAGTCTTCTGGTGAACCCCAAGCAAAACGAAAGAAGCCTGACGATGGAACACCGTTACTTTCTATTGCCGACAAGGTGGCTCGAGAGCAGTATGATGACCTTATTAATGTCATTACCGACGTCAAAATCTCCATCGCCGACCACCTGGCCGAGCTACGAAATATACAACCTGGACAAGACGCCAAAGTAAACGAGGAAGCAATTGCTAAGATTATCGAGTTCAAGCGGCAGGCCTATAACATTTTCAAGCGGGAGTTGTCATATCCTTATAATCCCCGCGTTTCTGATGTGCTCCACGATCTCAATTTAATCAACGAATTGCAGTCGAATGCCAGTGGAAACACGGTGCTAACGATTATTGGAGAGCCCATGAGGGGGAAGCCGTTGTACTCGAGTCTGCAACAGCCTGTCCTCAAACGCGATGGTGCCGAAACGACTGTTCGATCATTGAGGGAAGATGGCTTACCTAGCGGCGTGAAGATTGCTAAGGCGATACCTTATACCTTCTCTTCCGCCATTGAGAAGGACAAGAAATCTAAGACGTTAGGGGAGCTATTCCCAGCTCCACGCAACCTACCGTCGCTCCAACCTCCTAAGGCGCCGAAGAGCACCACCAAAGGGGTCCAAGTCGGCTGGCATCGCCCTGAATTGACTGAGAAGTCTAAGTACCGAGCCGGGTCATACTTTAGTCAGACTATATCTACTGGACGTTGGCTAGATTACAGCAATGCCGCCCCCCCTTCGCAAATAATGACAAAGCAACGCGAGCGAGCTCTAAGCCTGGCTGGAAACAAGCCATCTTCCTCCGATCTCGAGATGTCCGAGATGGAAGCCCTATTCCGTGGCGCCTTCTCCAGTTTCGCCCCCTCAAAGGATGATTCGGCTGCCATGATCTCGTCGGGTTTAATTAGCCACACCATGTGGTGGCAAAAGGTGGGAAGACGTAGCTTCGATCGTTTAATAGAGACCGAACTACCGGAAGACACCCCCGAGGAAACAGAAGATGTCACTGGCCCCCCCGTCGAGGAGGTAGACGAAGAGCTAATTAAGGAGGCCCTGGAAAATTGGGATGACACTATGGTAGACCCTAGCCTTGAACAGGCCTGTTGTCCAAAGAAATCTGATGAGGAGAAAGATGTCGATGACATCCTTCAAGACGTATCTGACATGATCCAAACATTGGTATCATACCAGAAGAATCGTAATTTAACCCTTCCGACCGCATCCAGTCAGAGTCGATATGCGGCGGATCCGTCTCATAGCGATATGCTCACGAACGGGACACCGGTACAACCCGGCGAAGAAGAGACGGCCACTTACCAGGCCCTCAAAGCACAACTGGCCCTTGTTATTCAAATGCTCCCGCCTTATGCCGTTGCACGCCTAAATTCGGATAAGCTGGATGAATTGAACATATCAACCAAGATTGAAGTTCGCACCGATGAATATCAAGGTCTAATGGAGGAAGACGAGGCAGCTGCTCGTGCAAGAGCTGCGCAGGCTCCCGTAAATCCTCGGCCAGTTACGCATCGCTCTTCAAGTTCTTCGAACAACTTGCAGTATAGTCAGCAGTATCACGCCAACCGTGCGCCGATGCCCAACCCACCGTTCTACGGCACGCAAACACCGATACGACCCCCTCAGCCTGCGATACAAAGGCCACCCCAGTCAATGCCGGCCGCTTATCCCCAGCGGCCCCCATCAAACACGGGCTACCGGCCTCCTAACCACTATCCTAATACGGGTTATCCTCAACAATTCAATAAACCTCCGCCATTCCCACAGCCCGGTCCTTACGGAGGCACGCCGACACAAGCTCGACCCCCATTCCAACCCATGCCCGGCTATCCTAACATGGGTAGCCAAACACCCCAGGCTCGTTTCCCTCCGTACCCACAGGCCGCTCAAACACCCAACTATCATCCTCAACCTTATCAACCACAGCATCAACCTCAGCAGCATGGTACTCCAACGCACCAACCATATAGCCCGTATGCAAATGGCGCAGCTAGCGTCCCTCAAAGGACGGCATCCCCGCATATCGCCCACCAGCCACCGCAACACCAACCTATCCCTCACCACCCAGGGTATAATCCGACTGCAACACCCACAAGGCAGCCATCATATGGTAGTCAGCCAAATATAGGCAATGACCCATCAAGACGCTTCTATCCCCCAGCTGGTTCGCCTGCAATACCAAATAACCAGCTCAACCCGCACGGGCAGCAGAATCCAAATCCCCAAACTCCAGGTACCTCGTCGTTTCATACGTCCCTCAACCCTCACCAGGTCCAGCAAGCCATGGATCAAGCCAAAGCTCGCTTTGATGCGACCAAGAGTGCTCAAAGGACGAACGAGGGTATTAGAAATTCGATGTCCGGTCAAGGGCAGGTTGGTGCACCGGTCGGCTTAGGTGGTATTGGTCTAGGAGGGGATCCAGCAAGGTTGGCAGCAGTTAGAGCAGGCGTGCCTAACTATCCAGCCTCTAGCCAAAGCCCTAAACATATGCCTGTAGTTAATGGCAGCCCCGCGATGGCTCCCGCAGTTCCGACGGCAAATGGTGGCCAGCCAGTTCCTGGTAGAGAAGCCTAGAAACCTTCTATACCACAAGTTTACCATCGTTATGCGACAGATACTATATTACGTCAACCCATCTATGGCGCAGATGGTGTTTACTCGTTTAACCCGCCAAGGGCTGACGTCCCAGCATCGGGACCCGATTTGGAAACCGGACGAGTTAGCGAGAACATGTCCAAATAAAAGTCGTATTGGCGTTGGTTCTTGATCATCAAGGTTGCATATTGAATTAGGAAGCAATCACAGCTCCCAAACATAAAGGGGTGATGTAATGGATTGCGAGGAGTGCAGGTGGCGATACTCTTCCACGGTAGAAAAAGGCATTGAGTTCTTCTGCTTAGAACGAAAGGACCAAGAACGGGGGCTTCCCTTGTTCCCCTTCCCCTGATTTGTTGGCCTCCCCTTAGAACGGTTGTCAACACTGGAGAAACGGAGTTAGCGAAGTGGAAATACGGAGGATTCCCCCTTAGGGCAAATGGACGGGCAGGAAATACGTAGACGGCTTCATTAATATTTTTTGTTGCGTTCCTTCCGCCTCTCGGGATAGAAAAGCTTCATCTTGTCTTGCGTGCGTTTTCCCCCTGCCGCCCGTCTAACAGATAGGCGTGCATTTCGATACAAGGTTTATCGTCGTCGCCACCTTGTTGTGCTATGGTGCGTTGCGTAGCCTTCGTGTATAAAACAATATTGTAGAGATGTCAGGTAGTTGATGAGTGGGGGTTGAGATAATTCAAAGGTTAACTAACGTAGGTAGCTGACTTAATCGATGATGATAATGTGTTTTACTAATCAATCTGTGTTGTGTCGTGATACTCGTAGGTCTGTGTTGTGGTGTTTCCAGTTTGAAGTAGTTCCGTTATTGATACTTGGTCACCTGTGATGGTGTGTTTTCCGTCGTCGTGGAGGTCATCATTTTGTTGTACTGTATTGAACAGTGTAATACTTCTACTAGTTTCTCCCTGGGTCCTAGTGCGCATCTTCTAGGACTTATGGCGGGGGGTGGGGCTCAACTGCGTGTTGTTGTTGTTGTTGTTGACGAGGAAAGTTGAGATGGTGCAGTGAAGTTAAACCTGTATCTGAGAAGAAGCTATCGCCGGTTTCAGTGGCCAGTTGATAAGTAGTCGTAGTCGAAATTGCGGAATTGTTCATGGCGACATGATTTATCTGTAAGGGAGTAAATGCCTACATCAAGTAGGTAGGTAGATAGCCAGATAGGTCGATTAGGGAGGAGTTACGATAATGTTTGGGAGAAGAGAATGAGAGTAAAATTAAGAGAGGGGAATGGGTTAAGAAGAGGAAATACTTAAATGGGGTTGGAGGGTAAACATACGGGGCTAGTCGGGGGAAAGAGGGAGGAGGAGGAGGTAACTCTAGCGATGGACTCGATGGACTCGACTGGCTGAAATATTATTCGGAGCTTAGTTCCATAAAAAGTGACAAGCTTTGTTTGTCCACCTTGAGAGTAATGCAGTGACGAGGAAGTCCCCTCCTAGATATCAACCGAGTCCTATCTTAGTTTATTTCCGCCGGGCGAGGGTTGATTGTTTTAGTAGTTTGTATTGGCCCGCTAACATGTATTCACCGAGTCAACGAAGTTCAAACTCGGAGAATATGGTAACGCTTCTGTGGCCGACTTTATTTGTCTATTCTCTGGTAAACATATAGGAAAGCTGACTCTATTCTTACGTCCGCTAGTGACTATATTGGCCATCTAATTATGAACCAGCCCAAAAGCTAATGCACAACCAACGCTGTATCCGTGCGGACCTCCTATCTACCAACTCATAACAAATATAATCCTAAGGCTATTAAGAAGTCTTATCTTCGGATCTAATGTTAGCTATGCTCATTCCCCTGAGCGTATATATTGACGCTGATCCAAATAGGTTGGTGTACGGAAACTGAAATACATCGTACTCCTTGACGAGTATACGTACGCGGGGTGTATCGAAATCCGCAACATGATAGCTACGTGAATGATATGGTAAGTATATATCCCCCAAGAAATAATTTAACAAGTAGGATATAGAATAACAAGCTAGGTAACGAGAGGCACATACTTCCAAGCGGACGTGATATGCTCCCCGAAGGTAACAAGCTGATGGACCCTGGTTGAAATATCGGTTTCTGCCGGTGTCAAAACCGTGCCCCAAAACATAGCTGCGGGCTTTGCGATATCCGCTACGATCTCCTTGAGGCAGAAATCTGAAGGGGGAGCAAACACAAACGTCATGTCGTCGATCTCGGCTAATCCACTTGCCCCATGTCGACCTACGACGGAGAAACCCTTTCTGAATAGGACCGCCGCGCAGTCGGGGGTATACTTAACGTCCTGCGCGAAAATTTGTATTCGACGGCCAAATCGCTTGAACAGCGCCTCGGCGGCGGTAACGACAGCCGCATGCCTTAGCATAGAAAGACTCAGCATACACGGGCTCTCGTCATCACTACCCGGGGCGATGAAGTTGCCGAGTCCGATACACACGATCTTGTTGATATATGGCGGGAACGGAAGTCTCATGAAGGTCGAGTAAAAATGCTGCCCTACCGGGTTTTCGTCCCAAGTGGCCTGGCATTGGGTAAACTTCTTCTCCTGTTCGTCAAGGTCCTTGCGTACGTAGGTGTAGGCTGGCATCTTGCTAATGGTCATGGAACTGTATGCCATCCCTTCGGGCCGTGAGACAAGCGGAAAAGCCATAGCTTGGTAGCCGTGGAAATCGACCTTGTATGGGTACCTATTTGAACATGTTAGTCCAGTCGAAGGAGGCATGAATTTGTGAAGCTTCGGACCCTGGTTCTTTATAAGCAATATAATCCCCCGACCCGGCATAGAGCGAGGTGCACACTTTGGCGCCAAGGCCCGTAATCATATTTTCCATGCCGATGAGCTTCTCTTTAGTCCACAGTCTGACTCCCGCTTCGTACTTTTCAATGACCTCGCGTTGGAGCTTGAGTTCCTCATCCGGCCACTTTTTGAATATGGGAAGCTGTGGGACAGCCTTGGCTAATTCGTCGATATTGGACATTGTACCCTCAGAATAGTTGCTGCCATCTCCGCTAACTTGACAGTCATCCCATCCAGGCGCGTATGAGTCCTTGTTGTCGTCTATAGAGCCATCTTTTGACCCCGTAAGGCCGATTGAGCTTAAGGGACGTTGACAGTTGTAGCTATCGCCGTCACCGCCGCCGTCACCGCCGCTGGGTTCACTCTTATCCGGGACTACGACGTTGGGTTTCTATACCGATGGTTTGGATGGTAGTGAACATGACGACACCAATTGACTGCGGTTTAACTTTCTTTTGAAATCCCCTAACTTCTGGCGCATACTGCGAGTCCCCGAGATGAATCTTAGACATTGCTGCTGGGACTGATCGATAGGGGGGGTCTGAGTGCTAGCATCGGCACCTTCTGGGGGTTTACTCGTCATTTTGATGTACAACAATAGAACTCAAAAAAATAGGATTTGATGCGATTCTCAAAAGATATGTAAATGGTGTAATTTAAGAGTCTGTTAGAAGAAATACGCCGACACTCACGAGTTGATTGGAATAGTATGGACTTGGGAAGATAATGTGATGTTAACGTTGAATGTATTGAATGTTAATGGCAAATCTAAGAGCACATGGAAGTAGAGTTAAGAATGCACCTGGATTTTATTTCCTTTTAGAGTGTAACTTTCTTTAAACTTGGTGAGTATCTCAAGCTGTTAGACAGGATCGATGGGCGTAGTAGCTTATTCTAGGATATGTTCATATGAAGGCAGTACTTTGTCGTAGTTCCCTGTAAACGCGTATCGCGATTAGGTGTCGCTATTGAGAAAGCACCAGAACTTAAGTCTAACTGCCCAGGTGCCCGGAACTAAAGGTAACACAGCGTATGCAATAATAAATGAGAAGGACATGCAGCTCAGATTCGGTCAAACGCATACACCTGAAGGTCTTCTTCCTGTTTTGGAAGGTTTATAGTGGGTTATCTCATACGTCACAGCGTTTAGTTTCGGTATGCTTCTAAACCATTAACCATCATTAAAAGCCAGGGGATATTTGATCAACAACTTCTAACACTGAAATAAAGTCGTTGCTGTGTAGGTAGAGATACACACGTTATATTATCATCGGCCGTCGAAACGGAAGATCCTTGCGTTCTTTAAAGTTCCCGCGTTGACGATCACTCTGTAGTTTAATACCGGGAAAAAAGGGAGAAATGATATCTTTTTCTACGACAAGATTCCAGACAAATATGTGGAGAAGATTGCGTGTACGCCGAGACATCATCACTTGTCTTTAAAAGCCTGAAATACATTACCTACCTACCTACCTAGATAACCTACTAATAGATATGACCCTTCTTCCTAAGACTAAATTCATTTATCTCTGGCTGCTAACCTCGACTGATTAATCAGATCCCTCCTTAATATTTGATGGCCGGTAGGCTCACTCAGAAGGTCCTAGGACACCTGGGCCCCCTACTAAGCGGCGACCCCAATAACAACACAGCATCTTCACCCATCCACTGGAAAGTCAACAATAATGAGACTATCCTACACCCCGCAGGCGGGACATACCCTCGCCTGTGCCGGCTCTCGGACGGTGATCTACTATGTCTAACAACGGGATTCCAAGGCCCCGGCCGTCGCGAGCACGTCCTCCAGGTCTCGCGCAGTGTGGATGGCGGACGCACCTTTAGCCCGCATGGAGAAGTCACCCGCGGCACAGGTGATATTGATAACGGCTTCTTAATCGAAGTGCCATCTTCGGCCCCCGGGAATAATGGCCCGGTTGTTCTCGCCGCATTCCGGAACCATGACCGCAAGCCCGGCAGCCGACCCTCGCATTTCCGCATCGTGAGTACTAATTCCAATTAAGATGTATAATCGCCAGAGCAAACTTATACTTTATTACCTTTTTTTTTTAGTCTTACTATTTTACTATCGGAATAAAACACCTTCTAACTCATCGTAGACGGTATGCCGCAGCGAAGACGGCGGGCGTTCGTGGAGATTCGCCTCTCAGGCCGCGGAGCAGAGCGCAGCCAGCAGTCATGGTTTAGGATTATGGGAGCCGTTTATGCGACTTGGCGGCAGGGACGGACAGGAAATACAACTTACGTTTTCGCGCGAGCTGGCGCACAACGACCAGGAGACCTTCCGCGTAGATTCTAGAGACGGAGGGGCGACCTGGAGCGGCCCGCCTCGGTGTCTGCGCTGCCATCCGTCGCATGAGAATCTGCGCGACGGCATGCATGGGATTGCAAGCGTGCGCGATACGGCGGGCGTGGCAGCAAATGGACAGCAGCAGGACGTCAATGCGCTGGTCGTAGTATTCGAGACCACGAGACATGGCACATTCAGCGTTGAATACGCTGTCTCATACGATGAAGGACTCACGTGGGGATCGAGAGGCGTGGTATATCGCCCTAAACACGGTCGCAATGCGGGCGCGCCGCAGATCGAGCGCTATGGAGATCAAGGAATGGCTGTCGTGTTCATGACGGACGAGGAGGCGGATATACCAGCGTGGCCTGGAAAAGCTGCCATCAAAACAGTGTTCGCCGAGGGTTTAGAAGGAGGCATGATACGTTGGAGCCAGCCCGTGCTTATCCACAAGGCGCCTTCTTTCTGGCCATCGATCACTAGTCTTGGCCAAGATGAGCTTCTAGCTGTCTACGAGCATGGAGGAAGACCTCTCGGGAAACGCATACAAAGGGGCTAATGGAGCGGTTAGGGCGTGTGACGGTAAAGACAAATTGTTTGACCAAGATATTTTTTAGATGAAGAACCTCTAATAACTAATCGACTGGCCAATACTGAACAATGCTAAGGATATCATACTAGACGGAAGAGCAGTAGTTGAGTTGGTTACTATTCCCTTGCTAATCAAGGCCCAAGAAGCTCTTCCTCTCTATAGCCCATTATCACTACCCTCGTATCGTGATGCGGATGAGTTTACCTTCGGGTTTGGATGTGTAGTGAAGGAGTTGAAAATAGTATTGCTATGGATAAGGATTTGGCGGGTTGGTATATCTGAATACTGAGTAACGAAAGTTACCCCTTATTCTGTCTTGTGCGTGTAGCGTTATATATTGGTGTCTGCTTGTTTACCACCGTCGTCATTACCAACCTACTATAGCTTCTTTTCATGGATGGGCAATCCTTTCATTCAGATAAGTGATCAAGCTGATGCAAATTTATGCCAGTAACTTACAGGGAACTCATACGTTGGCTTAGAAAGCGCGTTGTATTTTCGTATGTCTGAAGCTTGTATGGAAAGTGCCATAAGCATGGACTGAGTGGTGTTCTTAAGTATCTCCTAGGTATCTCTCCCACCTACCTACGTATAAAGGTACGTAGGACATTCGATATCTAGTCTGAACTTGCTTCGCTTATGCTCTCACGATATACCCTTCTCAGTTCAAATAGGACTTCGATGGTAATGAGGAATATGATGATCCACTCCAGCCGGTGGCCGTACTTTTCGCTGACCATCTCTCTTAAGACACTTACGTTCTCAAACCCGTAGTCAATCTTCTTATTTAGAATCCCAATACGTTGCCGTATATCTAGAATAGTGCTGATCTGGTTGTAATAATCCTCCAGATGCGACTCGGAATCCCAAAACATATCGGGGAGCTGGTCTGTTATGTCGGAGTAGTGATTCAGCTGCGATCTCAAGCTAAGGAGATTGCCGGTCATCTTCAAGACGGCGCTGCGCTTCAGCTTGTGCTCTAGGCCTCCCTCGAGAAAGTCAAGACTGTTCTTGGAATTTTGGAAATAGTCAATAGCCTGGTTTTCGAGCACTGCTAGCTTAGGACTTCTGGCTAGGCCGCTCGAGAAGGCGATTTTGGCGAGCGTCGTATCTAATCTGTGATTCTCTCGCTCTTGTGCTCTCGTGCCCAGGACGACAACTTCACCCCTCATATAACTAGTGTCGCGAGATTCATCCGGCATGAATTCGAGCTCTTCCATCTCGAGACGATTAAGATGGGGCAGCTGGGCGGCTTGAATCAGCTGCTTAGTGGCAAGGGTCATGAGGGCGTCGGTGGGTACGGACCAAGCCACCACGGTTCCGGAGGGGAAGACAAATATGTCCCCATTATTGATGCCCCTCGCATGTACAACACCTGTAGGGTCGAATTCGGTACCGTCGGGATCCAGTTGGAAGGCGTGGAAGCGTAATATTTCCTGTACAGCTTCCATATCGAAAGACTGGGCAACGCATATAGAGGTTATAGTTCGGTGGTAATCCATCTCAGAATCGGTGTTATCCTTCCTCGGAATAGTGGTGCGCTGAGGCGGTTTGGTAGTAAGTCCTAAGCGCAAAGTCTTTGCCGCTGAGACACGAACGGGTTTGCGCTTGGAGGCCGGGGATCGATTTTGCTGTTGTGTTTCCGAACTGTCGGTAGCACCATCTTCTGATGCTGTAGAAACGCCATCCTTCGTAGAATTTGCAAGTAACCGATTTGAAGTAAAGAAGCTACGCTTCCGTGGCAGAGAGGCGAAGGTGGTTTGCTGGAAGCATCGCTGTGGTCTTGGGAGAGGGGCTACCGTATGCAGTCCTCGAAATGTAGAAGCTACTACTTTTTGCAATGAGGGTCGCATGTTGAATTTAATTCGGCCATCGAACGGGGATTGGTGGCCCACGAATATATTTTCAATCGGCTTGAGTGGGATCTATATTTATTTATTGTGGATTTCAATGAGAAAGAATAATAATAGATTTTATTTTTTATCGTACCTTGATAACCTTGATAACCTTGATAACGCAACTTTAAGCTCACGCTAAGGACATCAGCTAGCTGGGGCGGTACTTTGGTACGTACCTCTGTACATAGTATTGTACCCTATGTACTTCGTACCCTTAGGTATTCCGTACAGATGTATCTAATCGATAAGATTTTTCGAAAGATGAACGTCCAGATATTCTGAATTCTATTCTAAATTCTATTCCGAATTACATCTAAACTAATCAAACTCCTCAGTATCTTATTATTATGTTTACAACATTACGGTGACGCGAATAGCAACATGTCGGACTTACTAGACTATCTACTACATGTAGTCTATAAGTTAGGTACGCATTCGGATTCGATAGCAGCACAGAGCCGCCAGACGACTTCTACATCTCCAGCAATTATCTCTCTGTAATTGAGAGAGGGAGGTAGTCTATCACCTTAGGCAAGTTAGAGCTCTTATTACCTACCTAAAATACCGGTATAATGTCTGCCTTGCCTATGGTGTCGTTAGCCAAGTCTGGAGTCAAATCTGGAGTTGGGTCTACCTCTCTTTTGCCATCTCAACCGGTCTGGGGTCAAACGCTTTCGCGATTGACTAGCTCGAGACGGCATCGCTATCCTCGACTACGAATATCTCCCAGTCGCGTAATTGCCCTGCGGATGCGTAGTAAGACTGAAAGGCAAAAGAAGTTATATCGTCCTGCCTTTCTGTTCGCTGCTCAACAGCGGGCCGATCGATTACCCCTATTGCTGTTTCAAGCCTGGATGGCAAATCAAGATATTCGGAATGAGCCCGAACTATTCAAGTCTATACACTCCATCACTTCGTCTGAGTGGGCTGACCGCTTCCATAGCTTGGCCAGCATAGGTTGGTCGAAGGAAGACGTAAATCATTGGATATGGATACTATCGGGGGAGAACGGAGACGCTCGCGTTCAACGTTTGATTTCAACTGAAAATCCTAAACCTATTTTTCTTGTCACGCTTATGTCACGTAGTAACGAGACGTTTCGCCAGGCGACATCTTTACTGTCTCTGATGGAATACATATCGAAACACTACATCAATGTCGGATCTCCATCGTTGGGTAGCAATGTAGCCCTATCCAGGCGTGAAATGAGCCTTACAGTAACCCAATTTTTGCTACTACTTCGCCGTCTTGTTAATCATGTTCAGAGATCATGGCCCAGGTTGATTATCACGGTCTCGCGGTTCACGATGGATTACATTCAAGGACTGCCCCCCAATGACTATCATAATAAGTGTGAAGTCTTCAATTCGGCTTTGCAATTATTCAAGCGACCGGCTGCAACCCAGCCAGTGGCAAATATGGAGTTCAATTGGAGAGCGCAGAGGCTCTTATTAGCCATGTCCGATAATATGGACAGCCCTCTGATCATTGCCAAAGCTAGCTATAGAGCTGTCCGAGAGGTCATGGTTGGGCTAAAAAGGTCAAAAACGGAGAAAGCAGTTGCTGTAAGATACTCGAAATCCTGGCCGCCATATCGACAAGATTTTGATGGATTTGATGCAAAAAGAACGGTAGATGATGACTACTCGAGAAGCGTAAAGGCCGGCGTTCTCATGAAGGAGGCTGGGTATCCTGATGACGAGTACGATCAGGCACTTGGTGTTCTTGGTGGGTTAGGCCCTGATTCCCCTACCGTGCAGACTCGCAGTCTTCCACCAAAAGAGTGGAAAGGTGAAGAACAAGATCGGAACTTATATTCGCGCTGGGCTATGATGATACGGGCAACCCGCAACCGCCAGGAGGCATGGAAAGTTTTCAACTGTCTTGCTGTCGAAACGGGCAAACCTCCTAACACCCAAGTTTACGCCGAGATGTTCATGAAGCTCCAAGCTCGCCTCATCCCCCAAACCTCAACTTCTTTGCCAGGTGATGCCAAAGAAAACTTTCCGATCCACGACGCCAATTATAGTGAATACGAGCTAGCTAGGCTATCACCCCCTACAGTTACCGAGCTATACGATCAAATGATCAGTCAAGGTGTAAAACCGGAGGGTCACTGTCTTAATACTTTATTGAGCAATGCCAGCTCCCTCCAAGAGGGGACTCGCTTTCTTCGTGACAGTGGCATTAACCCTGCTAGTATCAACGCACTGAGTGTTTTTAAAGAGCCGTCTTATGAGGCACTTCGACGAATTCCTCTCTTAGTTTTCAAGAGCTATATACAACTTCTTTGTAGATTGCAGCCTAATCGTCAGGGCCAAGAAAAGCTCCCTCTTGAACAACTTTTCCTCATCCGACATGCTATCAACCTCGTTAAGTTTCGACTAAGACCGGGAACCACCGAAGGCTCTACCTTTCGACCACCTTGGGCTATTATCCTAAGGGCACTAGCGCGATCACACATATGCGTGATAAATGGCACGCAGGCGAGCAATGATGCGGCGGCTCTATCGATATCTATGGATGTTATCCAATCCGTGCAGAAAACAGCAGGACTAGACTCGGATATTTTTCTCTATCTATGTCGTACGATTCAGAAAGCGGCGGTGTCCCGACTGGAATCTCGAGATCCATCGATAATCGAAAACAGTACGATGGAGACTCCTTTAATACACCCTTCTCATGATGTCCTAGAAACATTAAAGTCGCTCTTTTCTCTAGTCACTATGCCGGTATGGATATCAAGAACAGAATCTAAGAGGCTTGAAGTACCTCAATTTATACATGGCATAGGCCCTGCTCATCTTCACGCCTATATGCGCGCTTTGGCTTTCCTCGAGGACACAGCTACGATGAAAGAACTGTTACAGTGGATATTAACACATAGGGCTTGTGTTGACGAAGAAGCTGAGCGGATAGAAAGTCGTGGGCATGCACTGGTAGCGAAGACGCTATGCGCCTTTCAAGCTTTTGCCGGTCCGAGTCTGAGGTATGAAGAGCAGGAGGACTTGATATCCCGAATGGAAAATACCACAAAGACTAGAGGCTTCTGGAGATGGCCGACGCCGGAAGAGGTCGATGCCTATGTACAGTCCGATTTACGTGGCGGCTCCCGGCGACTTCAGCAGAGGATTTTAGCCAAGCTGTGGCATAAATCCTCCCAGGAGGAGAGTGAAAAGGAAATGGGCTAAATATCTACATAATCGAATGTACACTATCAATATTAAAATTACCCCCATCATGATATATCTTAACATACTATATTTCCGTTTAGAATCACGTTGTACAAGGACAATATTCTTATTCATGAGCTGGTCTCTGACTTTTAGTTTATACTCCGTTGTTTGGATATTGTTGTTAAACAATATTACTATGAATAGTAGTATATAGTAACGACTACATCCGCGGTTACGAATTAATCTCAAGACGAAGATATCGCCAAAGAGCTACAATTAGCATTCTCGTGAATACTTACACAAAAGACCATACCAATATCCTAAGAAAGAAACTTTATTGGAAATAAGCATCCTTTAAAACGCAACCATGGGTGAGAGATATATCAGCGATCCGGTTGTTTACAACCACTTTCCTAATGGATTTAGAGGAGCGAACCACGCAACACGCATGCAAATATATGGTAGTCCAGTTCCATACCGTCCTGGTATTGAAACGGTTTTAGGACGACTACTATCAACATATGTGAACATGTGGGGTATACACCCATCACAACTACTTCCTCGTGCTCTGACTGAGGAACTAAGTCTAGTAAGAGTAGGGGACAGGCAGTTTCCACAATCTGGCTGGAGCTCAGACCGAAGAGGGTCCTTCCAAACAGCTTTCGTTCGAGAATCTTCCGACCAAGGAAGCTCGAACCAGGAAGAGTCCAACCAAGCCCGTAATCAGAGCGGCCCAGGACAGAATTTCACGTCCAATCAAGGTACATCAAGCCGGGATTCCGACGAAACCTCCAATGAAGAAGAAGAAGCCGTAATTACTATAACTGATCGCCAGATTACCTTATTCGGCGAAATCCGCGACATGTTCGAACGTAGTGCCGTAGAAAACGAGCCTAGGATAAATCTTGTCTTGAACTGTCCGATTTGTTCGGAACGACTTCGATTTACCCATCCAACCAATCCCGAGCGGTTCGTTAGGATCACCAATGGGACGGAATGGCTTGACGTCCTCCCTTGTGGGCACATGATTGGCCTGGTTTGTATGCTAGAATGGACGATAGAATGCGGTCTTGAAGGACGTAGAATCACGTGCCCTATATGCCGGTTTGATTTGCAATATTCGGATCCCACCTGCAATCACCCGATCAATTCTTATCCGATCGAAGAAGGGGCACCCCTCCCGCCATTGACCGTCCCAGAAGGAGGCTACTTACATACTCGTTGTACGATATGCTCCGGTTCTGAACCGGTTTGGAATAGGGCAGTGTGGAGTTAAGATCTCCCCTACAATTCTGTTCAAAATAGTCCCACTAGCAAGCGGGAGTATCAAAGGACCTATAAACACCTCAAAGGCGTTGTGTGATGCTGGCATTGCATTTCTGGAGGGGTTTACTAACAATAACAGCGGTCCAAAGTCGAAGCTTAAGTAACAGTAGAGAACCGGATTCTAGTCATAGATACGTACCATTAGATCTAGTTATTTAAATGTAGTAGTATCTCAAGTGAGATATTTATTAGTCAATTCCTATCATGACCTTCTTTATGTGATGAATACCAGATATAGTGAACTATCAAGGACTAAGGAGTTGTTTATAATATTATTATCAATGTCTTTTAACTAAGTAGTTGAAAGAATAATAGACCGATATACTTTATATTAATTATCGAAACGTACGGATTCATTATAGCGCTTTATCCTATATAGCCCTTCGCTTGTGGACTTGAAATGTTGTATTGTTCTCATTCGCCATATTTGTTATCTCGAAAGTTTAACTGTCGAAAATGGAATGTTGTGATTTAATTGACACTTTGAGGCTTTCCTAGAGTAGGCAGATCTTGAGTTAGGTACCTAACCCAGCCTAGGTAGTCTTAATGTATTGTCATCCACAGACGCTATACTTAGATGTAACGAAACATATTCTATTACACCTAGGGTTAGCTGACCAAGTTCAAACTTATAGGGGTTTAACAATAGGCCCTTTTTATTGACCACGTATTAAAGGAGGCACTCACATCTCTTACGCCTCGCTTCATCGTCACCGGCTTCCCATCCTCGTATTCTATTCCGGCCTCTCCACCGTCGCCGGAAAGTCCCGACATCTTTCGCTGTAATTCAGCATCTATTTCTGCCATGGTCTTCTTCTTTCCTTGGCTCTTGGCTGTTGTCACGCTTTCTCGGTCTATTGAAGTTGAATGTTGGTTTTGCTCTTGATACTGTGAGTGGGATTGAGAACTGGCGGATCGCTGACTGAGAGTGAGCAATCTGGACGATGGAAAGACCGGGGATCTCCGAGCGATGAGTGGACGCATTTTTAAAATAGTAATATTAATAATAAATTGAAGAGCAGTTGCTCGATTATATGCTGAAATAGCATTATGCTTGTTTTATACATACAGGTATCGAGGTATCGTATGACGACATGTTCTTTCAGTATTCTTATTCACGTCATTAAGTGGATCCAGCCCCTATTCTAAGAACTTAAGCCATACATTTATTCATCTCATATGACTGCATAGATGCATACAACGTGAAACGGTTAGCTACATACCTCCTGACCTGAGAACCCAGGGACATCTGTGGGGTTAAAAGGAGGACTTGTCGAAACAATGAGGCTGGAGGTATAAGATGACTCATAAACCATTCGACGAAGGTAGGACAAAGAAGCTAAGTGGCATTATTGATACCTGTTGGGGTACGGGAACGATTCGATACAGTCATAAATACTACAGTCATAAACGCCTATAGTAATATATAATTAGAGAAAAGGCATACAGAAGGCAGACTAACCCCTCTTCTTCATCTACGGCCACTATCACGAAAGGAACAATGATGGGACACCGGTCATGTGACCATGTCACGTGACTAGGGTTGTGCCCATACACACCGCCTGGGAATTGACCCACACACATGTAAATAGATATTCCCCACTTGGTAGATCTCCCACTTTCCTTACCTAATTGAATACAACCAATCAGACCACTCTATTCGAATTACCTTGTTATTTCCTACCTTTCGTATTACGTAATACACGGCAACACTGTTGCCACTCCAACAAACAACACGATATCAAATCAAAATAATTAAAGATATATAGTACCATATATCAAATACGCCTTTGGGGTTAATCTGGGGTTTTATTACTTTATGGAAGATACTATTCCATCTAATATCTAGTCCATGCTTTTATGTTATGCATATCCCAGTCTAATATTAATAACCCCGATGGTCATGAGCTTCAATAAAGGAGACCGCAGTGGCGACTGGTCGTATCAATGGGCCGAACAGGCCAAATGTGCTCAAGCCGTAAGCAATACTCCTTTGTCACCATTCTAAGCGACATAGAGGAGACAAGCAGATGAAGCGATTATGGAGAGAAACCCGGCGGAGGAGCGCAAGGGTCGACGCCAAAGTAGACTTGGACCTCCCTCCAGTTTAGAGTATCGAGCTCAGACAAGTCCGTTCGGATCTTCTCTCGCGCAATGGACTGACGCGCAGACTCGGCTTGGCAGCGAAAGCTTCCAAAGCGCCACTCCTGACGGGTGTACAAGCTGTTAATAGACAACGTCAGGACGGCCTCGAGTTCATAGTTGAACTTGGACCGGAAGAAGGCGTGGAGGAACGGCTCGTTCACGATGCAGTTAGGGCCTTCGATATGTAGGACGCGACAGTGCGGGCTCGGGTCGCGCGGTGCCGATCTGATGCGGTTCATCTTAAGCTTGGGGACGTAGCCTTCCACGGAGAACTCGCCTGCCTCTGACTTGGCGAGAAGGTTGTCGACGCCGGAGCGGTCGAAGAAGACGAGCTTAGACGCCGAGGTTGTATGGGGAGCTCGCTGTCTGAAGCGGCCAGTAGACTCGCTGGGCGGGTTGATGACTGCGGCGTAGATCTTCCCGCAGTTGCGGATAGCGCCTAGGAGCATCTGATGAGTGCACTTAGGCGGAAGGTTAGTCAACCAGAGCGAAGTGCTTTCGTTCTCGGGCACATTTGCGGATTGATTAGAGGGCAGGAAAATATTGCCTCCGTAGTTCTCCGATATACCGGTGATGGCGAGCTGTTGATCCCACAAGCCCGGAGGTACAAGGTGTCTGGAGCGCCAGGCGGCCCCTTGGCCCATAGGAGTATATCCTCCGCTGGCTCCCCAGCCTCCTCCTCCGCTCGACGGTGTAATGAGGAACTGGGGTGTAGATATTGGGTGGATTGATGGAGATGGGAAGATTGGGTCGAAATACGTAAGTCCCCGGTTGGCTGTATTATCTTCTAGCCAGGAAGAACGGTTGCTATTATGATCTGGACGATGGGTTCCAGTGATGGAAGCGGTCGAATTATTCTCGTCTCTAAGACGGTTCAATGTACGTGGAGGTGTATTCGAGGTATTCCGAAACCATGGAGACGAGGAAGTTCCCACATGTGGCCCGTACGGATGGCTCCCGTATTGGGAAGACGCCTCGTTAGAGGAAGCGTTTTGGTGGTTATCCGGAACGTTGGACCGCATTGTGGATAACGACAAATTGGAAATTAAAAATGCGGACGGAGGAGCGTTTTGCCTAGGTAGTAAGCTCTTAGTTAGTATTCGTATATAAAGAACTATCCTAGAAGATAGAGAAGAGTTGTAGGTAGGATAAGTAGTTGTAGGCGAATTGGTGGGTGTTATGACGGTGCCTGTGTTAGGAACAAGGACTTTGGAATAGTTTAGAGATGAACTCCAATGTTTGATTATTTTGTAGATAGATTTAGTAATGCCGAAACATTATTAATGGATTTGCAGTGAAATTAATTTTAGGTTAGTCTTGGAGATATTAGGTCTTGGTGTTGACGATGATGTATTAGGTATTCATGGAAGATGTGTTGGATCAGGCTATTGGAGAGTAGGAAATATTGAAAGCCTTCCTACCTTCTATTGGCAAAGGTTGTATGGGTTATTGATGTTGTGTATTGTGTAGAGATGGTTTGTGGAGGTTGAAGTTAGAATGTGTTGGGAAATATCTAGAGGGGAGATTAAATAGGTTTTTTTCGGTGGTTGCTGTAGCTGAGAGTTGTGTCTTCCTCAGGACTGAATCGAATTTTATTCGTACCTAAGAAAAAAATACTGTTACTACGACGATTAACGTGAAAAAGCTTGGACATCTGTCTTTTCGTGAAGTAACTAAGGTAACAGTTTCTACGCAGCAGGCAACTACTTTAGAGGCTGGGGGCAACTGAAAGTAAGGAACTGGGCAATAGGCTTATCATAGAGACCAAATAGATGCCTAATTGGCAACCTAATAGACTCTTTACAATTTCTAAGACAGCCTTTCTATTACCACCAATGCAAGATGAATGGACGCAATTGCATCAAAGACAAGCGATTTCACTATCAGAGCCGAGAGCATCTCCTTACAGTGACAACATTCATTTATAGTAAAACAATCTGCGAGTTAAACCTGCATAAGGGGGGAAAGGAAAATAAAGGCGGAAACGACGATATCTATGTTGTCTGAACCATCATATTATGTATCTAGCGAAGCCCCTAAAGTCATACAGCACACACCGAGTAACGGTGAGGGTCTTATCAAGTAGCCCCTATTTAGACTAAGAGTAGAGAGATCCTCTATTAGGTATCGATAAGGTATAGCAGCATTGAAGAAGCACCTGCAAAGAGACTCATTCAACCAAGAGTGAAACCCAGTGCTAGGAATAAATATAATAGGGGTCTAAACTAGTGGATGAACGCTGAGATAAGCTGACTATCTAAGTATTAAGGAAATAATTTGGAATTAACGTACGCAAACAGCTGCGATACTTAATCTCGGTTTCTATTTGACTCGACTAGTAATGTCGAGGAACTAAGGGTAATAGAAGCACGATGTGTAAATCACAAGTATTATGCTAAGGCATCTCTAACTGCATCTATTGAAATATAGCTCAGACAGGCATAAACAGCAAACGAAACGAACAACTTCATACAAGTCATAATATATATGATTAACTAGATTAATCTTATTTAAGAGATTCCAAAATCGAATGGGCCCTATAATAACTAGGCAGTCTTCTAACTGTACTTGACATGAGAAGAGAGAGCTAAAGTTACTCTCACCCATTTCAAGGGGGACAATTTGACCCAACCATTGATTGATATCACATGATAGCTATGGAATCTTGCACATGTAGCCATAAGATCTAGGGAACTTAAGATGCTTTTAACTGCTAGTTACAATTACATTTCTAAGGGAATTTGCTTACGCGTTGATGTTTGTGTATGCTATTATATTGATACTATTTTATTTTTAAATGTATTATATTCCGATGACAATGTCGCGTGCACATCCCAGCCGCTACGATTCTGTTATTGTATTGACACGCGTGATCATCGTAGTTGAGTAATCTACTGCTTACAGGTAACTCTGCAAGAGGGTCCTCTTCATCAACATGGACAAGGATGGAGCTGTCACTAGCTCGGTAGGAGGCTGAACTTCTGGTTTACGGCTGACCGCTAACTCAAATTTGATAAACTCCATCGAAATATTGAAATGTTATATAAAGGTTACCTATTGGGTAGTAACTCGAAGCCTCGAATTTCCATGCAAAACCTGGAACGCACCATCCGAATTTCCAATTCATGTGCCCATCTTCGTACACAAAAGGAACAAAAAACTGTCCCGTATATACACATCGTACTCTTCTTCCCCCTTCTTACAATTTCATGCCCGTCATCTTAGCAACTCTTAAGCTCTGCCTCATGCTCAGGTCAAGCATGATCTCCTCGCTGCCTCCAGGAATGGCATACGCGCGGACGTCGCGGTACAGTCGCTCGACCTTGCCGCCCTGACCACCTCTCGAGTAACTTAGACCACCGAAAATTTGGCTGGCCTCGCGCGCACAGAACTCAAAGGTGAGCGTGCTCTGGGCCTTAAGACCAGCGATGGGTCCACCGAGTCTCAGCATAGCCTCGGTCTCGCCCATCTTCTGGCACTGATAGATGAGGTTCTCTAGCCAATTGTACGAGGCCTCGATCTGCCTCGCCATATGCGCCAGCTTCATGCGGATCACAGGGTGCTCGATCAACTTCTTGCCAAAGGTTCGTCGCTTGTTCGCATATTTAACAGATTCCTCGTAGCAGACACGGGAGAAGCGCAGACATTGGATGATAATGCCCATCCGTTCGTGGTTGAAGTTGGTCATGATGACTGGACTCAAAATTAGTAACCCTGATCAGGAGTTGATGCTGAGACTTGCTTACCCTTGAAGCCTTGGTTCTCCTTGCCAAGGAGGTTCTCAACAGGCACCTTAACATCCTCGAAGGTGATGTATGTAGTACCAGACGACCATACACCCTGGCAGTCCATCCGTCTTGTGCTTACGCCACCGAAGTCACGCTCGATAAGGAGCAGGGAGACACCGTTCATACCCTCTCCACCTGTTCGTACGGCGACGGTGAAGTAATCACACCAGATACCATTCGTAATCCACTTCTTTTCGCCGTTAACAATGTAATGCTTGCCATCTTCGCTCAGCTTAGCTTCGCAAGTCAGGTTAGCAACATCACTTCCAGCATCGGGTTCCGTGATTGCCAAGCAAATTCGCTTCTCTCCTGTCAGAAGTCCAGGTAGAATGCGGTCTTTCAAGGCCTTCTTGCCGAACTTGACGAGTGGTGGACAACCAATACCGAAGCCACCGAGGATGTTCCAGACAAACCCGCCAGATCCGACACGGGACAGTTCATCAGTGACGATCAATTCATGGAACAGATCCCATTGCTCCGGCGCCACCGACTTCACAGTATTTTTTGTGTACTCTTTGGGATAATGTACACCTAGTAGGCCTGCAAGATAACCACGACGACCTGCTTCGAGGAAGATCTCGCGTGGCACCTCTTTCTTTTCGTCCCATTCCGTGACATTCGGCTCGATATCGCGTTCGACCCATTCGCGAATTTCGGCTCGGAGAGCGGCGTGGGATTCGTTGAAATAAGGAGAGTGGAACTACGAAAAAATAATTAGCAAAGATAATTAAGACATACAACCGAGCTAAGGCGAAGACATACACCCTGGTACCAACTGGGATCCGCAAACGGAATCAGAGCGCCGAATGGTTCCAGCGCCTCAGTCTCTTGTTGCGCAGTAGAGGGAACAACGGCTTTCTTAGTCTCCTTCGTCGGCTTAGGGGCGGCGTAGGTCTTGGATGGTTCTGGTGTTGGTTCGGACTTGGGCTTGGTATCTAACGAGCCAATTTGGAGTGATGGCTTGTACTTCTTGAGAATACCCTCATTATGATATTTCCAGAATTGCTTGGACGCGTCCTTTCCGGCAACTCGGGTTAGGATCTTCTTCCCACCTACACGGCAATGGGATTATGGTTAGCTATTTTGATTTAAGCCAATTTGATTTAGACAGATGCTTTCCCTCAACGCCCCCGAGGGTCGCATCGTGAGGATACAAAATGATCTAAAGAGATCAAGTGACGACATACCAGGGTGCTCATCTTGGAATTTGGTCAGGTCGTAGACATCGTCATCGACAACGATCCATAGAGAATCGGCTTTGTTATGCGACGCGACGTCGCTCTTGGAAAATGTCTTGGACATGTTGAAAGGAAAAGCCTAGGTATATAGAGATAAAATATCTATCTATTTGGAATTATAGCAGTAACGTAAAATGGGTAAAAGTACAAGTGAGGAAAAGGGAAAGATATCTTTTAAAGGAAGAAGAACTAAAAAAGCTATGTTTTGCGCGAAGCCATTCTAATAGCTTTAAAGGCTACGCTTTAAAGGCTCGGCGATTACACTTTCTTACCGAGCCTATGCTCTCGTACTGTAACGTCTTACGGCTAAGAGCTTGTAAGCTCAACATGTGATTCTGGAAAGGGACCCTGTAATGTTCGGCCTATTCTGGAACCTATGCCGCAAGCAGCTACTGTTTAGCTCCCTACAGATGCACTAACGCGTCTTCTAAGCCACTCAATGCCTCGCTATTGGCAATGAGAATCTGCGACATTGCTCTCAACATGGGGCCAAACCCCACAATAATAGCCTAGGTAGGCGGAGCGGACCTACGCGCAAGAGTGAAAGAGTCAAATAGAAATTCCGGGGGTTTCGTGGGGAAAGGAACAGTGTACGTCTATGACTTGGGATGTTCTAGTTGTTCCCTCGCCATTACTCGTGTCATGCGTCTTAACTACCTAATGTATCGTTGGCATGTGATTCAAAGTTTCTTCCCTACTTGGAGCTGAGAATGTGGGGGATGTAGCAGAGGGAATGATGAGGTCATGCTTAAGATCTCTGAGTTGTGGCCAATTGGAGAAGTTGGAAATTGAAAGTACCGGGGTTACACACTGCAGGTGCCGAGGTACGCCTAGAGGGTCCACAGTAAGTCGCCCGATCATGCGGGCACCGGACTGCAAGAGCTGTAAGAAACTTGACACTTCTCTTGCCGACTCTATATATGCTGTTACTACAAGACTTTCGGGGCAAGCACATGGCATCCGCCTCTAGTTTCCCCGGAATAATCTATCCGCCCCATCCTACCTGCCTATAATCCTATCTCCGCATAGCCGTAGGTCTATTATACATAGTAAAAGCTCATAAATTTAGCGAGACGATTCTTTCTCAATTTTATGTTTCCGACGTCGATGGTGATGGACCAGGAAAAGTCGACTTAGATTATCGACACATGAAATTAAACCAAAGTCGGTGTTTAAGGGAGCCTTCTACAATGCACAGGATATTCCGAATCTTCCGCAATGACACATTACTTCCTCACAGATAATGCATGTCAAAACTTTGACAGTTGTAAGTTTTAATATTACCTATGCTACAAGTTATTCGTCATATTACTGTTGTAAATTGTAGCGTAGGACCATAGTTGGTGTATAGTCCGAGTTTCGCACGGCTAACCTCTTTGACACGCCTCTCAACACGTCTCTCGCTACAGTCGACATATCATCACTAAATACTGTACGTTGTGTTACCTGTAACTAATGAAGTTACGTCAGATTGTTTCGAGATTGAAAAGACGGTTCAATTATACAGGAACCACCACGATGGATCGCCGCGCCTATTAGCGCTGTCATAATTTCATACTCAAGCCTGAGATGGGTTATTAAGCGCCCGCGTCTCAAGCTGGACGGCACCATAGCCAGTCATTCTCTTTGTTACCGCTGAACAAGGGACAAAACCACAAGCACAGACCACTGTCGATTAGGTCCTTGATTGGTCAACAGCACTTCAATTGGGAAACTTAAAAACTCCCGATTTAGAAGTCTTTCGAAATGGCCTGCGACTGAAAGCTCAAAGGCCAGTTGACCCTCTCTTTGTTGACCCTGTCGTATCAACTTACGCAGTATTAGGCGCTTGTTTGTCAATGGATTCACAGATTCAAATATGGCTGTGTTTCCATTGTTTTCATATATCATTCAATGTTCCTCAAGGACTGAGTCTACTTTCTTGTACACAGGTTTCCTTCGTCACTACTCTAACGCATACGACACTGGTTGTCTTTGATTCACTCTGCATTCATTTAACATCATTAGCAGATAATTATTTAATAATCTTTTAACTGGAAATTTCCACGGTTTACTATTTATCTTTTCTTGCCCGGATCATCCTGGAATCATCTACAGCCTCAGCAAATTTGCATATACATACCCAATAGCTAAACGAGAAAAAGCAAAGGGAAATAATGGCTATCAAATCTCTCATCACCCGATTTGGCAAAGGTGCCGCCACCAAGCAGATGTACATCTACGAGACGTGGCTACGTTGGATCGTCCGCGGAATCCAGTTTGTACTCGCCGTCGTTGTCTGTGGTCTATATGGGCGTCGCGTCGACCATGATCATAGGCACGGGAACGGTCAGTCAGCCGCGTGGGTTTACGCACTATTCGTCGCCGGTTTTTCGTGCATCACCTGTATTTTGTACTCTATCCCCAACCCATTCGGCCGCCTACAGTCGCACCGCCTCTTCGCCTGGGACCTCATCCTCTTCGTCCTGTGGGTTGCCCTCTTCGGCATCTTTGCCGCTATCTTCCTCAAGCGTGAGGAAGACGAGTACGAGGGCACCAGCGTCTCACTCATGAAGTGCGCTGTCTGGATCGATCTCGTCAATTGCGTTTTCTGGCTCTGCACCGGCCTTTACGGCTGCTTCCGCACTTTCGTCGGCAGGAAGGTGAATGGGAAGATCGATGAATATTCGAACAAGGTTGAGGATGGAATCAACGCCAAGGTGGATCAATACGCGGGTTCCGCAAAGAATAACTTCAGTATGAAACTTAATCCCTTGCGCAACGAGACGGTATGAGCTAGGAATACGTGGGAAGAGATTTTTACCTCATACGTTGAATGACGATACGCATAGCCGTATGATAGGATTGGGTTATAGGGATGTTGTTCATGCATAGCATTACGGGCGGTTGCATATAGACTACTAGACAGGCTTCGTCGGTTAGAAGCGATGTCTCAGACTGGTCCCCTTGGGTTCCCTTTTTTGAGAACCATCAAGGGCACCCATTAATAATATTATTATCTTTTACACCACCATATATTTCCTACAATAATAACCATGATCCGTATTGAATTTTAACTATCCACGAGCTAGATGTTGTGTGCTAAGTAGCCCCTCAGGCCACTTCTACAGTAACCAAGGGAAGCCTAAATCGAGCCTCAAATATATCGTAATACTATCTCCTAATATTTATTTTATAATTACGACTTCATTATTTGTATTTCTCTACCGCCGGCTCATTCATTTCATACTCTAATCTTGTTTGTAATGTCTTTGTTCAACTAGTATACTACGTCTAGCCTAGGTACCTAGTTATGACATTTTCCCAATACTTTCTTATCGGTATTATCTTCAATATACCTAGTCCTATTATGATGACTATGCTCTACCGTTAGTACATTGGTTCAGGGGCTATGCTGCCACAGCGATGAACTTCTAGCTAATCAAAATTTCCTGATCCGGCGATTCGACACTGCACTTACAGAGGTCGTAACAAAGTGACGTTTTAGAGAGGTTGTATAGGTACCTCCTAAGTATAGATGTTCTAAGCCACCATACTATATTAAGACACAAAAGAATTCTTAATTTAACAAGGCTAGTTTTTATCAAAAGCATTGTTCAACATTTCCTTTGTTATGTATCTACTTCCTTTGATGAACTATACAAACTATGTCATCAGATGTCGATATAATCTCCCATTCCTCTATTCCTCAAGTCGAACTAGACAGCGCAACTTGATCTGCACAAGTCCTTTACAGTCAACATTTCTTGTTTCAAACACATTCTTTTACAATTTTGACCCAAATTTAAGCAAAATGTCTACCAACAAGGGTACTCGCCTTACACACAAATCTCTCCCGCAACTTATCATTCCATTAGGGAGTCGTCGGGTGGAGCCTGAGGAGATTACAGTGAGCCGCGTCGAGGACTTCCTAGACTACTGTATCAAGAACAAAAAGGCACCTATCACGCGGCTCCCAGATATTGCCTTTATCCCCCCTCCAGGCACTTCAGGCTCGAGTTCAGGTGATACAGGAAACCAGGGGAAGGGAAAGGAGCCCGAAAAGAAGCCCAGCAGTCATGAAGATCAGGAAGATCCGGATACTCTCGCATTTACGGATTGTGAATACGACAGGCTGGAGGCATTGCAAGCAGAGCTTGCCAAGGTCAAGGTGCTACATCAGAAGTTGTATCTCGAGACGACCGTAGGCTCGAATAAGAGGGAAGCAATGGCAAAGTGCAAGAAAGCCAGAACTGAGCGGGAGCATATTAATAACGAGATCTCGGAAATTTATCGAAAGAGGGGGATTCGCCGAGACTTTAGACGAGATGCAAACCACCCTAAGGGAATAAAGAATTGGTGATTGCTCACGTAGGTGAAGTACTAAGGGATATTAATGGGCGACCATAGAAAGGGGGTAGGTATGCGAAACCTCCTTCGTTAACGGTTCTTATGATGTTATGATTGCTATGATTATGGATAAACCAATTAAAGTCGCACAGGATGTGACGTTTCCGCACTACATGAAATAGGGGGAAAGGCTAGGAATAATAAACAAAATAATACCTAATTCTTCAACTTGCTCTCTCATTACCATCGAGGCTATTCCTTGCGATATTCCAAGTACTCTAGGCAATGTATCTTGAGTTTCAACTTTGGTCCTTGAAATTGGCCGTGACAAGAGTAATAGGTTTTCACATGGTCATAAAAACCTTTAAGATTATTGTTTGGAAACTACGTGGACTTAGTAGAATCTCAAGCATATCGATGAACAATCTGACCAAGCGGCAAAGAACATAAGTTGGCGAACAACAAGACTGTTCCTGAACACATGAGAAGTTCACAAACAATCTCTTTGTTTCGGTTGTTTGAGTACATTGAATTGTTCTAGCAGAAACATAAATATGTGGCTTCGCACACACGATCATTCATCGATTTATGAACCACAAAGGATATAACATAGTATCTAAGTTGGCCATTGCAATATAAATCCGTCAACATCTCGACTTGCAGATACAACACAAATCTCACATATCCAATTCTTAAAACATCCATAACTAAATCATTCACGCCAAAACTAAAAATCATTATCGAATACAACTTACAACTTTATACATCATGTCTAGCCAAGGTTCGTCAATACAAGGGTCGTTCAGAGAACGCGTCGAACAAGAGATGATGACTCGAGGGCAGACAACTACGAGCCAGTCTCAAAACCAGGAGATTCCGCTGAAAAGTCCCTTGCGGAAACTCTCCTATGAGTTACTTCCTGAGATTCTCTCAGTGGTACCCAAGGTAGCCCCGCCGGTCTTGACCAGGGGTGATGGAAATGTAGCGCCATTAGATCATCTAGCCAGTCTATCTGACCATCAAAATTCAAGCCAGGTGGGACAAAGCACATTGGGCCCCAAACCGACGCTCTGCAGACGTAACGCGCTTTGCCGACGCGCGACAGCGCCTATGGGATATAAGAAAGGGATTCCTGACGATGACAATTGTCCAAAGGACTACTTTTCTTTCCCGTTCGCGGAGCCCCCTTCGCCGCGTTCACCTGCGGCGGAGGAGCTTCGCAGCGCGTGGCAAAGCTTTCAAAGGCCTATCCGAGCCCACTCGTTACCCTCGCGTCAATTTCACAACCCTGAGAATTTTCTTAGCTAGTAATTGTAGGTGACCGGGGAACATTACAGGAAGCTGGTCTATGCATAAGGAAAATAAGTTGTATTATATGAAGGAAGAGAAAGAGGCGATATGAAGTAGGCGTGTTTATCTTGTTTCGCTGTTTAGTTTCGCTGTTTAGTTATTTCTACATGTTTTTCTTTTCTTTTTGGGTTAGGTAGGAGTTAGCATGTTATGAGAATCCTCTAACATGAAGCATAATGTTTCTACAACCATAGCAAGTCTTAGACCCTCATGTGTGGGGGATCCGTTCATACATAGACCAAAAGCCGCAATATAATAAAGTGAAATATAATAAAGTGAAATATAATAAAGTGAAATATAATAAAGTGAATGACGGCTTCGGCTCGGGCTTGGCCTAGCGTAGTCTAATTAAAGAGTTTGTCGATTGCTTAACCTACTATAGTTTAGGTATGTAAAGTAAAACTGCGTGACCATAGATGATCGGCCAGCGGTAATGGTGATAAACAGAGCCATGGAGTACACGAGTGGCCATAGCTTATCCAGACCTTGTTCTACGGAGATATCGATAGATATCTTGGATTGGCCCATGGGGGAACTTCTAGGAGGGGTTTCAGTACTTGGTAAGTGCGGGAGACTCGACTTCTTTTTTTAGATGGACATTAAGTCTGTGCTCTTTAGAACGCTGGTAGATATTCAATAAGTAGAACCGGGTGATTGTTCCCGTGTTCGGAAAGAAGAGCTTCCTTTTTTTAAGATCTCGTAAAGGTTAAATGAGTGCAGAAGTAAGAATTTTGGCATCGCTTTTGACATTATAACTGTGGTATAGTAACTACCTAAATAGTGAGTTGCTGCGATGAATGCCGTAGATATTACTGCATTAGGATGCAGTTGACCATGTTCATAACTTCTCGGGCGCCACCAACACCAGTTGCGCCAGCTGGTGATCGTTAGAACTTAGTAGTGGGATGGAAATTTGCTTTCTCGTGTGAGATTGGCATTTTCAGGTCAGACTAGATTAGCCAACAAATAACCACCCTGCTATGTAGTCATTTCATATCAAAACGTAGAGACGACATTGGAACTGGAAATGGATTCAACAATAAGTCAGATAAATCGCCCATCATGGAAACTCTACAGTATTTATGGTCGCCGACTAATAAAAACGACAAGGTGGTCGATCTAGTAGGGTTAAGACGCCGTGGCAGACGACGGCTGAGACTACTATTCCCGACGAAATGAATGGCTGATGGAGATCAACAAGGGTACCAGCTCGTAAAGCTGAGAGCTGAAAGAACAGACAAAGAATTTCGTAGATACCTATTGTACCACATGAGCATAAGTGATGTATACGGAATACAAGATTATCGAGTGACAGCATATGAAACCGATATCATATCAAGAGCTGCCTGTCCCCGGAATAGCGGTGCAGAGCTTGTATACGTGGTGGACGGGTGTCACTACGTCACAACTGTCAAACAATAATATGTGTTATCAGATCTGGTAAACATCAGACCTGTCATATGCAAGGCTAAGGTTCCCCCTCGTCATACGAAGCACATGTACGCAGGTATGCGCTGCATTCATGCGAGGAAGCAGGAGGATCTTTGGACGATGTTTCGAGATTTCTGCAGTCATCAAGATTCCAGCACGAGACTAGTAACGCTGAAGGGATAACGGCATCGCCCCGACGTGCTGGTATTGGGTACGCATTTGAGAATCGATTCGCTACCCAACGGCGTTCCTGCGTCGGCGGTTGGCATTGCAGCACTAAAGTGCATGCAGCCCTGTCTCCCGATCAATGTACGTACTAGGCTAGGTTAGCTGACAATGGACATAGTCACGATGGTCAAGAGGACGGTCGTAATTCTAAAATACTCCGAAACCCCAGAAGTACCGGGAACAAGCGCGCTAAACAAGTGCATCTTGGTCTATTCCCACGAATGAAATTCATCTGGGGTGATCGTAGTGCGAGCTTTTTGGTTCTTGGCATGTGTTTGATGGATTGTTAGTATGTAGTCCATCCCGAGAGTCTGGAGCCCCTAAGCGTTGAAGTATATCTCATTTAATATCAAATACTTACGACTGGATTTGAAAACGCAAGGGAGAAATATGTAATAGACTTGTTATTCCTTCGAGGATGGATAGAGGTATGTGGAAACAAAACCCTTGCTACTGCTTATCTTGACTTGATCGCCTTTCTTGGCGGATCGTGGGTTTGTGGTAACCTAAGCTTAGAACAGGGCGAACGAACGAACGGACCTCGCAGACATATGGTAGGCCTAGCATAGGTACCTTGGTCGAGGATTATTTATCGCCTGGTCGCCTGGACCCTACGTAATGTACTCACGGGAAACTCGTTGGTGGATCGTTGAAGCCGATTTCCACGTGTCGAATCTAGCGACACAGGGTTCGACAATTCGATACGGCATGCCAATCTAACAGCTTCAACCTAACCTAATAAGTTGCAGTAATTCGCAGTAACTTGCAGCGGTAGCGTCGACGCAAAGCTCATCCCCGCAAAGCAGCCAATCCATGTTGGTATCTTTCATGTATACATTGTATTCGTATAATGTATTTGTACAATACGTAGGTAGACATCTGGTACTGAGATGTACATATGTAGAAAGCCATTCGCAGGTGGGTGAAATCTTGGCTATGTTTACTGCATGATGATATCTCTTGGTGAGCGTTTCATCAACTACTTTGGGTTTCTTAGAAAATGGGTGGTTGAAGCTGACGGGGCGACATGGTTGGTTTGCCGTCGAGTCTCCCCTTTCTGTCCTAGTAATGTCTTCATGACGTTTTTAAGCGCCCATGTTAATAATACTCATGCGTCGAAACAAAACAAGACAGCTGCGGGCTGCCTTGTTTTCGAGATGTCAAATTAGAAAATGCGACACTGCCGCCCGCTTAAGAGGATGGAATGTTTTTTTCTTCTTTTTCTTCTTCGACGCTTCATGCACAACATATCCATAAAGTAAGTAATTTTAGGCAGATGGGAGATGTCTAATCTGATTCGTACGAGACGGGAATTTTGTTTCGAGCAGAGACCGAGAGTCATCCTTTGAGCATTTGTATATTGTTGGTGAGCGCTTCATAAATTGCATTATCTCGATAACTTGCAGCTCTGAGTTACGTGGAGTCGGAAAGTTTGCGCCGGCAACCTTCTCTCATTAGTTTGGTGGAACCCTTTGAACCCTCTGAGTTCTTTACCCCTGGCTCCCCCTGTTAGACAAAGCCTTTATTGGTTGGCAAATGGATGATGTTCCTGGATAAGTGGAGAGCCATAAAGGGAATATGTACAACGACATACTTGTTAAAGTTTAGATAACTAATGCTAAGATATGCGCTAGCACTAATATAGTAATATATCCAGATGCATGGATGTATGTATTTAATCCTATGGAGAAACGGGATCCTTATAAAACTTAACAATGGGACTCCTTCACTCTAAGTCTTCTTTACTTCGTTTTGAAAGGGCATAATGATACGAGTTATGGTTAATAAATCTTATACATAAGGATTAGTCGCTTTATTGTCGACCATATCATGCCATAGTAAAGTTCCCTCGGAGAGGCCGATGTGCGAAGAAGCATGTTTCTTTACTTACACTAAACCCTGCTTATGTTTCATATCAACTCTGTGCCGTAATGCTTGTTGATCATCACAAAGTGTTTCATAGAATAGTGTATCTTATATATACTATTGATAACTGCACAAGTTATAGCTTCTTAGCCAAACAACTAAGGATTCAATTCATCTCCACCGTGTGTACTACATATAACATCTCCTCTCAAGTAATTCCTACAATTTATTGCCCGTGATGAAGATTAGGGTAGCTTTTTGGCTTGATTTGTTTTCCATGCCCTTAAAAAGTATCGGGATGATGATATGACTTCTCGGACTTTTCGCAAACAAAATCCCATAGGTTCATTATCATCGTTATTATATAAATTTATGAACAGGGTTGGAGGTGATGTTAGTGTTATGTCAATTAGCGCCTACGCGGAGTACATACTTCATACAGTTTAAGTGATAACGTTAAAATGTACACTAATGCAACCGTTCCGGACGGAGTCGACCCATAATCACCTCCCCCACCTTCAAGGTTGTTATTTTCCGCCTACGATGGATATGTATGTAGGTACTTGACCTACCTAATAAATACATAACTCTATAATAGAAGAGAGATTTTAAAAATAAACATATTACAGTGACTTGTGCGACCGCTAGACCGCTAGACAGAAAACAGCCCATCCCTGACAGTGACCGGCATTAACATGCACAAATACGGTACAGTACACACCATCTCGACGTTATCTGAGTCTCTCATTGGTCTAAGAGGGAAGAGGAAAAAGAAAGAAGAACTAAAAGAAAAAGAAGGGTCGAGGCTACAACTATGTACTTTGACCTTAGCTTTAACTAACATCTACTTTTTATCTTGATTCGACAATTGAATTTTCTCTTCGACGTCTGTCGTTTGAGCATTTATATACACTACCACTATCTATCAATTCACTTCATCAAATAATACTACCTCTTACGGTATCTTGATGTTCCTTCCCCCTTTACAGCTATTATATAGGTACTGTTCGTGTTACCTAGACCCAGGTCACTTCCGGATTAATCGATAGCGTCAAGCCTTTCCTTCTGTTTTTGTACATGCAGCCGACTATCTAACCGAATTATCACTTTTTTATTATTTTATCAACGTGGCTGTGGTACCTACGGGCGTACCTGCTACATCTACATTCAACCCACTTACATACACTCTCGAGTTTCCCCCCCCCAAAGTCCCCCCAAGTGCTTCTACCCATCCACCATCCCGCAGTTATCCAAGCAAGACAAGAACTTCCCACCCCTTTATTATTGTACACCACACAACCGTACACCCCGACCCCGACCATCTTGCGCCCTGTCGCAGCCCAGTCTTTGAGCGCCGACCCCTCTCTCGCCTTCTTCGTCTTGGTCAATTTCCAACCAATTCCGTACAACGTCTAGCATGACTTCTTGAGGAC